AACCACAAAAACCATTGACCAAAAATGTATTTTAAGTATAATTATAAAATTAAAAGGAATACATTATCTATACATGCGTAGTATGTACGCGTTAGACCAAGAGCCAACTAAAAAACTAAGTTAAAAAAAATATTAAAACTGTAATAAATAGTAAATTTAAGATGCCTTTTTGTCATACGAAACAATACGTTCCATTCCTTTAACCGCTTAAAATATTTCAACGATAGTGAATTTGAAAATTTGTTTTAAATATTCATCACGTTTAATTTATGAAAAGACGCTCATATTGTTAAAGCAAATAATATCTGGTAAAGACTGTTTTTGTCACAGGAAATGTATGATCATTTTTGGGTATGTTGATGTGTCTTCAAGTAAGTCAGGACGTCCAGTTTTTTTGTAAAGATTCAAACGAAATCACGTAAATGAGGTAAAATGAAGTATATAGCATACTCCATTTTACCTCATTTACATGATTTCGTTTTAATAACTCAATTTCGGCGTTTAATTGACGTTTGTTAGATCGTAAATATGCCACGTAAATAACCCGGATAGCTTTTGTTTTGTGTGTGGAGATTTAACTTTTTGTGTCTAAGCGTCGATTTACACAATAAATAGAAAAGTGTTATTTAGACCATTTTGTTTATTAATAATTTTGAATTTTTGAATAAGAAATTCATGGCCAGGTCATAGCCTACACGTTAGACACTCACTCCAGGATGTAAGAATGTTAAAAGTGAACCTATGGTGAACTCTAAAAACATACTTTCGCCACCATTACATATAAAACTTGGCCTCATCATAAATTATGTGGAAGCCATGGATAAAGATGGCAGAGAATTTTCAAATGGAGTCAAGGAATGTTAGCCCATTACTGCTGGAGACTTACAAAGGATCGACCAGAAGCATAATAAACATATATAAATAATATTTGTGTAAGTGTAGATGATTTTTGCATTTTTCATGAAAATATACGTTTTGACATTGCAAAAAAACTGGACGTGTCCAATTTTTTCATTAACATATTATGTTATTTGGCCATAGTATATTTGACATAAGTTTTCTTGTGACAATAAAAGTTTGAATTTGTATACCGTATAATTAAAATTAATAGAAAATATGTAGAATAAAATGCAAACATTTGTAATTGAATCAAGCAAATCTATAATTTTGCATAAAAATTGTAAATGGTGTATTTTTTTTAATTATTTGCATATAGTTATTGCTTTTTAACATAAAAAAATTATATAAAGATATTTTTTTTTTATAAATCGTTTAAAATCGATTCACTTTATCGGTACAAATAGGTATAATGGAAAATAGAAGCTTAAATATTAGACAATAATGTTTAAAGATAAATAATTTTTATATAATAACTAAGTTAAAACTAAATCGTTAAAAAATTGAATAACCTAACTACACGATTTAAGTAAACATTTTTTCATAATAACTTATAATGCAAAATAAGGTCGGAACAATCGAATAAATGGCGCATCAATAATTTGCTCAAAAGTTTTCTACAAAACTCACTCCATTTCATGGATTGCAAAACTATTTTTCTCTATACATAGCAAATTTTATACACCGTACCCTAGACTATATACAAGTACTAGATATATTATAAGAAAATTAAAATACGTGTGTTTGTTTGTTCGGTCAACTGATTTTCTTGTATATTGAATTTCTATTGGGAAATTAAGCTTTTATATATGAAAAAAATATGCGAAAATGTTTCAAAAGGCGTTTTAGCCCTTAACGCCAAAGTGGAATAAACTAAAAATTATAAAAACCCAATCCAACCAAACTGTAAATAAAGACTATATAAACAAAAACACCAAATTACTTGACGCATTCAAAATTATCGAAAAATATTATAGGAATCGGTGTTCAAAGGCTTATAAAGTAGCTTAACATGACGATACTCGTCGCATTATGTCGAAGCGAAAGCAGAATAAGTAAGTAAAAACTAAAATATCAAATATATTTAATAAAAAAAAAACGAGAAAATGGCCACATTTCATCAATACAATAATTTTTAATTATGACAATGATGTTTATATAAATGAGTATGTTTTTGCTAAAGTTATCTCATATTGGATGGATTCAACGAAGTTATTAGCTCGATATCAAAGCCCAAAGAATTATTAAAAAGTCTCTTTATATGCACTAGGTTAGAGGAAGAATAGCCTATTTTAATCATCTGGAAAAAAGATAATACAAATGTATACTTCTGTCTATTATTTACTAACGAGATCTTGCCTACTGTGTACCAAATCAAAATTAGAAAAAATATTATTTCAAATATCCTCGTTTAAAGAAATTTGATTAAATATTTATAGTAGAAATTCGACTCCACTATTCATCAAAAAGGAAAAGCTAAAAACTAAATTGATAAAAAGTGGCAATTTTTCTAAATACAATTTCTAAGTGTTTAGTATATAGTGACGTCACAAGCCACGAAACCATAGATTATAAAAGAATAGAAGGTACAAATAACATTTATAGTCTTTGTAAAGGCTACTTCAATATCACTCATGTATTGACAGTTTAGAAGCTATTGGGTATTTGACTTTTATATGAAAAACAATATATTCTAATAGATTTAGTCTTAATTATGGAAAATATTTTATAAACAATAAAAAATGGCGTTCCTTAGATTTTTTGGATTAAATTGTTTAAATTTAAATTTTCAATAAGTAGATGCGATCTGTACTGATTGAAAAAATGAAATAAATATACATTTTCCTTTTAACCCTACAATCAACTTACACAAAATCTATTCCATAAAAAAATGCCGAAAATACGCCACAGCCTGTTAATCCATAAACAGCCTTATCACTATTTCACTGCCATATTTCTTATTTAATTGACAATCGAAAGAATATTTAATTTAATCCAATATTATAAAAACATATTGTCAAAGCTTACTCTTACTCAAAGTTTAATGAAGTTTTATTCAAAATGATTATTTTACGTGTAATTAAAATAAGTTGAAACAAACGTGAGCTGTGTTGAAAGAAAGAAGAGTTCTCATCAGAAAGAGACAAAGCGAATATGCACCTTTTATACCCACCGTCATCGGCACACTAGATAGAGGCAACTAATGGTTGCAATATTTTGTCTCACTCACACTTTTACTATTGTACCTAATTTTAGAAAATCATAACGATTCTATTTATTTGTTATATATAAATATTGTCTTAGATGTACGCGAATATTTAACATTTTAAATAAAACTATCTTTTCAGATTTTTTTCGCGGATTTATTTTGATTTTTGGTTTCCGACGTTTCGAATGCTTTACAGCAATCATGGTCACGGGAGAGACCCATGTCCCTTAAGTCTATAGAGCATACGAAACATCGGGAACCAAAAATAAAAAAAAAAATAAGCGAAAAACCGAATAGACAGTTTCATTTACAAATGTTCGACTTTTTTATATAAAAGCTAATGTTATATTATTGCAATCTATCCAACAATTCGAAACCTAGGTAAATTTATTACCTTAAATCTTAAAAAATGAGTCAAATACCCACATTCCTAGTACATTTTCCACCACTACCATATCCTCAATCTCGAGTCCCTAAAACATTCTAAGGACCTTCCTTTAAATTTATTGCTTTATATTCCTCCTAAAAAGAATATTTGCGAGTTCAACTTTCAAACATCAGAGAAAAAATTATCCACCAAAAAAAATTATAACCTGACTGGATAATATAAGTGAAAGCATTAATTATTTTATTTATAAATAATATTTTTGAAGTTATACTTCTTTTGACACGTTTGGAAAAAAATATGAGAGTAAACTTTTTATGATGCGCGCGCACACCGACAGAGAGATTGTGAATGGAAATGGGATGAAATACTGTTACGCCAAAGAAGTATAACTTCTTACTTGCGCACATAAATAAGTGCACGCACACGTTTTTTTTTTAATTATAATTTATCCTGTGAATAACTTTTATCTGACGATTGAAAAATGTCTTAAATAGTGTAATATCTCGTATATCTATAGTTGCGAGTTGAAATGTCGAATACTAAAATGGCACCTTTATTGTTTTGATTTATTCATCACCTTTGTTAAGGCATAATTGGTTGAAAATATTAAAAAAAATATATGAAAACATTAAAGCGAATATTTTTAAATTGAAATATATTAATATTTATGGAAAGATATTAAAATTTAAAGAATGCAATAGATTAAAAAAAGTTTTTTTTTAAAGTTTCAGGTGATTTTTAACAATTTCAAACGCCTTAAAGACCGTGTGTGAACGTGATATATAAATAATGAATAAAAAGGGGTTATAATTTATTTCCATGGGATTATAATTATATTTATGATGCGGATTTCGACATATTAACCATATATTTTTATATCATATATTCTTAATTATGCCGTCAGCGCAAAAATGACCCAACCCAAATTTATGAAAGGGTTCCGATAATCGTCAAATTTTAACAAGAATACACTTAGAACTTTAAAGAACTTTATTGTATTTTTTTGCATATAGTTTTTATCAGAGTTAGGCCCCTTTTGCCCTGAGTCTAATATAATAATGTACTTAAATACATCAACGATCACATATTCATATAATACGATACATCAGCCAGCGCAAAAACGGCCTAACACAAACTTGTTTACAAAACGGTAAAATTATTAATAACCTTGCAATACAATGAAAAATCACATTTACATTTAAATTATTTCTTTTATAATAAATAAAGTATATAATATAATTTTAATACTACACTTTAGAGTTAGGCCTCTTTTGCACTAACAGCCTCATATCGGGTACTTTAATGTAGCATCACCGCCACTTGCAACGAACAACGTTGTAACTCAGTATTGAGATTTTAAAATGGAATTTCTTCATATATTTTAAGTTGAAATTGAAAATGGCTATAATACTGAGTTACAAAGTTGTTCTTAGCAGGTGTCGATATTATATGTATTATATAAGACTATGTAAGGCTTATCGGTTGTAAGCGGAACGTTTTAGTTTAGTCGACGCCAGCGAAGCCCTGTGACCCTTCTATGGCCTTCACGAGCTTCTCGCGCAGTTGCTGGTAGCTCTCGTATGGCGGTAAGTCTATGCGGTTGAAACTGTTGGAATGGAAAATAATTAATTTATACGTAAATAAAAATGGATCGCTAAATGTGTTGCTACGCGCAAAATTCGAGGACAACTTGACTGATTCGGCTATTTTTTTAATTGAAATATTCGCTAAGTCCAAAAAGAATTGGAAGTGTCAAATGACGTGCATTTTTTCTTCCAAACTTACTGGCGTTACACGAAAACGTATTGAACAAAAAATGTCAACCTTTTTAAGATCTACAACTTTTGTGGAAAACATTTTTCTCTACCATCAACATTTATTGCAATAAACGCGAAAAAACATTGCAATTTTTCTTCTTAGATTTGACATTGAAAAAAACGTTGGTCTTTTGAATGTCATTTCCGTTATCAGCGAGAAATCCATATGTATACCAAAATTCAGAGCTATAAGGCCATTCGGAAGTACAGCCTATGTTTGTCCTCTATGCATTCTTAAGACATTGATCAGATTTTGTTGAAACTCTGTTATATTATTCTGTATTTACTTGTGAAAGTGCATGGCCCAAGATAAATATTCTTCTTCTAAAAATCTGTATGGTTAGGAAGTGGCTAGTCTCTACTAATATTAAAGAGGTAAAGTTTGTGAGTTTGTGAAATTGTGAGTTTGGGACGTTGTAGAGGGTAATCTCTGTATCTACTGAACCGATTTAGATGAAATTTGGTAAGAAGATATTTTGAGACCCTGGGAAGGACATAGGATACTTTTTATCCCGGAAATCATCCCTTAAAGGAGTGGAAATGGGGATGAAAGTTTGTATTGGAAAGCAAGCTAGAGACGAACGAGCGAAGCGAGGGTGAGTCGCTAGTATGTAATATAACTAGATATAACCATATACAGCTAGAAGTTATAATAGAGTACTTTGTTTTAAAATTAATTAACTTAAATACGAAACACAATTATGTATGACAGTTCGTTTTTCATTTTAAGGTTGCGTAATCAAAAGACAAAATCGGACTTATTATTATTTTTGTCATGTCTGTCTGCCCGTCACATTCATTTCCTCAGGGACTCTTGGAACTATACTGCTAAAATTTCATAGGTTGTGTCTAATGTGTACCGTTAGATGAATGTGTAGCTGGCACAAGTATGTTAATATGTATATGTCAATTTCAAAATGTGACAGGTTTTATTACTTGCATATCATCAATTGTCAATCGTCGTGGCTCCTCCGTTGTACGTGACATTTGCGAAGTAATCTGTGCTAAAGTGGCACATTATGAGGCCATTCAAAAATTTCATATTTTCACATTATATTTCTATTCTTAAATGTATTCAGCCCTTTTTAACGTCCCACTGCTGGGGATGGGCCTCCCTTCAATACGAGGGGGATCAGACCGTAGTCCACCACGCTGGCCAAGCGCGGGCGGACTTCACATATCTTTCGAAAACTTTCTAGATTCTCTCAGACATGTAGGTTTCCTCACGATATTTTCCTTCACCGTTAACCGTGAAGAATAGAATAATTTCTATTCTCAAATAATAAATTCAAACGAAACCTTTACAATTGAATATTGTATCTGTCAACTGACCATGTGTGCGCGCGCGGGTAGTTGTCGGGGGAGCCCCACTTCTCGATGGTGAACAGCTGCGGGCCGTTGGAACCGTACAGCTCCTTGAACCCGTTCATGGGCACGCGCGAGGTGCCCGTCGCGAACTGCAGCAGCCGCGACCGCATCTCGTTCGAGAACGATAGCACCACCTGCGATTAGAAAGTCACTATATACACTAACTAATCTTACTATATTGTTAACTAGCGGCAAAAACAAATCTATCCCACGGTAACCGGTACATTTTCCCGGGATAAAAAGTTGTCTATTTGTTATTCTGATGTACGAACTATATTATTGTAAAGTTTCATTAAAAACCAATCAGTACTTTTTGTGTACTAAGCTGTATAATTTACTTTAGTTTTTTAACTATCCCACGGGAATTCTTTAATTTTCCGAAATTAAAAGTATCATGAAAAATGAAATGTTGACCGGAGATATAAGGTACCACCATGCAAAATTTCATTTAAATCGGTCCAACAGTTTCGAAGATTAGCCCGTACAAATAGACAAACAGACAGAGAAACAAAAAAATTGAAAAAATCTGGGCTTGTTCTATTTCTCTTCTTGCATTCCCCTTACTCGGTTTTTAGCAAAATTTTTTTCTATGTACAGACATTCGATCTCTACAGTTTTATTATATGTATAGATTTGTTATTATAATTATTATTATCGACAAAACGTTAGGCTCAATTTACCCTACTTGCTGTGCCAGCGGTCGCGGGTTCGAGCACATGCATGTGATGTTCACACCATTCATCTTAGAAGACATCATTTGTCCAATTGTATACTTTAGAATAAATATAATTAAGCTTGTTTATTTCATTTGCATGTAGTTTTTGTAAACTTAATTAATAAATAAATAACACAAACCCGCCAAAACCATTGCACGACGAGATGGTTGGCGTGATAGTCGCCCTTGTAGAGCGTGTTGGCGCGCCAGTCGCGCACGTCTACGTGTTGGATGCCGCACAGCAGCAGCTCCAGCTCGTGCTCGTCGAAGATCTTCAGCAGCGGCAGCGGCACCAGCGCGCCCAGACCCTCCAGGAACGCGAACATCTGCTCCTGCACGCGGCTCACGAATCGCCACTGGATCACTAGTCTGTGGGGGGACAGAAAGAAAATATTAATTATTATTCATTATTACTCAACTTTAAAGGAAGATGTATTCAATGTAAGAACCTATACTAGTATTATAAATGCAAAAGTAACTCTGTCTGTCTGTTAGGTTTTCACGCCTAAACCTAGTTAAGTTTGATATAGAGAGACATAGGACTTTAGATAAGGGCAAAAATGAAACTTAAGATGGCTGAAATAAGAGTTAAAAGTTTGTATTCGTAATACTAATAAATAATTTCTTAATTGAAAGAAAATTAAAGGAGGGAAAGTGCAGGAGTAGGAAGTGAGTCGCTAATCTATACTAATATTATAAAGAGGTAAAGTTTGTGTGTTTGTGAGATTGTGACGTTGTAGAGGGTAATCTCTGGATCTACTGAACCGATTTAGATGAAATTTGGTAAAAAGATAGTGTGAGTTTTACAGAGCAAAGGACATAGGATACTTTTTATCCCGGAAATCATCCCTTAAAGGGTTGAAAATGAGGATGAAACTTTGTATGAGGAATCAAGCTAGGGACGAACCCAAACGAAGCGAGGGTGAGTCGCTAGGATTTTAATAATAGTAATAGTAATTTTTCTCTTTATACCTACTAATTTATAGCACTGCACAACAGAGTATTTTACTAATTCGTTATATTTTGTATTATTGTCTGTTACCGGTGTGTACTGGTCAAATTGCGTTTTCATTCATTTATTAATACATGCATTCATTCAATCGGTAACAAACCCGACTTGTATCACGGTAAGTCAAAATACTAAATCGGTAGCGATATAACTATAATATATAAATAACTCACTTAATATATTCATCTTTGTTTTCGTTGTCGATGGCGATATTGGCGCCGCCCGGCTTCAGGTCGCGCTGGATGGTCTTCCCGAACTGCTCCTCGTCCACGGAGAACGTTAGGTACAGCTCGGAGGGATCGTTTTCCTGAAAAAATAAAAAAAAATTAATATCTACACAGTAAATTGTTAGCATAAAACTAATCACGAGAATACAGTGTTTTTTAGGGTTCCATACCCAAAGGGTAAAACGAGACCCTATTAATAAGACTATGTTGTCCGTTTGTCTGTCTGTCCGTCTGTCACCAGGCTATAATCTCATGAACCGTGATAGTTAGTTGAAATTTTCACAGATGATATATTTCTGTTGCCGCTATAACAACAAATACTAAAAAACAGAATAAAATAAATATTTAAGGGGGCTCCCATACAACAGACATGATTTTTTTGCCGTTTTTATAGATAACGGTACAGAACGCTTCGTGCGCGAGTCCAACTCGCACTTGTTAGAATTTTTTATCTACTTTTCCCATGAATTTACAAGATCTGTAACTTTGAACCAACTTTATTCTGTAACGATTGCTTTAAGTCGCACTAAACATAGGTAGGTATTCATAAAACAGAAGTGAATACCTTGATCCACATGAGCGAGTTGTAGTACTCCAGGTCCACGGACTCCATGTCCTGCAGCTCGATGGGCTTGCCCAGCATCATCTTGTAGAATGGACGGATGAAGAATGCTGCAATGTAATATAAGCGATTACGTCTATACTAATATATATATATATATATATATATATATATATATATATATATATATATATATATATATATATATATTTTAAGTAAATATTCGAACACCACAGACTTTTGTCTGTACCTTGTTATGATCCTTTTGTTATGATCCTTGTTTTGTTTTAGCACTGATATACAAAAACTCAAGATACACAATTAGCGTCTCAACAGTGTCGTCCAAAGAAGGGCACAATTTGAAATTAAATTGCGTTTTTTTTCAAATCCCTTTTGTTCATTGCTTTTCTGATGACAAAATTAAAACGCACGTTATTTCATTCAAAAAAGTATTTTATATGGTGTGCGTAAGTTCGAATTTGTGTTTACAGAATAAGAAATTTAATGTTTTGACATTTATTCTTTGGTTTGACTTAACGTAACATGTCGACGCCAGTTTTTAAAGAGATATTTGCTAAGAGATCTGTATCTATGTTTTTATATATCAAAGATTTTGTTATTTTTTTATTTTTATTTAAAAATTTAAGATTATAATCTCGCGCATGTCAATACTTTGTGCCTGTAACTTTACTTTTATAGTATGTGCAAATAAAAGTAACATAATATGTGATGATCTAGAGGACTTAGCAAAAATGTGATTCTACAATCGCTGAAAGAGAAATAAAAAAAATGTATTTAAACTATAACTGTTAATTAACATCTGAACTGCCGCGTTAGTTTTAAAGGATAGTATGTATGGCTGTAGATCCGTGAGTCCTTTGTTCAAATCCCAGAACAAGCCATGTGGGATGACAACTCAATACGACCGGTGAGAGATAAGGCGCAAGGACTATAGCTTCACTTGCTTTGCTTCAGCACGGGGTTTTAAAGCGATTTCAAAACTATGGACTGCTATTGAGTACTTTGTGGCAGAAAATATCAGTAACTTTTCCGACCCGACCCGTGACTCGAACTTAGGACCTCACAATTACAGACGTAAATATCACGCCTAAACACAAACAAGGCGTTCAAAACACAAAATTAAAATATGTAAAAAATAAAAACCATCATCTCACCATCGAGCAATTTCCCATGATACACGGCCATGCCGGCGACGCGGCCGATGAACTTGAAATAGTTGAGGTGCTCCTCGTTGCAGACGCCGCTGTTGGGGTTTATCTGCAGCGTGTAGTTGTCCATGGCGGAGTACTCGAACAGTCCGTAGTACGGGTTGAACATCTCCTTCGACAGCAGGAAGAACCACTCGCGGGCAAGGCCGCCGTAGTCTGTTGAAGAGGATGTTGGTCATACATTTGTTTAGCAATAATCATTATACTAAGGTTTTAGACGTCTCAAAGGCATTATATGGTTATATATTATAGTTATATAATGCTTTCGAGACGTTTAAAACGTCGATCTCTCCCGTGACCATGATTGCCGTAAAGCATTCGAAACGTCGCGTCGGGAACCAAAAATCAAAATAAATCAACGAAATAACCCGATAGATAGAGATAGTTTTAATTAGAATCGTCAAATATTCGCGTAAATCTAAGAAAGTATTATTAATCATTATTTCTTAAAATAATAAAAAAAACACTTTTGACTAACTCTTTATAATGTATGAGATACAGACTGATTCAAGCCGTAATTTAATTACTCACTCACTCACTGATAAACCTTCTCATTTATAATATGTACTATTAAGGACTTCGCCCGTTTATTTAAGAAGGCTATAGGCTATATATCATCATGCTACTACCAAAGGGAGCAGAGCAGTAATCATAAATGTCAACAAATCGGGCAGACTTCCATACATAATTGAAGCCAGGGTAAGTCGTTGTATAACATAAAGCCAAAGAGCTTTTTTTTGTAAATAAAACGCGGGCGAAGACGCGGGTTTTGCTAGTTATATGATAAAATCATAATTACGAAGACTAAATTCAAAACTAATCTAGATCTACATCTTGGCCTTAAATGGGTCGAGCTGATGACGTCCAGTACAAATCTTCTCAAACATTTATCTAACAAATAATACCAACTCACCCAGCCCCACTTCGGACTCGAACTCCACCCACAGCTTGGTCTTGAGCAGGTCGAGGCGGCTCACCGAGCTGATGATGCGGTACGAGTCCTCGAGGATGGAGTTCCTCCGCACTTTGATCTCAAACTTATTGGGCACGTTGCACTGTTGACGAAGTATGGTATAGTACATTATTTTATTTATTATTATTTGTATGAATAAAAATTATATGTTGTTCGTTAATAAGCGCATCACTAGAGAACGACTAGACCGATTTTGATTATATTTTTTAAATGTTTATAATAGTCTGGATAATTTTTTTGGAAAAATAGAACAATTGCCAGTAGTATAAGTAAAATTGGGAATCACTGGGAACAATCAGAAACAAATTAATTGAAATTTGGACAGAACCGCGTCTGTCAGGTCAGCTATTAGCATAATTAATAAAAAAAAAAGCATAACTTTACGGCACGCCATAGGGTTATAAATTCAACAAATTAGCTCCAACTTTAAGACTTACTGCACATCACTATTGACAATAAAGTACAGTTTGTGTCTATGAAAATAGCTATCAATTTTTATAAAGTATTGTGAAGACCATTAAATAATATACATACGTTATGTAATATTGGCAAAGTAATCTATGTCGCTTTAAAGACATTTATCAAAACCTAACGCAAAGAGAGAGGAGTTATAAGGTGAACATGTGTCTCTGTCTGTGGCACCGTAGCGTCTACACGAATAAACCGATTTTAATTTACTTTTTTTGTTTGAAAGGTGACTTAATCGAGTGTTTTTACCTATAAATAAGGAAAATCTATTCAGCCGTTTGCAGACTATGCGTTCTTTTCTAGACGTTAAAAGGATATCAACAACTTCCACAGATCTAATACATTCGCAACTCGATATCATGTTAATACTCCTGTCATTAAGACATTGCATTGATAATATCGTAACCTTGGCCTGATGCTGCAGTGTCACCTGAAATCTGCAAGATACTCAACTCTTTACTAAAATACTCTAGAAATATCGTGTTTAGGCTCAAGGCCTCAATGAATAGGTTATTTTGTTGGTTTTTTTTTTTAATTTTTAGTTAAAGAGCTATAACAAAATTGTAGGAGATATAAACACATACCGGTTTACGCAACTGGCTCTTGAGGTACTCGTACTTGCGCTTGTAGTCGCGCGAGTAGGGCACGGCGGGGCCCGCGATCTGCGGGTTGGACAGCCGCGGGTCCTCCCACTGCGTCGTGCGCGTGTCTGTACGTGCGTTGTTAGTAAATACATACAGATGGTTTTTGATGAATAAATTGAGAGTGGGACATACGTATCTACACAGATAAACTAAATTGAAGTGTCTATTTGTAATATAAAAATAACAACTTTTTATTAAATGCATATAAAGTTATACACAATACATATAAGAGAAACACGATTTTTATTTTTTTGTCTGTCCATTTGTTCCGGCTAATCTCAGAAACGGCTGGACTGATTTTGACGCGACTTTCACTGGCAGATAGCTGATGCTATAAGGAGTAACTTAAGGTTTCCGCTCAAAAAAATAAAACAATTATGGAAACCATAAGACCATGAACCAACTCACTATGATCTATAAAGAAGATCCGTCCATCTGTGTGCACTCTCTCCTCCCAGCCCTCGGGCAGCGGGCCCAGCTCGTCGGCCTCGGCGCCCGCGTTGGGAGCGGCCGCGCTGGGCAAACTTGAGGCACACCCTGAAAAAGTATTTGATATTAAGAAATGATTTTTTAATGGAATTCTCAAAGCATTTACATTACAAATCTATTTTATTAGGTAGTAAGCGAAATACCACTCACTCACTGATTAAATACGATAAGTTAAGAAATTATAATTGTTATAAAATTGAAATTTTCCAAGTACATTCCTCATACTACATAAGAAGAGTTGAAGTATCCGCTAAGAAAGGAGTTTCGAAAATTTAACCTCTAAACTGGTGAAAAAAGGGGATTGAATTTCCGTTATTATTCGGTAGTAGGTAATAATCTGTTACCAAAACGACGGTGATTTTAGGAAGAAAACTAGGGGACAGTATAAAACTTATGAGCAATCATACACAAATAAACTAGCAATATGTACATATGCATGTATAAAAATACCTGTCCTAGGATCGATCCACGTCGTAGTCTTTTGGTTGTGGTCGATGAAGAATATCCTTCCGTTGGGAGCACGCTGCATACTCCAGCCAGGAGGTAAACCTAGAAGTTAGATATTCCTATACCAAACAAGTAAATTTTAGCGAAAAGCTCTATTTTTTATGAGGTCCTAAGGTTTAGGGCCTATAGTATAGAAATTCCCTATCACAAAACAAATTGCTCAAAATTTAAAAAGCTAAAAGAAATCGAAACTCGCTTCCAAATACATAGAATTATTATTTATGAGAATTTATGTCTCAAGAAACATCATTTTTGACTTTTGACATAACATATTTATATGCCGCACGGAAATTGTGAAAACCGTTAAATTATAATTTCACTATATAAATTATAATTGCCCGGAGTTTTGTCAATCGCCTCGTTTTCTTACAATATCGCTGGTCACTCTTAGGTATATTATAATCTCACTAAGCTCATTCAGTGACATTATAACTACCCTAACTCAATAGTAGCAATAGGTACTTGGATGTGGTGAGAAGCCTCAGTGCGTTTTGATTGGTCGACTCATTGATCGAATTTAAAAAAAAAAAAAAACATTTACTTTTAATAGTAATTATTATTTTAATTTCACTTGTGCAATTATAATTTAACGGTTTTTACAATTTACCTACGACATATATACTAATATGATAACATAACACATTCCCATAATGCATATAGAATATTTTTATCGACTCGATAAATAGACTTATGTGTGTACTAACCATCACTATTAGGTAAATTTTGACTCTGGCTACTGCTTGAACTGCTGCTTCTCGTACTTTCAGTGGACCCGTCTGTTTCGTCCTAAAACACGTCATCCAATGCAAAAACAACCTTGTGTGAACGGAATAAGATTCTATTTACAATGAATATCCTTCCCATGTACTAAATAGCCTAGTTAGCATATATAATACTTAACTCTTAGCGTTTATAACTATGATATATGAAACTAACATTTCGTTTCAAATGTTATATTATGTAAATTAAAAGAAAACGTTATTCTAAATATGACGAAACGATGCTAGCATATTAAAAATTGTTATAGTGCCTTTTTATTTTTCTTCTACCCTCCACAACATACAAAAACTCACGCTATACACAAGTATCCAAACAACAATGATCATACAACGAGCTACAGATGCTACTGCATGCAAGACGAAACAAAATTTAAATCTACAATTTCAATAAGCCGCAATAGATAAAAAATTATTTAAATATTAATTATAATTTAGCACAGACCAACAATTTTATTAATTTAAATACATAAAAGCAACATTTTTAAAGCATTTACATTGCAAACTTTATCAAAAACTAAAAACTTTTAACAAAACAATTGGACGTGAACAAGAAATTAAGTTGTGGGTTGAAATTTAAGAGCTAAGTCGACCGTAATATAAGCATAACATAACATATTGTTTATGGAAACAAGGAATACTAAGGAGAAACTTAAAAATCTAAGCAGAGCAAGAAAAATTATAGCATGAAAGAGATTTACCAATAGTCATGTATATATTTTTTAATATTTAGTTTTGTCAATAAAAACCTGTTTCAGATATACATTGCTATAGTGCCCTACTGCCCTAAACCTATTAGCACATTCTATTTTAACTAAGGGTACGTAAGACCTACGCCTAGCCCTCAAAACCAGGAAAAAGAGCAGAAATATATATCTATTAATCATCAGGAATTGTCAGTTTGTATCACACAACTAGCTTATAATGGAATGCATAAAGCACAAGATATCATTCAAAATATCGTGTCGCTTGAGCTTTATTAGGTGTTAGTGTAGTGTTAGTCTAAAGCGTGTAGCACGGGTATCAACGCCAAAATCTGTTGTCCTTCACATGTCCTCATGGACATATAGACTGGGCAGATCATTTTCCTAAGACAATATAAATTATATTCACAACGAAAATGTTCGATGAATCTATATGTCCACCACTCATAGACAATCGCCCAAAGCACAATCGTTACAAGCGAGTTTATGGGCTATGACACGCAGTGCATAAGTCCTAACCTCATTGATTAATGAAAAAAAAAACAAAAGAAATTGTGAAGATAGAACGAGCACAACATTTTTACACATACACGTCACGCCCTCAATCCCGCTCGCTGCTTACCTCCGAATCCTCCATAGAGCTTGTTGTGGTCCTTCGTCTTCGCGAAGTCGATGCCCTTCTTTCGGGAGTGACACCTCCAGTTGGAGTACTAAAATGATTCTCATCAAACGTCAACGATTCACCAGATCCATCACCGGTCTCTTCCGTCAACGTCCGTACTCTGCCGAACGTAATTTCCTCTATTTCCGTCCGCGTATCGTCGTCTATGATACCATTAGAAGACTCAGTGTCATTATTGTCGTTGATGGCTATAGCATCCATGCCTGATTGCAAATCATTGTCTGCAACATCAGATTCAACAGTCTCTTGACTAGATTGGTTATTAGTATCTTGAGCATTTTCAGCAGTTACAATTTCATTATTGTCTACTTCTGTCGCGTCGGCGGCGGTTTCGTTGCCGCTCACGACTTCGTCTGCTTCATTTTGATTATCTCTTACATTAGTATCACAGTCGTTGCTTGTATTTGTTATGTTTGTTGTTTCTGTATGAGCTTGCTCCCTGAGCTCCGGTGAGAGGATTGGCGTGGAGTAAGGCGTGTTTTCAGTTGAATTTTCAGCTCGCCTTTCACTCGCATCCTCCTGTTAGATATTGTGAATTGACACTAGCTAAGTTAAATTAAAAGCAATTTCTGTATGCGAAATTACTTTGGGTTTAAGGGTCAATTAAAAAATCTATCGAAATTGAAGCTTATTTATATACCCATAAGAAACTTATTTTTATTCTTTAGATTACTTGAGATATAACAATCTAAATCTATCAACTATAAAGTACCTAAGAATCAAATACCGTAACCAAAGTACAATTATATTGGCTATATGACAATAGGTATAAATAACAACATTCATAAAAAAACCTTATTTCCCTATAAAAAAATGTGCCGAATTGTCTATGACCAGTGAGGACAACACGATGTAATCTGAGTACACCCGGTTATTGCAACAAATGGGCAAATGAATAACGAATTATTATTGACAAACATTATATATTAATAGATAATAAATTAAAAAAAATATTTCGGTATCCATCATCCATATTAGTGTGAAATAGACACATGAGGTAAATAGACATCTTGTAAAAAAGACCATTCGTGAACTAGAAATGTATGTAGCACTATTTTTTTAAATGACGTGACAATGAACTTAATACGAAATGCATCTTCACTATATCGATTAATAATCGATTATTCAAATCGAATATAATATTTTCATATAATTTACATCTATTAGTGACGTTTATAAGATTTTATAGTGGAGATACACTTATTTGTGAAATTAATTTTAGTTAGTCTCCCCCATGTCCTGCGAAAGCCCATGCTGCTTTTTTTTCTAATAAAGAATAAAATAAAAATGTTAATACGACATGATATAAGACTTTCTAATCATGAAAGAACAATTTTCATTTAAAAATCCAGTCTTCTAGATTTTATCGTGACGAGTAGGTGTACCGTATACATATTAATTTTATACAAATCTACTTAATATAACATATAAGTTTTATAATATTAAGTCAATAAAATTATAAGATTTTTACCAGTGCTACCTATACCAGTTATGTAATTTTTAATCTAGCTCTATGTTAAATTTTTATTTTTAACTACCTGACCTGACAGACCTTGGTCTGTCAAATCAAGTGTATAGCAGACCCGATTAGAAAAATATTGTTTTTACGTTTTTCCGTGATATTTTTCCAAATTTTCTCTTCATAAGAACCTTCCTTGGACTTTAACGTATATTTGAAAAAAAAGAATTAGCCGAATTTATCCAGCTGTTCCCGAGTTAGTTTAGCAACACATTTAGCGTTTTGTTTTTATTTATAAGATTCATTATAGGTTCTTCTCCGATCACTGAATATTTATTGGTAAAATACATATAAATATGGAGAAAAAATCAGACGGCATCAGAAAAACTCAAACAAATCCGTAAAATAAAACTGTCTCAGTGACTTAATTATTGGCTTTTCAAATCACACACCACGAATATTATTTAAGCCCGTTTAAACTTTCATTACAAAAAAAAATATTCACTTATCCTCTTATGATACTATTAAAAAAATAAGACCTACATTTTGATGTTTTTGTTTTGCTTTATCTGTGAATTTAAAAAATATATATATCTAACTTCAAGTAGTTCATGCATTAACGTGAAAATAATATGCAACTAAAGGACTGTTAAGATTTTGCTACACATACATACATAGATACATATGTACCTCGCACATACCAGCGTTATTTCTCAATGAGAAAAAAGTATCTCTCTCAAAAGCTACATTATCAATTCAAAAAAAAACTGTTCTGATAACGCCCTGAAAGTTCTAAGTTTAATGCAAATAAATCTAAGCTTACAGATGATAAGACGCAAATAACGCAAGTACAAAATATCACATGCATACGCCTATTCATGCAAAACAAAAGTCTGTGACGCTTGCAAAGCTTTCAGAAAGTTTTCTCAAAGCTTTTCCAAATACATCAAATGATAATTTTATATGTATACATTTATCATGCATCTGTTACGCAACGTTCATTTGAAAGCACCATACAAGCTTAACTCCTCGACTTAGTTTATACAATACCCAATTAATACGTATTTTATTATAATAATGTATGTCCCTTTTAAATTACAAGCTCGTGCTAGACTAAAGTTTAAAATGTAGTCGACAAGATTGAACCTATGACCTTTTATCATATTGAGCCGCAATTCAAAATTTTCAAATATCTCTAATGTTTAATTAATTATTAAATTTAATTAATTAATCTAACAACATTATCTATTATCGTTGTTTTTTTTTGATTACTTAGCAGAAAGTGCGATACGGAATACTTTATTCATAAAAAATTTACTATTAATTCAATATATTAAAAAAAATTAAATAAAAATTAAATCACCTTACAAGACCCTAGTATTTCATATTAAAAAAACCTGAAATTATTATAATAACAGTCACTATATAACCGTCACTATTATAAATCAAAATCACTACGATAATAGCCCTATACATTTTTTTTCCAATCACATACCTGGTGCTGTGTGGAAGGACTCGCGTGTTCGTCGTCGGCGGAGATATGGAAACGTCGTTGGAACTCCGTCGCCGCCGTTTCCATACGCTCCGCTTGAGACTCTATACTCATATTACGACTGTTGGGAGAAAATGTTATATGGTTATTTTGGTTTGCAAGGAGTTTAAAGATTTAATTGTATTTTCAACCGACTACAAAAATGAGGAAGTTCTCAATTCGGCTGTATTTTTTTTAATGTTTGTTACCTCAAAACTCCGTCATTTATAAACCGATTTGGACAATTTTTGTTTTGTTTGAAAGTTTATATATACGAGTATGTACTTCCCTTACATGTATTTTCTTATATTATATGTACTTCACTTAGTTTGATCTCATTTAAATTTGTATAAAAATACAACCACTAAAGGTAGAAAAATAAGTGTCTCTATTCCGAATTACACTCAAATTCATTGAGCTGTTAAAATATGAAGAAGTAACATACACTATTAAGTTCAGATATAGTCGCTATTTGTTTCGCCTTCAATAGGATTTGCAATATTTTAATTAGACTACAAATGATGCAATTTTGTCGATTACTAAGAAAAATATTCCAGGTAGTTTATGTTTACATATCTATACTACTATTATAAAGGGACCGAGTTTGTTTATTTGAACGCGCTAATCTCAGGAACTACTAATTCGATTCAAAATTATTTTTGCATTTGATAGCCCATTTATTTAGGAAGGCTATAATAGGCTATACGAGTATATCATTTTGCTAGTACCAAAGGGAGCGGAGCAGTAATCATAAATGTCAACAAATCGAGCTTCCATACATTATTGCAAAGGGAAGGGTCTAGGGGCGAACTCGAGCGAAGCGAGTGAGTCGCTAGTAATAATATAATTGTATTAAATCAATCACAAAAGATACTGGGCTGGGCTGCCACTCTACTTACTGCATGAATTCTTATGAGAGGAGTTTAAACTTTGATAGTCTAACGATATGCAACATTTGATAGAACTTATATCCTTATACAATAACTATTAAAATTTAAACTTACGTGAAAGTCGGTCTCTCCCATTGCGTGGACCTTTCTATGTGGTTCACGTAATACGTCCTCCCATTAGCATCTTGCCGCTCTTCCCACCCCGCCGGCAACGGATCACCACCAATAGTCTGAAACAACGCCTACATTTAGACTGAAAAAAGAATAATTATAATCTAGAATATTCCTTGAATGTTTTTGAGAAGTCGCGCATGTTAATTTCCTTGAAAAAAGTGGATATATTCACAAAGAAATACTAACTTCTTACGATAGATATAAGAACTAGCCTTGTTGACTAAATAGTAACTTAACAAATTAAATTTCACACTTAGGTTTCATTAACAACGTAAGGGTCCTGAGGGAGAGAGGGAGTTCTCAAAATCTAGTTGGGATAGGGGATGTGTAAAAACCATACTTACGTAATATTTTGTAAGTAAGGATATTTGAGAGCTAAGCGTCGGGGGAAACAACTCTGAAAACTGATTTTTCTTTTTTATATGTACCATTTAAAAAATAAAAATCTTTGATTTACGTCAAATTATGAGTTTTAAGTACAATTGATTCTTTTCTAAAACTAAATAAAATCTTACGTAAGAAGGGGGAATCTGAGAAATCTTAAGCTCTTACATGGGGGGAAAGGGGCGGGGAGGGGTGGGGGCTGTGTCAAAAATGACCAAAATTGTTCTTACGTAATTAATGAATAGCCTTACGTGACTTTTATCTAAGGATTAAAAAAACTGCCATTAAACCTGTTAACTGTGATTGAATTGATAAACGTCGTATACATTGATTCTAAACATTTGGATCATAGATTAAAGTTTAGTTCTTATTTTTCAAAGCTGCTTTCCATACATTTCATTTTTATATTATTTTAATACAATATTGATATAACATTAAATATAAAGGCTGCCTGTTATTTCATCGGGCGTAGACTTTAAATCATCTTTTGTAAAACCATTAGTTTCGTATCAGCCATATATTTCATTTTACACTTATGTCTTAATTTTTTTGTGCCAATATATATTAAAATAAGTAAACTATAAAAGCAAGCAAGTGAAAAATAAAAGAACCTACTCTGCAATCCATTTCATCCACCAAGAGCCAGTCCTCGCCGACGAGCGACGGAACCGTCGACACCTAGTGCCATTCAAAACTGTGCTTTACTTTTCTACTTGAAACTAGCATGCACTAAATAAAAATAATATATCAACTACAAAAATAATATACTAAACAATATACTAATATTCACGAAACATGACCAAAAAAAAAGGCTTTATTTTCTTCTTGCTTTTAGAAGTCTTAAACTAAAAGTGCATATCAACTAGCTATTGGTTAAGCAATATATATATATATATATATATATATATATATATATATATATATATATATATAGCTATATCGTATATATATAAAAATAGTAAAAATTTATATAAAACTAATGATTTTCACATATTTTATCAAAATGACACAGAGACAACAACAACGCACACATTAAAATAATCTTACTGATTCCTCATCCACACTAGTCATTGCAGACTAAAAAAATAAAACAAAACATTAACATTTTACATATTATTATTTAATTATACTGGAAAAATTTAAATACAACATTTTTTACCTACTGATATTGATAAATTTAATAGCTATATTAAACATAAACAAAGTGCTTACTAAAATAATAAAAAAAACTAATAATTATTATGATTATCAAGCCATTCTAGGGTTCTCTACATCTAAAGAAAAAGTAACATCTAAATATGATCGTTAGCATGTCTGTTTGTCTGTCTATCATATGCCCTTTCTTTCCAACTTATTGTACGCAAAATATACTGTATTCAGTTTCCCAGCTCTCAATAAAACTCGGTGGTTCAATGAAAGATCTACTATTGCAAAAAAATAGTTTAGGTTTTCTACATTAAGTTTAAAGAATAAATCGAAATTTGAATTGAAATTGTCCTGTTATACATTACAATATGTTTATATTTTTTAATAATTATACCTCTTTCCATCTAAGCTGTAGTCTTTTAATGTCCTTCATGTACGGAACCCTCCTTGACAATAGTTTGACTCGCTATTGACATTTTTTTTCTAAGGCATTCCATCCTTTAGCAAGTCCACTTACTCTTATTCAATGATCAATAAAACTAATTTCATTGGCATTTTTATTTAAGTTTATAGCTTATCTAACCACAATCAGACATCAGACCGTCAGTGCAAGAACAGCCTAACCCACGTTTTTTTGTTTTTCGACTTAAATACGCTAAAGTTTAATTTACAAAATACCATGTATTCTTATGAATAATAAATGCCGCTAAAAAAATGGTTTTAATATTTTATTATTTCTACTTTTTGGAAATGCAGAAATAGCCTAAGCTACTCTATGTACTTACAATGCCATTGCTGCCATATGGCTTAGGCTGAATGAAATGCGATCCTTATCAGAATAGCGGGGGAAAAGTTACATACGATTTAGCCTAACCCTCAAATGTATTTTAAAAAATTTGAAAATATATAAATACAAAAATTACCTAACCCACATTTATTTTTTGGAAAATAGTTATTAAATGTCTATAACAAATTTAGTTCAAAAGAAAATAGGCTAAAAACGAAACAAAAACCTTTGAAACTCAAGTTAGCGCTAAATGAAGAACAAAATACGTATGTATAAGTTTTAAAATATATGAAAATGCTAGCGACTCACCCTCGCTTCGCTCAGTTTCGTCCCTAGGTACGTTTTCACGCTTAATATGGAATTGATTTTTTTTTCGTCAATTTTATCGATGTTTTATTACTTATTCTGCTATTCGAGGTGAAAACAAATCCAACAAATCAAAGATCATAAAAATCCGTTCAGCAGTTCTCGAGTCATAATTGTTGTAACAAACTAGACTTTGTTTTATATATGTATATAGATTTAACAGCCATTTTCTCTAAAGTATCTGCCTCTCATACAACATGTAAAACATAGCGTTTCTAACAACACATGTTTTATCTAATCGACTATTGTCCGATTTCACCAACGTCACCTAAGTTTAAGGGATCCCCTTAGCATGGCTAGGGGGCTGTTAGGGGACAGTTTCTGTTTCACCGACAGTTAGGGGTCACCTTAATACTAAAAGGCCCCCTAAATTTAGGTGCTCGAAATATAGGCTTAAAGACGATCGTAAAACGAAATTTAATTTAGGGACTAGTTTAGGGGACTTTTAAGCTAGGGATCCCATACGTAGGTGGTAGCTTATGGGTTGTTGGTGAAATCGGGCATATATCTTCTACTATTTATTTTTAATTTAAAGAATAAAAATCTACCTTTAATAGTAAACAAAGGTGACTAATTTTACGTCTACGTACATTTTTTTTTAAGTGGGTATAACAAAAAATATTACAAAAAACAATGCAATTTTTTTTCTCATGGCCTTGCGAAAATGTTTAAAAACAAACAAATCTATTACACTGTTTTGAATCTTACTGATTGTCCGTCCACACTACCGCTGCGCAACTGAGATTAAAATAATATTATCTTGACATCACATCAAGTAATCTCTAATTCGCATTGTTTAATATCCATCTATATTATGAGGAAAAGTTATAATCATATAGTGTAATTTTGTTTAAAGCCAATATAATGAACATGAAATTGATGTAGTTTTATATTGCTGTAAAGCATTTGAAACGTTCGGAACCAAAAATCAAAATAAATCCGCGAAAGAATCTAAAAAGATAGTTTTTTTTATTTAAAATTACTAATATTTCTACTACTCTACTCCACTATAATTTATCGTAACTAGAGAAATCGAATTTTCAATTCCACATGTTCAATACACGCAACGGCTCGTACGGGAATGGAACCCGAATACTTAATTATTTTGGTATATAATTGAATTAATATATTATATGGCTAGCTGATCTACAAAAACTAATAAACTTCTCTTACTGATTCTTCGCCCTCACTAGATGTCGTCTGCTTAAAAAAAGCATGCACCAAAACAATAATAATAAATGCTATGTAAGATAATAAATAAGAGTTTATATATACATATTAAGAATGCATAGAAAGAATTATTCAAAATATACCTATAGTCAATATATAGACTACTTTTCAGAAATATAAGTAGATCAAAAAATTAAAATTTCTACACTATCACAAAATTTCTATGAAAAAAAATATACGCATATTCATCCCAAAAAGAAAAAAATACATTTTCTTTTTATACTTAAGAACGGGTGAACATGTTTCTTTAAAAAAAATTAAATACATCAAATTTATAACGGAAAAAAATAAAAATTGTCAGAAAAATAAATGTTCGTTATGCCACTTGCCTTTTTAATTCATTTTTGGGTTATTAATTGTGTCGTTATTTTTTTTTTATTTAAATACATTTTTAAATTAACTTACGGTACTGATTATTTATTATAATGGTTGTGTAGATTATAGTAATGATTTTTATTGTTTTTGGCTGCAATTTTGTTTTTATTTTCATTTTGTACTGTTTTTTTTATCTTTAATTTAGTTTTTTGTTTGGGTGTGGGTATTAGGGTTGGAAGTAGAGAACGCCTTATTATATTACATGTTGAGCTAGCCTGTAAGTGTGATGTACAGTGTAATACTTTTTAAATTTGTTTTATATTTTTAGTTTTATATCACATTGTGTGTTGCGTTGGCTTGCCTAATAAATAAAATAAATAAATAAACTACAAAAAAAAATTGTCCGTAAAATTTACCAATCGCTAAACATTTATTTTTATAGGATTTTTGTATGGACTAAATGATCACAAAATCCTGAGGACAAGACACTGAAGAGAACTTTGTCCACGTACGAGTCAGCTAATAAATAAAAAAAAAGAAAGTAGAAAGTAAGTAAATAAAAAAAATAAAAAAAAATAGCACTCACCGGTTGAACGTTACCCACTTGTGGGGCCGGTTCCACCAGCTCCCAGTCATCGGGGGGATGGTTGGGGGCCTCCTCAGTGCCGGGGTCGCCCACTCTGCCCACTAACGCGTGGTACACCTCGATATATCCCCGGACACGTGACCGAGCACTACACACCAAAATATTATTTAAAATCACACTACTGTTATAAATGAGCACGTTTGCATGTGTGTTTGTACGTTTGTTACTCGTTAAAGCCAAAACGGCTGTACATATTTTGATGAAATCTAATACACAGATAGTTTAGGAGCTGGAGTAACTAACACATACGCTACAGTGAGGTACCTAGTGAGAATAAATTACTAAATAAAATTACTTAAACTATAATAAAAAAAAATCATCAACAGGTATGAATTAAATATATACTTTATGGAGGATATTTGACAGTTGACAGAACTAAGTGTTAAGATTATTTTTAAGCAATGGCTAGTTATGGCATAATGTCAAAATAAATTTTAGCTAAAACACCATGTAATTTTAATATAAACTATTAAATAGTATTGATAGGACGTTGGAATTTATGTACTTCAAGCATAAGTTTAAGGTATCTAAATGTATGATGAATTCAAAACGTAAAATAACTTGAAAGTTCGCGTAGACAAACATTTTTAGCTGTCTAAAACCACTAACAGGATTTTATAAGGATATTCCACATATTGTTTTGAAATGGTTTAAAACAAATAACGGTTTAGGTACCCTTTAATTTAGGTGTCGTTTTAAAGTACTAATTATTAATTTTTATATTTTTGTATTAGTTGACTTCTTTACATATAATAAAATTCTGAGTTGAATTTGGACATTAAATATTTTTTGGAAAATCTTATTGAAATAGTCATTATTATCGATACAGAGGCCGAATCTATAGTTTTTAGCCTATCTTCTGTCTGCCTGTCTGGGAATGCATCACGAGAAAACCTCTGGACAGATTTTGATGAACTTTGATATGAGGATAACTGGTTATCAGAGTATATATTATATAGGATACTTTTTACTACTAGAAAATATCTCATCTCTGAGAAATCTGTACTAACCGTTAAAACGTACCTAGGGATAAACCCGAGCTGAGCGAGGGTGAGTCGCTAGTACCTATACAATATACATCTTAATAAAATTTAAGATTAACCAAAATAATGCTTAAAAGATAAAAGATTAAATAATAACATTAAAAGTAAGCCACAGACAATTCATTACATCCAAAAACACATGCAAATAATTATGTATTTCAAACACGTTTAACAAAAAAAGCTATTTTATTTGTAATGAAATATTGAAATTCGATTTTAGCCTACTTCTCTACCGCATCGTTTTTAACTTTGAATATGAAATACGGATTAAATATACCTATACTTTTGTTTCTCATGAGAAAGGAGCGTAATGAAACTTTACAAAAGCTACTAGTGAAAAATATCTAATTTAATTTTTTTTAACGAACCCCATGGAGGCATATGGTGAAGAAAATTAGATGATGGAACCAGAGGAAAGTTGAATGAAATGATGAAAATAGGGTCAGAACATCTGAAATCTTCAATTTTTTTGACTTGAAAACATGTTTTTATACTAAAATAATTGATTGCCTCAGACATTAATCAAACTATGTCACATCTATGTAGTGATGAGATAACAGGTTAAAAAATATATACTACTCGTAAATAGACCGATCAATTATAACGTAGGCAGATTTAGAGGACGGAGCTTCATCTTTTTCTTACTTTTATCAAAAAAAAGGGAGTAGATGGAAATTAAAACCCTTTTAAAAGATAAAATTGATAAAGCAACGAAAATGTTGTCAATAATATATTAATGACTTGTAAAGATAAGCCTATCGTTAATGATTTTATTAATTATCTTATTTTATATAATAAATATACTAATACTGCAATCTATATTAAGTGTATATCTATATATATAAAACAAAGTCGGGTTTGTTACAACACTTATAAGTTGAGAACGGCTGGACTAGTTTTGATAATCTTTGATTTGGTAGATTTGTCTCCGCCCCGAATAGCAGAATAACTAATAAAACATCCGACAAATTCACGAAAAAAAAATCTATTCCATACTAAGCGTCAAAACGTATCTACGATATATCGCTACTTACATATAAAGACGATTTAGCTTTTTTAATTCACCTTTTTTTTAAGGAAAGAAATGTCACGTCTTATAATTTTGGGAATCATAATTTTCTTATTATCTTTGAAACTATGCTTACTTACAGAATATAGAATTACCACATTTTTATTATTAAACCATAATCTATACATATAATAAAAGTGTAACTGATCTGTCTGTACATGGAGAAATAAAAACTTTTTAACAAAAAAATAAAAACCGACTTCAAACAAAAGCACTAAAAAGTAAAAAATAACTGATTGGTAGTTTTCATTTACTATACATACCTAATCAAATATTTTCGAAGTCGGTGTGCTTTGCTTTGTATGGACTGGCACCGATTTCGAAAATATTTGATTAGGTATGTATTTAATAGGTAGGCTTTAATTACTTAGCCAAAGCCCAAACTTAAAGTATCTACTATTAGCCGTTGAAGAGTTCCACCTATCCACCTTCTGGCCTTACCATCAGATCAGGTCAACAATACCGAACCACTGTACTATTAACGGAAATAGAAACACTTGCAAAGTTTCAAGACAATATGACAATTAGAAGTAGGTTAAATTCATTATTAGCTATTTTTCCACCCTTAGGAGTGGTATTTTTTTTTTTAAATTTAAATGGGACCAATCTGGAAGTGTACCCTTTCAAACAAGACAAAAATTGTCCAAATCGGTTATTAATGACGAAGTTCTGAGGTAACAATCATAAAAAAAAAAAACAAAAAAAAATACAGTCGAATTGAGAACCTCCTCCTTTTTGAAGTTGGTTGAAAATATTATTAGGATTCTTTATTACCCAAAACAATGATTTTTAGAATTTTTGTCTGTATATCTGTAAGTTTGTGCGCGCTAATCTAAAAAACGGCTTAACCGACGCGGTATAGTGCATTGTGGTAAGCTTCACTTAACATTTAGTATTTGTTTTATAACAATCAGTTCATAAATAAAAATGTTATGTCAATTTGAAGAATCGCCTAGGGACGAACCCGAGGGAAACAAGGGTGAGTCGCTAGTCTACAATAATGATAAATTATAGAACACAACAGAAAACATCCAAACCATGCTTCTACATCAAACATCAAACTAATATTACACAAAAACTACAAACATTACTTACGCGTTCAACACTTGATTGGTGTACTAGAACATTACATTATTAGTACCAAATATTTAAAAAAAACGACTTTATTATATTAAAACCCTTACTTAATACTATGAGTGCGAATGTAAAACGGCACTAATATTACTTTCTTAGATTTAAGCTTATTTATTTGACATTTTAAAATAAAACTATCTTTTCGGATTTTTTTCTCCCGTGACCATGATTGCTGTAAAGTATAAATTCTTCAACACGTCGGAAACCAAAAATCAAAATAAATCCACCAAAAAATCCGAAATGATATTTTTATTTAAAACGTCACTAATAGGTCCATGTTTCTCTATGATAGTAATACTAAGTCTAGTGACGCCTATTTAGTATTCATTATATAGTATTTTGAATAGGGACCTATCGGTCAGAAAGTGAAAAAGATTTCTCTATACATGTATTCAGCCCTTTTTAACGTCCCACTGCTGGGCGCGGGCCTCCCTTCAATACGAGGGGATCAGATCATAGATCCACCACGCTGGCCAACTGCGAGTTGGCGGACTTCACATGTGTTTCGAAAACTTGCTAGGTTTTCTCAGACATGCAGGTTTCTTCACGATGTTTTCCTTCACCGTAAGGCAATTGGTAATCATATTAGAAATGATTCGCACATGAAAATATCAGAGAGACCCGGGATTTGAACACGCTTCACTCGGTTTCCCAAACAAGCACGTTACCACTGGGGTACCACTGCCTTGCATTGTATATTGGAAAAAATCACCAATGACATGACAATAATAAAATAATGATTTACTATCCCTAAAGTAATTACAGAATCAGTTTGCCAGAGAAGGAGGGAAAGTGCCAATATATACTCATATTACTAAGAAAAGCGAGTTTGCACTTTCTATGGAGGTAACTCCGGAACTGCTTATCACAATCTAAACATTCCTTAGAAATCTACATGATCCCTTACTATACTTTATTCTGATAAAAATAACTTTTTCGTACGAAATACTTAATATCGTATAATTACTATATAGAAAATATAGCAAAATATACATATATATATATATATATATATATATATATATATACATCAAAACATACAAACGAGCAAATCTTCTATTCAGGTAAAAAAGGTATATATAAAAGTGAAAAACTCACTCCCTGAGTGATTAATTACGAAACCTCATAAAATACTAACAAGTAAACAGATCTAGTGTAATATGGGAGTTTAGTGTAATGGGAGCCACGGCAAGGATTTTTGAAAATTTACAATTTAAAGGATAAACCTGTTGCAAAAATTGTTATGTAATGGATATTTTTGTGGTTGAGTAAGTAGTGGTACAAATATTAGCACTAAAGAGATCATACCGATGAGGCAAAAAACATGATGATGGGATTCGGAAGCTGACATTATCTAGACATTAGCTTTTATTCTATTTTTAAGACTCTTTCTAGCATCAATAAAAGGAGATTCCTATTTAATTACACAAACTCGAACCTAAGATAGTGGTTAAACCAAACTCACATGCATCTAATATGCTCAATAGAAGAATCGACTAACTTTGGTGACTAAATTCAGTAGACTACACTGCACACCATAAAACATGATTTTTTGTACCAAAATATTTTTTTAATAAGCTTATGATGGCTTATAATATCAATCAGCTCACTAAACATAGTGTATAATAATTATTCAAGTGCCGTCATCTTAGATGATCACAAAAGTCAGCCAACCAGTATATACCAATTTAGCAACTAATTGTTGATATTTCTCACAGTTGTTATCCTATCGAACATTCGTGATAACCCTGCACTAATCAAACGAAGGCCGGCCTAAAATTATCTATTCTATATCTATAAAAACAAAAGAAAACTACAACCAAATAAATAAAATCCATGCATCAGTATCTACTTACACAGACCTGCGCGGGCGCAGGGGATACTTGTTGAGGGGGGGTCGGGGAGTTGCTGCACTCTCGAAGGGTGTATTGTTTAGGGGTATCTCTACCATGCCCAGGAAGTCGTCCCTGGTTAAACGGTTCTCGTCGAACACCTGGATGAGCAGCTTCTGCTCTTGAGGCTTTACCTGATGATATCGAAATTTAGAAGATCGAAATAAGTTGGATTTCTCAGTAACTAGCCACACAGACGTTTTCTTTTCTCATTTTTAACTTTAATGTCTGATTAAAATGATCTTTGAGGTCATACAAAAATTGTATTCAAAAAACACTTCATTTTCCCAAATTTCCGAACTTTTCAATTTTTCGGACAACTTTAACTTAAAAATTAACCTAAAAACCTTACTTGTTCTATTGTGAACATTTAAAAATAATAACCAAATCGATCCAGCTGTTTTCTATAAACAGCTTTTTATTTTTATTATATAAATAGATACTTCCAATGAGTTAACAGAAAGAAGTATTTAATAAGTATCTTTATAAAGTAACAAATATTAGAATGACATAATTTAAAAAAAAAATATGTTCAAACAATTAAACTGCAGATTATTAAAGGATATATTATAATATATAGATAGACTATTCAATCTAGGTATTTCGGAATTTCGATACAAAAACACTTGACACTCTATTACATCGAACAAATTACTTATGTATTAGTATATTATTAAACATATCTTAGAGAGAGTAAAGCCTAGTTCGCATTAAGCTAGTATTTTAGTCTAGTAGCGAGTAATTTAGTAACTAAACGTGTCTGAACACTAAAAATTTAGTCGATTAGTTTAGTAAGTAATTTAGTCGAGTCAATCCATTTTATTCTATTTTTTTGGGCGAGTAGCAGCCCCCACCACGCGTCCGAGCTCACTGGTTCACCGGCTAAACAAGTACGAACCTGTCGAATTAGTCGAGTTCATTAGTTGCCGCCATAATGTCGTTTCGCTGGAGCGAAGTAATGACTTTTAAATTTGTTTCGAAATATGTTGAACACGAATGCTTGTGGAATACTAGGTCCTTGCATTATAAAAACAAGCATATGAAACATTCCGCATACTTAGATTTGGAAAAAATAATGAATATACCATTTTCGTACCCATAGCTTCTTTTTATTAATCACACAAATTTCCTCATCCACCTCTTCTAAAATAGCCGTTACGATCAGCTTAATCAGTTTATTTACTTTATTGCGTTGTAGGCTGTTCATCTTGCAAAACACCACTCACTTGTAAACTGTACTCGACCAAAGTGCGAACGATTTTTGGTGAGTAGCGAGTAATTTAGCTACTAAATTACTCGCTACTAGACTAAAATACTAGCTTAATGCGAACTAGGCTTAACAGAGTTCACTTTAGTTAGTACGCGAACAAAGCAGTCGTCAGTGTTTGTATTTTTTAATATTTTTTTAGTTAATTATTATCTTATCATAACCATTTAACAACAAATTCTAAATGAATAAGGAATTTTACTTACTCTGAATACAAACTCCTGATTCCATACTGGATTTAATGTCTGAAAGAAAAATGCTTGAATTATAAAAATATATTTTTGTATGTATTGTACTTTTTGACGTCCCACAGCTGGGCACGGGCCTCCCTTCAATACGGTCAGGCCATAATTCACCACACTGGGCAAGTGCGAGTTGGCGGACTTCACATGTCTTTCGGAAACTTGCTAGGTTCTCTTATAATTCAACAACCCTCATATATTTTGTACTAAATGTAACGAAATATTGAAAAAGCAAAATAATAATTACAATACCTTTTTCTTTGTTTTTGTAAGAAACGTTTCAACTGTGACGTCACCGTCCACTTTCTGTAGCTCGACGCGAACATATGGGTCGCTGGAATTAAACAAGAATACACAAACTTTGGATATACTTTTTCAAATGTATATTTTTAGATCTTGAATTCTTATATAAATACTTAAGTCAGTGTAGTCAGTTCGAGAAGAATCTACTGCTGACTTGGAGGCAATTTTCCTGAAATCAGCCGACAAAAAACTCCATTTGCTCTTTTTGTTTAAAAGAACAAAATTTTTTTTTTTTGTTTGAAGGGAGCTCCTATAGGAACATTTCGTTGTCCGTCTGTCTGTCAGTCTGCTATCTGTATATCTGTCTGTCAAAACAATTTTTCTTAAAAACGCGTGGAGGTATCAAGCTTAAATTGATATCAAATACACGCAACAAAAGTAAATACATACAAACGCAATTAAAAACAACACTCGCAAGGGAATCAAAACCTATAAGGTATCTACTGCCCGATCACTTAGAAATTAGAATCATGAAATTTGGCAAGAAGCAATGTATTTTAGCACAAGTGAAGTGAAAAATCCGTAATTACTTCACAAAAAAATCAATGAATTGTAAAATATGAAAACAAAATAAGGTTGATTTTCAACGACGGGGCGATCACTAGTACCTATATATTTATTTCCTGTATCTCGCAAGCGGCTGGAACAATTTGGATCAAATACTGTGTTTAGATAAGGTTTTGCTTTTTAAGTTTATCTGCATAGGTGTATTGTATGGAAAAACTTAACTTTTCGGAAAAAAACACGATTTAACAAAAAAAAATCTTATACTTTAACATTGAAAAGTCACGGAAATAGTTGTTTATAAATATTACAGGATATAAAGAAAAGGAATTTCAATGCTTTTAAACTAAAAATTAGTATTTTTTTGCTAGCTATACGTAACAATTATTCACTTCAAGCGAGAATCGTAAACGCGACCTTCGGTGCAGTTAAAGCTAATTAAAGTGCTATCACTGGGCCAAAAAATAACTCTTAATCTTTATTAAGCATCTATTACAAATTAAACAAATAAGAAAATATATTTCTGAAATATTTTAATGTTTTTTAACAGTTTACTTCCGTACTAGGTACCTATATCTATATTTTTAATATCTTTTGCTGCTTTCATAGTTCCTTGTTGGTATCCGTTTGAATTGAAAATTTGCTTAAATATTCAATTCAACAATTCGGTGACGATCCAATCTATACATAATATGTATAATAAAATTGTAACTAAGCCGAATCTTATTGAAATAGTCATTATTACCGATACAGAGGTTGAATCTATAGTTTTTAGAATTTTTGTCTGTCTGTCTGTGTCTGTGACCGCATCATAGAAATTTGGTATGATGATAGCTGATTATCCGGGTCAACACAGGATACTTTTTACTGCGGGAAAATATCTCATCTCTGTGAAATCTATACTAAACGTTAAAACGTGTGTCGCTAGTAATATATAACTCACCTAGCACCAAAGATGTCCTTCTTAGCTAATGAATAAGCCCCCACTATCTTCAACCGAAGGAGGAAGCTATTTTCATCAGTCTGAAATAATAAAAAAAAAATTCGTAAACTAAAAGAAATATCAAAACAACATTAAGTAATATATTCCCATCGAACAATTTTGATTGATGTATGCTCCTAAATATTTTTTGTCACAGCGACTTTAACTGAGTAACTAAATATGTTAAAGATATTATGAAAATCGGTAAAACAACGTAACTCACTTTTTGGCGATTTTGAGTAAATCATGTTTTTATTTTTTAATAATCAAAAAATAATCATTTTTCGGTTCACCCCTCGATACATATATTTCTAAATTGATTCAAATCAATATTTTAACCAAAGTGTAATATTGTGTTCTTGAAATTCAACGTCCTTTGTGTATCCGTTTTAAAAAGTAGTTTAGTTTTTAAAATGGTTATTCGGATAGTTTTTAAAACGGAGATTCATTTAGTTACATGTACCTACTGGCCTTTTTTTAATTGGAAATTGCATTTAGGCATACCATCTGCGTACATACAGGTGGTTATGTGGGACTCCCCGGCTAGAGAAGCCAGTACTATCCACTAAAACCTAATGTGACGTCGCAGGATCGCTGACACACTCAACCACGACGCCCCGACCGCAGGTCTGCCGAAACAGACCACACAACCAACGGGTTGCTCCCACGGTTCACTCTGCTGTCAGAGAGGCACCAGGAGCAACCCGCATGGTGCACCGCCTGCCGAACTGGGCCTCCGCCCATTGTATCTCTTGGATTCACGCCCGGCTAGATTGCGGGACGTTAATTAGGCGCCGACTACGACAAGGTGAACACACATGGGGAGGACATGTACTGGCCTATGCCAGCCATTTGTAATATCGCATTACAAAAATTATATTACAAGATAACATTTTATATAAGTAATTATACCTATGTTACGCATTGTATCACACACATTTACTATATTTATTACATTTTGACACTATTTCATTGAGTTTACCCTTGATGGTCTAGTGACGAAAATGTACGGCTGCAGATCGAGTACTCCAGTTCGAATACCGAGTTATTTTAAATTATTCTTTTACAAAAACTCATAGAAGCCCGGAATTACGAAGTTGGTGGTGTTTACACTCGTGTCTCGAAGTGTACGCTAAGCTGTAGGTATCGCGCCTTATCTCCCCTCGTTCGTGTCGGATTGCCGTCCCAACGAAACATGAGAATTCAAAGGAATATAAAATGCACTAGCACTTGTATCTGCACGTACGCGCTGCATTATATCCCGCTCAGTTGGCTAGTCTCAGTGGGATTTGTCGCCGTTTCTGTTACTTTTGAATGCCATTTTATGAAAAATACTCTTTTAATTATATGCCAACGAATAAGTATTTTCCCTCAGCTCAGACGTAAAAGGCATTATGGCGGTAAGGCTAAATCATTAATTAATAATATAAATGTGAAAGTGTGTTTATTTGTTTGTTTGTCCTTCTTTCACGTCGAAACGGAGTGAAAGATTGACGTGATTTTTTGTGTGGAGATAGTTGGTGGGCTGGAGAGTGACATGGGCCACTTTTTACCGCGGGACATACAATACAATACATTCCAAAAAAAAAATTTATGAGCAGAATAACTTGAAACTTGGTATTAATGCTCTTTAATAAAATTAACGTGCTTTTCCTTTAAGTTGGAAAAAATTAGGTACGATGTTATTCATTGCAGATGTCATTATTGCGTGCAGAGATTCATTCTCTAGGTATATCCTTACTCACACTATCCCACAATCGCCAAAATGTAATTATAAGAGCTAAGAGATTGGACGTGAGCAAAGGGAGATCCGGTATTGGACCGCTGGCTTTACGTGCTCTGAAGAACACCATGCTAACAAATGTTATACTAAAAATAATAATAAATTATTAATTATATAAAATAGGATTTATATGTATTATTGTAAATTCATCATTTTATTCTTTATGTTGTCATTCTGTTCATAAATACTTTTTTGAGTTTTCTGACCTTGTCATCTTGAGTGGAAAGAGGGCGGGAGCAAGGTTGTATTTTGTTTCATAATATATATATATATATATATATATATATATATATATATATATATATTTATATATATATATATAAGCCCCTAGAGTCTAGTACTAACTAGGTAATGTTTATTATTAATAGGTGCGTATATAGGTACATTCACTATTTGTACAATTTACATATATATACATATACACGATATGAAATTTGGCTTATACAAATATTTGAACAACTTTTAACAAATACGAAGTAAATTTTTTATACAAAGAAATACAAAATAGCGGCAAACTAAGTCACTACACAAAATTTACAAAGTTTTTATAGGGCAATTATAATCTAAGTTTAACCTATATAATGAAAGGGTTTTAAGGGTGCTATGGTATTACTTACAACTGCTACACTACTACACTGTCTAGTAGGTGTTTATTAAACAGCTCTATCGTACTAACGAATCATGAGGAAAAATAAATACAGAATACAAATATGAAATACTGAATGTCAAACTCGATATCATTTTTGTCCGTGACATAATGTGAAACCAATACTTCCCGGCGAACCTCTAAATATACGGGGGCCCAAAATCTATACATACCTATAATAAAGTTCTGAGTCGAATCTATACATTAAATATTTTTTGGATAATCTTATTGAAATAATCATTATTATCGATACAGAGGCCGAATCTAGTTTTTAAAATTTATGTCTGTCTGTTACCGCATCACGAGAAAACTACTGGACAGATTTTGATGAAATTTAGTATAATAATAGCTGGTTATCCGGTTCAATATTCCTATAGGATACTTTTAACTGCGGGAAAATATCTCATCTCTGAGAAATATATACTAAACGTATTCTGATTTGTAATTCTAAAATGCTAGTGTAATCTTTATCATCAGACTTCCTCACGGAGTCTCTCCCGTGACCATGATTGCTGTAAAGCGTTCGAAACGTCAGGAACTAAAAATCTAAATAAATCTGCAAAAAAATTTGAAAAACTAGTTTTATTCAAAATGTCAAATATTCGCGTAAATCTTAAAAGTATTATCGGACTTCGGAGTTCGGACTACTATTATTAATATGAAAATTCGTATATCTGTATATCTTTGTTACTTCTTCACGCTGAGAGGGCTGGACCGATTCTATACATTGTACAACATAAAGCGCATAGCGAAGAGAGGGGAAGTCGCCAGGATAAAATATTCTTTTATTAATACTAGCGGCTCATCCTCGCTCCGCTCGAGTTCGTCCCTATGTATATATAAAATATATATAGTTTTACAATAATCTATGGAAGTCTGCCCCATTTGTTGACATTTATGACTACTGCTCCGCGCCCTTGGGTAGTAGCATGATGATATCTTATAGCCTCCTTCAATAAACTTGCTATGTAATGCAAAAAAAAATCAAATCGGATTAGCAGTTCTTGAGATTAGCGTTCAAATAAATAAACAAACTCTACCCCTTTATAATAGCTTGATTCCCCATAAGAACTTTCACCCCCATTTTCACCCCCTTAAGGGATGACTTGCGGGATAAAAAGTATTCTATGTCCTTTCCAGGATCTCAAACTATCTTCTTACCAAATTTCATCTAAATCGGTTCAGTAGATCCAGAGATTACCCCCCTAAAACGTCACAAACTCACAATCTCACAAACTTTACCTCTTTATAATAGTATGTAGTTATAGATTTTTTAATATATTACGCGATACGCGTTTCATTAGGTCGCCATATATAAGCCTTTTAATATATCATAATTAGTCTATTATTAAAAGTTATTTAATTCAATTCAATTCTTTTGTTCAATGGCTCCTAGTCCCAATTGGGCACCAAAAAAGACAGAGCCATTAAAAAAAATAGTACCTACACTTAGACATTGCAGTAGATGGGAAACCACAAACAGTAGATACAAAATGAAAAACATGTTTCATTAAGTAATAAGAAAAACGTGTACAATGTACAAGAAAACTGTCTAGGTTTAATTGCAAACTTTGTTACAGTGAACTTAAGCTAATAAAGATAATTTAAAAATTATAATATAGTACGTGCAACAAAGTAACTTATTCCAATATGAAGAAATAAGACTAAGTAGATTATGTTTGTTTTTAGAATTTAGAGTAAACATTATGCATAAATATGTACATTGAAATTACTGACATTGTCCATGGTGACATTATACAGTACTACTTTGACAATACAGCCCATATAATTTATCTATACATATAATAAAATTGTAACTAAGCCAATTGTTTGATTGTCAAAAAATATTTAATGTACATCTGTACATTAAATATTTTTTGACAATCTTATTGAAATAAACATTATTACCGATACAGAGGGCGAATCTATAGTTTTTAGAATTTTTGTCTGTGTCTGTCTGTTACCGCATCACAGAAAAACCACTGGAGGGATTTTGATGAAATTTGGTATGGTGATAGCTGGTTATCCAGGTCAACATATAGGATACTTATTACGACGGGAAAATGTCTCATTTCTGAGAAAAAATACAAAAACTGCAATGTAAGAGTATACTAATATGCAAAACCTAAGAATTTGGTTTTTGGTCATCTGAACGCGAGCGGGCAATGCTAGTGTAAAATATAATATGCACAAAATTGGTTCTATCCTTTGCTACGTGACACACAAATAATCAACAGAAACACATACACTTACCACTGAAATGGAGCTGTGAGAAAAATGCAATTTATAATACAGTTAGAATTATGATTATCTTTTATGGAGTGAACAGCAAACATCAACTGTTTAATTAAAATCCGTTAATAAGAGCTAAATGGCACATACCATACCATACCATAACACGCAAAATAGGCGCATAGTCGTCGAGTTGCGGAAACCAGCCCGAACATACCATACCAAGAGCTAAATGGATTTCAATTTAATTTTTTTATTTTATATATAATAAACTAGCAACTCACCCTCGCCTCGCTTGGGTTCATCCCTAGTTGTGTTTTAGCTGTTAGTATAGAATAGACTATATTTTATATATATACATAGGAATGATGAGTTGTTGTGGGTTGTATTATGTGTTTTCTATGTCAATGAGATATCTCCTGTGGTAAAAAGTAGCCTATGTCACTCTCCAGCCCAGCCCTCCAACTCTCTCCATACAAAAAATCACGCCAATCACTCTATTTTGACGTGAAAGAAGGACAAGCAAACAAACAAATAAACAAACACACTTTCACATTTACAATAATATTAAGTATGGATATTTAAAAATATAATATCAAAAAGGCATCAAGAGAGTCCCCCATTTGCTTGACCTTCGTGTTCATGTTACTATGTGAATAGATAATTTAGTAAGAACATTTTTTTTATACCTATAAAAGTATAATTAGAATAATCATAATTGTTCATCATTATAAAATAATCACTACTGACACAAACATCCAGGTATTGTATAATTATGTACTATGTTCTTGATGTTAACATTTACACAATTTTATTCTTGATAATACATTCTTTTAAAAGTGGATTAAATATGTTAATTTTTACCATATCATTGGCATTTTTGTATGTTACTAAAAAAGACATATCTTTAGGACCATGATTCATACCATCCAAACCATTTAATTTAGTGTATTTAATATGTTGATACAACATGTTTGTAATCATAAACGATCTAGGCTAAAATACATTCCCACATGCATCAAGAAGAAAAAGACACAAAAATAATATATAAAAATCATGTGTAAGTATTTTTTTTTTAATAATGAAATTTTGATATTTCATAAGTATTTACAAGATAATGCGACCTAAATATTATGTAAAAAAATAAGCAAAACAACCCTATCCCTATACCTAGACTGTATACCTAATATGGCCAATCATGATTGAAAAAGAAAGCTAATGATTCATTAATCAAAAATTTTACTTGATCAAAAATGTTTGATGAATCATACGAGTACATATGAATGATAAAAGTTAATATTAATCAATATCCTTTTGCTTCTCTTATAATAAATATATATTTCGAATTAAAAACATATAGTTTAGCAAAAATTATTGATACAATCTAATGTATATAGCAAATAAACTATGAAAATTCTAGACAAATATAACATTATTTTTTCCAACCAACAACAATTTTATTATTTTTCATGTTCTAAATGATACAATAATTTAATTACTTTTTTCAAAGCAGTTTTTAACTTTTAGTGACTATGTAAATATATACATTTACCTTTAAATTTCTAGTAATTCACCTATGGCAACACATCTATTTATGAGCTCCAATCTTATTAGAAATGGTGAACCAGGTTTAACCAGTTCTAAAATGAATCATATGTACAGATAAAATATTAGTAAAACATTTTAAATGCCATTTCCTGTATGCATTTGCAATTGCAATATTTAATTTGAGAAATTTAGAAAATAATTTAATAAAATGTAGCTTCAAAATAACAAACAATACATTTATTGTTCATGTAGATTTAAAACTTCTAGTTTCAGTGTGTATTTATGTATTTATTGAATTTGTTGTCAAGTTATTTCCCTTAACTAACACTACTATTTTATCACAACAAACTAGTCATTTAGGAGAAGGAACATTATATTATTTTAATATGTTGTTTTATAAATATTATGAGCAACTAGCATTGGTGTTGATAACAATACACGAAATACACTATAAATCCTATTAACAGGCTTAGACTAGGTGTCAATACAGTCTAGCACAACAAATACATATAGTATAATTAATACATATTGATATCCAAATAAAACGAAGACGTTCAGTGCGGCGTTAGCCTGCTCAAATACACTTCATTTAAATGTTAAATCAATCACAAGGACATGTGCACACAAGTACGTTGTTAAAAATTAAAGTTTTCTTAACTCTTAAAGTAATAGGAGTTGAGAACTTACGCGTGTATCCGACTGCCAAGCCATCACCCATGTGAAAATTTACTAATTTATATACGGAATGCAAAACAATTGGAGTTTCTTTTCTAAGCTCATCGGTTGAAATATCTTAAACTATGACACGTTTGCTATACAATTTTCATTAACACCTCCTTAGGGACCTTTCTAAAGTTCAGTGTCATCAGAATTACTTTAAAGATATAATAAACTAGGAAAATAAACACTACGGCATAGAACCACTACTACGGTTAAGGAAAAATACAAACAAAAAACTAAAATATCATGGAAAAATATCGTCTGCACCTTCTGTGACAGTCAAGTGACAGCGGTTGACAGGCTTTGTCATATTGTCACACCAATTTTACGCATTACACCTCATTATACGCAACCACGGTAATACAGGTATAAAATATATATGCGTAAAATATAACTACGCGATACAATGTTAAAAACCTTAAAAGTATACCAATCATAATACTCAAAGATTATTCGAATGCTTTTACTTCCCAGTAAATGCATTCGAATAATAGAAACAAGGTAAAACTCGTACATGTGCCACCTCCTTCCTTATTAAATAATAACCAAAATGTAACCCGCACCTTACAATTAAGATATAAATGTAACCACATAGAATAAATTTAATTTTTATATTACGTACATCGTTTTTAATTTTACTACATTGATTATTTATTATAGATATCCGATAAGTATTACACAATGATTAAAGTTATAATATAATGATCTAGCAGAACCCTCGCCTTTGCTCGCGCAAAAACTAAAAAAAGTGGGTTTCATAAAAATCATCCCCAATTTTACCCTCTAGAGGCTGAATGTTAGAAAACGCTGAAATACGTATCACATTATTTTTGGCGTACTTAATTCATATGAAATTTCATGTAAATATGTCCAAGGAATAAAAAGTTACATATTACAAACTTTTATCCCCTATTCTTGTTTATAAAAAAATCCTTCCTTAGGGATGCCTTCGTCATAAGAGGAATACGAGTGCGAACTTTCAATTTTCTAGCCTTAAGGGTTTGGCCTGTGAATTGATACATTAGTAAATCACTTTTTCCTTATATATATATATATATATATATATATATATATATATATATATATATATATATATATATATATATATACTCGTAGATGACAAACCTTTATAATAAAGCTAGGGACTTGCCCTCGCTTCGCTTGAGTGCAACCCGAGATGCCTAAAGAAGCCTATAATATAGTTCTAGTCCCTCTAGTTATTAATATATCTAATATCTATGTGTAATAATGTATATCTATCTATACAACCATGTTTTTAATAGTAATATGATATAATTACATTAGCAAATAACTAATTAACAAATATCCAAAAAAATATTTAAATGAAAATAAATTCAAATATCATTTTTTATCAAAACTTAGTTAACCTTGAAAGTATATAATTATTCAATTTTGCCGCCACTCACGATCTGTATAATATACCTATTACCTACTGGTTTTATGGCAAGTACCTACGTAATTGATATACGAAATCAAGTTTTATAGATACTCTGTAAAGCAACACTTTATTGTTACTATATATAGTAAGTTTTTATTTACCTGATATTGTAAAGAAAGTCTGGGCTCCGGCCGTGGTACGTTGTTTGTCCTTCGCCATGATGACCAAGACGAAGATCGACTTCGATGCGGTTGAATAATCCTAGATGGATAATCCAATGGCCTTGTATTATGCATGACTGCCACAGAACGGATGTCTCTCATTTCTCATGAACAACACACGAAAATAACACCACACCATCACTTTCGTTTTCAATTTTCATAAAATATTTTCTTAATTTTTAATATTTACAAATATTATTTCAAGAAACGTATTAAAGATGGCGCTTTGGCCATATGACTGTCCTAATCTTATCAGTGTAAGAAACGTACGGTGATAAAGAAGCGACCGCATACAATTAGCGTTACGACGATAACTGGGTTTTGAAGTCATGACAGTTTATACGCTTAGTTTCGTTTTAATTTCGTAGATAACGGTATCAGTCATTGAAAAAATCTTTATAATGCTTATAACTACGGTCTAACGGGTGACATACTTTCAAACTAAAGAAAATATAGCAAATCCTTGTTTACATGTAATATCATGAGTCCTCATTTTTTGATGACATTAACTTTCAAATATTTTTGATATTCACATGCCTAAATTGCAAAACAAACTATTCCACAATGTATATCTTTACATAGTATAAAATGAAATCGATTCCGCTGTCTGTTCGCTTAGATCTTGTAATTAAACTACTCAACGGATTTTAATGCAGTTTTCAGCAATAGACAGAGTAATTCAAGAGGAAGGTTTATAATATGTATCATACATACATATTATAGTACAGATAAACCGAGAAATTCAATGATTTGTATTTCATACTAACCGTTAAAACGTACCTTTAGGGAGTCGTTAGTGTAATTGAATATAGAATTGTGTATTTATTTATAATACATTAATAAAACTGGTAAAGTAGTCGAGTTTCACCTCGTATGCGTTTTTGTGTGTGGAAATCGAAGGTCGAGCCCATTAATGCTAATGCGTACATGATGCCTATATTCATTAAAATTTTTGTCCCGTTCAAACCACAATAAAAAAAATACGATTCATTGTTTGTCCGTGAGTCATTACAAGCTGTTGAAGTACTTAAATTAAACTTCAAACATTTACAGTCGATGTGGTGCATGGGTTTATAAAATACTTACGTAATATTTGGTTTTATTTTTAAGTATAAACTAATAATAAAATTTTGTGTTAGCTAAAAAACCTTGTTAAACTACAAACTCTGTAACAAATAGCTACAACCACAGTCATAAAGTAATTACCTAGTCAGTTTTTAAGCCTTGTTGAAATATAAAATATTCAGGTTAATTAGCCAAATGGCGCAGATGTTGGTCATATAGTTTGATAATTAACAAATACAAATCTTCCATCGTGACGTAAATTTTTATAAACTTCGAAAAATCATCTAGATTTATACGTAATAACTTGTAATATAACTTAAAAAATATTTTTTGTACATTGTACCTACTCCATTTTTATTTTTAAAATAAAAAAAATACATTCTGTGTATCATAAAACCGCACTATGACATAATAATGTTACTAGACTATATTTGACCTGTGCATGCTCTATATAAATTCTAATAGATACGTTCTTAAAATTGAATTTGTGAGTTCCGACATGTGGGTCAATGTTTAGTAAGACATGTATGACAATTACGATAACGAAAACGAAACGTAGTACATTACGCCACAATGTACGAGTATATGACCACCTGACCGATTCCAGCAACGGTGGCCAATTTCACTGAGGTTAGCCACTTGCGCAGGAGTGTTACTAAAGTGCACAAGTATGCAAACGTAAGTGCACTCTGTATTTCTTTTACTCTCAAACTCTGATTGCACGACATTTCGACAGAACCGATGGAAAATCAGGCGCAGAACCAACTGCTTGACGTGCTGTCCATGACATGGTACTATAACACTGCCAACTTTTAGGTTGTTCCTATGAATTTCTTAACAGAAACACTAATAACAATACTTCATCAAATCCATGACTTGATCCCAAGACTTCTATATTTGTGCTGTCTAGATCTATGCTACATATGTAATCAACGAGATTAATGTTGTTAATTAAAATGTATATAAAAATGTAATCGTTCGTTTGTTCAGGACCACAATTCCCGGAAATTTCTTTATCGATTGCTTAGTTAGAAACTACAAGTATTTTCGCTCCTTCCATTTACGTGGGCAAAATCACGAGCATATTCTAATTAAAATAATTGTAAATTAAAAATTTAAAAAACCCCCTACGCAAATTAATTGTCATTTAACGATTACACTGGCACGCGTGAAGCACTTAATCGAGTAATCATACTGCAAAATGCCTTACATTATTTTGGAAAAGAGCTGGTAATCTTACACTGCTGGAACGATATTAACTAAGCAGGAAACTGGCTTTCAAATAAAAAAAACCGCATCGAAATAGGTCCATCCGTTTGAGAGCGACAATGCCACAGGCAGACACGCACACACAGACAGACAGACATCGACGTCAAACTTATACGCCCCTCTTTTTGCGTCGGGGGTTAATAAATTCTCAATTTTAGCTTCAGCAGGTATATTGGATATTTTTATTTCACCGATAAGGGATTGGTTCCCAACTGGCATTCAGCTGGAAGCCACTAAACAAATGAATTGAAAAATTTATATATAGAATAAATTTATTATAACGTGATAAATATGCACATAATAATAATATTGTTTATTTAATAATATTCATTCATTTATCTTTTTCTTGATAGAAATATTTTATATTAACAAAATAAAAAGTAAAAAATTCTAATTTGTCACTGTCAAGTGTCCAAGTTATTGTGACGTTTGCAAAATGCATTGTTTGTTTTCGTAAATGTAGTAGCGTTATATATGGATATTAGGGATAAAAAATAGTTTTCTTAGACATTTTTCATTAAATTACATTCAATATGTCACAGCAATTAATTAATGAAAATAGTAAATATATATTAGAGTATGTTGCATATTATACACTTTTAGTCTAACCTTACATTCAAGGTTTTCTGCTATTTACTTGTTTTAAATTATGTTTCAGCTTATTTTCGGAACAGACAGTCGATTCCCAGAGCCTTGAATCCATATGTGCTCAAGTACAAAAGAGGTTTCCAAAATCTGACCATTTTAACTGTTAGTAATATTTGTTGACAAAACATTTTAATTGTATACACTGTACAGTTTACATTGAATAAAAATTAATGACTTACCTTAAAAAATATATGAATATGCCGTTTTATATTTATAATTTTACTTTATTTATTTTATACACACCTTAACATATAACATTAATTACTAATGGATAATTTAAATGCAATTTTCCAGTGTGTCTTCTTCTATCTTCGCTAATTACTGGTGGTGATTTATCATTACCAGGCCAAAGAGTAGTGGCACTAGCATTAATATTTGATATTTATAAAGTGGATAATCCATTTAGTTCTCTGTTCTTACATTTATTGGAAGGAAAACCAGGGTTATTGCCTTTGGCACCACAAGAGAGAATTTTCATTGCTCAATTACATGGATTTATTGCTGTTAACATTAAAGATGTAAGTTTTATTTACATGAATTAATTCTATTATAACTTAAACTTATAGTCTAAAAATAAGGTTTTATGAAAAAAAGTTCTTTATTTTATTTATAACTAAACATAAACTATAGTAAATCATATCACATCACATAATCTAAATTGCAATTGCTTAGTTATTTTGTATTACCTATGATATTTAATAGATATAAGTTATATGTATTTTAATAGTATAATATGTAAAAAATATTTACAACTTTGAAAATCATGTTGTAGGTATTGAAAAAATCTGCTAAACAAGTAATGCTAACAGAAGTGTCATCAAAAGACCTGGAGTTTGATTATTCTTCACTTCAAGGTTTGACAGCGGAGAGATCAGGTGATATTAGTTCTGTTGCAAAAGCCACTGCACCTGCCTTAGTGCCACTTAGTGATGGGTAAGATCTATAAGTAAAACAATTCACAAACTTGTATTCTTAACTTTGAATCTGAATCATTTTTATTCTAACGAAAAGCTTTAACGCTAACACCTTTGTTAATTTTTTTTTCAGGCACTTTTGAAAAATCATCAGATAAACTAGCTTTGCGTTTCAAATGTGAGAATTGATCTCGCGAAGCAATTTTCGTAGTAACTGACATAAGTGAGCAAGGACAGTCGCAATTGCTATCTGATTCTTGCTAGCGTCTTTCCAACGATTAGTCTGTGACGTCATCAGACGATTTGCGTACGTAATGAGTTTCTTTTTTCATTTGGTTTCCTATGTTATTCTCTGGTATACAAATTGTGACAGCCACGTCGACCCTTATCCTTTTAATTCCTTACCGACTGTTAAAATAAGTTAGCCGCCGTATGGAGGGTATTCGGCAAAACACAAATCTACAGTCGCAAATCAAGATCTTGCGTCCGTATCCATATTGTCAGGGTCAAACTCGCGTAACTTGATGTTCTTCTTCATCCGAGGCATTTGCATGGCCTCGATAAGAGATCACATAATGACATCTCGCCGAGTGTTGGCGATAACACCGAAGGTGCTGCCATCACTCAGGCGTCGTGCCGCGCTTCGTTTAGCGACCGTATTGATGACCGTCTCCGACATATTCATATAATATGATATAAATAAATAAAATATAAATATGTTGGGACATTAACACACAGCACCATCTAGTTCCATGGTAAGCTACAAGGCTTGTGTTAAGGATACCAGATAGTTGATACACTACAGTCTACACTTATATAATTTTAAATTCAACATATTATAAATATAAACACACTTGACTGGAGTACATACACTCATGCTCATCACACAAATGAAAGCCCCCAGCGGGACTCGAACCCGCGACTGCTCGCACAGCAAGTAGAGTCACTACAAACAGCCAAATGTGTAATATATAAAACAAATATTATAAATACAAAAGTTTGTGAGTGTTTTTTAAGTCTATTTGCAATAACAGCTCAAAGTTATAGAAATAGTCAAAATAAAGATAGCTTATATCCTAAATAAACAAAACAAAATAGGTCAATATATGTAACTTGACATATTTAATATAAAAAAGTGTATAAAGAGTATAATTTTAACTCCATTAAAATGTGCTAATATTATGATTATTTTGTATGCCTACATCTGCCCGTAGATATCATGAAAACTAATATATGAACTACGACTACTACAAAAGTAATGTCTAACTCTGAGTTTGAAAAACATTCATATTATGTTATAATTGTTTTTAAATTATGTTTCTTATATTTTCAGGAACTCACCAAACCGTATAGCAATGAAGGAGCTTCTAGAAGCTCTAATGTCTAACGACTACCTTCCACTACACCGCACTCTCAAGCCGTCCGGTCCAATCCCACCTCCGACTTTCCTATTGGACCCCACAGAAATTTCTTTTGCTGATGAGGTATTCTTAATTACATTTATTTAATTAGTTAAATATCGATGTGTCATACCAATTTTAATACTTCTAAAACTAATAAGTTTTTGAATATACTCAAGTTATTTTTTGTATTAGCGAGTGCACTCTTATTTTTTAATAGCAGGACAAACTTTTTCATTTAAATTTCATGTAAAAATCAAACGGGTAACCATTTACATAGTAGTTCGCGTCTGCTAAAACAGAGCCGAATTTATGAGAGGGCAACTGACGTTGCAGTCCCAGATCGTCCATACTTAGAAGGGAAAATTTTAGGTTTTTAGGGGTTTCCACTTATAAATTTATTAATTGCACCGGGAACACCACAGTTAAATCCAACACATTTTTAGAACCATTCTATGCCAAACTATAATAAAATAATACTTTTTGATTACAGGGTGTGTGGAAAAATCTAGTCAACAGAGGTGCTTACGTGCCCATGTACGATACGGACTTTGAAGGACTCCTCGGTTTAAAACCGCCGGAGAAAGTCGAAAAGAAGATTGTCCAGCCGAAAGAGACTAAGCCCAAAGTGGTAAGTACTTCTACATATAATAAACAAGCACGTGGGCGACCGAGCTTAGCTCGGAGTTTTTGGCCAAAATTACAATTTTTTCTTTAAAAAAAAACAACAAAATGTTAGAACTGTGTATCCGACCGGGATTTGAACTCGGACACCTGTGATTGTCAAACTTGCGCTTTGGCCGCTTGACCACGATGCTTATGCCCGAGCGTGCGAAATTAGCGACCATATTTTGCGTGGAATAACGCCAAAGATAACCGCACGAAAACTCGAAAACACGCGTTTTCCCAGATATAAGACTAATCTAGATCGATTATTCACCCCCGAAAACTCCCACATGCTAAATTTCAGCGAAATTGTTAGAGCCGTTTCCGAGATCGCCGGTATATATATACAAGAATTGCTCGTTTAAATATATTAGATACACACGCACGCACGCATGCGACATAAAGACGCGACGCAAACATATACGTATAAGACGTATAAATAAGTATTATTAAAAAATATAGTTATTAGGGATGGGCCGAAATTCGTTTTACATTCGGTTTAACTGAATTTTGGCAGCTTTAGCCGAAATTCGGTTTGACATTTAAATGTCCTAATGTTCGGCACTAGAAAAAAATACCTACTTGCATTATTTTGACTGAAATTAATAGAAAGCATGTCAGTCATAAGAGTAAAATAAAATTAAGTCTTTTATATACTCATGGTCATTTTAGTTAGGAACATGTAAACCTTAAATTGTATGCGATAAGAAAAAATAATTAAATTAGTACTCATTAATTTAACAGTCATAAATTTTTTTGCCTAGTTATTTTTTTTTCGAAAGACATGTGAAGTCCGCCAACCCGCACTTGGCCAGCGTGGTGGACTATGGCCTGATCCCCCTCGTATTGAAGGTAGGCCCACCCTCAGCAGTGGGACGTTAAAAAAAAGGGCTGAATACATGTCATATTATAAATATAAACATCCATGACTGGAGTACAAGCATTCATGTTCATCACACAAATGAATGCCCTCAGCGAGACTCGAACTTGCGACCGCTGACACAGCAAGTAGATTCAATACAAACTGAACCAAACGTTTCGTCATTAACACTATTATATTCCAATATTATATCCTAGAAAATTTTATATCAAAAATTAACCTCTCTAGGAAGAGAAAAAGGAGAAACCAGAAGAGAAGAAGGAAGATAAGGAAGCCAACACAGTAGCAGAAGCGAAGGAGCTGACGCAGCTGGCGCTGAAGTCGGCGCTGAGCGTGCCGCAGCAGCAACGCCTGCTTGCGCTACTGGACCAGGAGCCCAACATTGTGTATGATATCGGGATTACTCCCTATCAGGTAATCCATACAGATAAATAAAATTGAAGTGTCTGTTTAAAATGTCAAAATATTTTTATTATTATTATAACCACACACACATTCACACTTGTTTATATTTTTGATAATGAATATAATATATTTTTTTATCAACTGAAAAATCTATCCAAAATGCAAAATCCGGACATATTCCGCAAAAAAAGCCAAAAAGCCAGACATGTCCGAATAAATCCTATCGAAACCATGCCTATAAGGATGTTATAAACTCTTCCTCCACCTGCCAGCTGCCAGACCTGGTGGAGAACAACCCGATGGTGGCCATATCCGTGCTGTTGAAGCTGATCCACTCGCAGCACATCACCGACTACTTCTCCGTGCTCGTCAACATGGAGATGTCGCTGCATTCTATGGAGGTCGTAAATAGGTGAGAGTTTTTTAGTTATTTTTTGGATTTTACTGAATGGGTAAACATGAGATTTTATGTATATTTTTGTTTTGATATTTTTTTTAATGTGTTAGCAATTTTTTTATTAAACTAAGTTACTGGAAATCTTTGGCATCAAAATAGCTTCTGTAAACTGGGAGTAACAGTTAGCAAATGTCTTATTAGTTGTTTTACAGCAAAACAATATAAGTTGCAATTGTTTAAAACGTTGGGTAAAAGTTGAGGTTTTAGAAAATAATATGTTAAAAGAATCAGGGTCCCGCGAAAAAAAGTTAAAATCCATGAAACTGTGAACAAAATCTTACCTGGGGTAACCGCTAGTTAAGAATAAGCGTTAATTTGACGACACGTTTGGCTCAGTTGGTAGTGACCCTACTTGTGGTGCCAGCGGTCGCGGGTTCGAGTCCCGCTGGGGGCATTCATTTGTGTGATGAGCACAAATGTTTGTACTCCAGTCATGGGTGTTTATATTTATAATATGTATGTATTTAAAGTTATTTAATATGTGTAGGGTATCAACTATCTGATATCCATAACACAAGTTTCGTAGCTTACCATGGAACTAGATGGTGCTGTCTGTTAATGTCCCAACATATATATTGTTTATAAGATTGACGACATCAGTGGACTTGCCGGTGGAGTTCGTGCACCTCTACATCAGCAACTGCATCTCCACGTGCGAGACCATTCGCGATCGCTACATGCAAAACCGCCTCGTGCGCCTCGTCTGTGTCTTCCTGCAGTCGCTTATACGCAACAAGATCATCAACGTTAAGGTACGTACATACATACATATACAGACACACATATCTTATTCAGTCCCTTTTTTAACGTCCTGTTGCTGTCCTAGTGCTTCCCTTTATTACGAGGGGGATCAAGCCATAGACCACCACGCTTTCCGTGTGGGGGCGGACGCACGCATATATGCATTTTCCAATAGGGACCACCTGCAGCTCAACAAATATATAGATCCGATCCTGAGAAGATGCGGGGAGTTGGGACACCACCGACATAAGTTGGGAACTTCGGGCTCCTACTGAGAATTTCTTAACCAAAAAAAAACAAATAACTATATTTGGATCAATTAAGCCCCGGCCTAAAGTCATGACTTAACGAAAAATGCCCAAAATGGTCTTTATATAATTAATGAATGGCCCCTAACCTATAAAAACATATTTTTCTTTGGATGTTTGTCTTTTAGTCTTTTATGCTCTCTTAAACCATTCAAGCTTAGAGACACACCCGAGTGAAGCTAGTATTAGTTACTAGTTTAAAATCTATACATGTAATAAAATTGTAACTAAGCCGAATCTGTACATTAAATATTTTTTGGAAAATCTTATTGAAATAAACATTATTACCGATACAGAACCCGAATCTATAGTTTTTAGAATTTTTGTCTATCTGTCTGTTACCGCATCACAGCAAAACTACTGGAGGGATTTCGATGAAATTAGGTATGGTGATAGCTGGGTATCCGGGTCAACATATAGGATATTTTTTACCGCGGGAAAATATCTCATTTTTGAGAAAAATACAAAAACTGCAATGTAAGAGTATACTAATATGTAAAACCTAAGAGTTTGTTTTTTGGTCATCTAAACGCGGGCGGAGCTGCGGGCAATGCTAGTACAATATAAACGGATCTTTTACAGGAACTTTTCATCGAAGTAGAAGCCTTTTGTGTAGAATTCAGCAGAATAAGAGAAGCGGCCGCGCTATTTAGACTCCTCAAACAGTTGGACTCGGGCGAAATGCACAAAGAGACCAAAGACAACTAACTCATTGTAAAACAGCCATAGACAATAAGGAACAAAATCAAAAGAAACCTCCGTATTAAGTAAATTATTTCTTTATAATAATAATAATGTAAGATGTTACCATCTCTACATAATTATGTAAGTCACAAATGACAACTGTTTTGGCTCTAACTTCAAAATAATTCAAATTTTTAGTATATGAAGAGGGACGGTAAATAAATAAATATAACAATCAATTGCCGCTCGTTAGTCTCGCTAAAACTTAAAAACTGCTGGATCGATTTGAATAATTCTTTTTTTTTTAGGGATGTGTCGGGGGTGGTTTCAGTATAAAAAAATAGGGAATACCCCAAAAAAACAGCTGGAAAATCGAAAAGTTTAGAACTGTTTATTTTGTACCTATGTATATATAATGTATAGTCTATCTATACCATACTAACTGTTAAGACATACTTAGGAACGAACCCGAGCAAAACGAGAATGAGTAACAAGTAAATAATACATATATATCACAGCACCATCTAGTTCCATGGTAAGCTACGGGGCCTGTGTTATGAGTACCAGATAGTTGTTACACTTCACATATATAACTTTAAATACATATATATATTATATATATATATATATTATAAATATAAACTCCCATGACTGGAATACGTGAATCGTGCTCATCACACAAATGAATACTCCCAGCGGGAATCGAACACGAGACCGCTGGCACAGCAAGTTGGGTCACTACAAATTGAGCCAAACGCAAATAAATAAAAAGTTCCTCCTTTTTGAAGTCGGTCAAAAACTTAAATAGACTCACTAACAGACATTTTATAGCTTACACTACTGCCTCTAGCAGCAAGAAAACATGGAGCGTAGATTAAAAAAAAACCATCCACTAATGAGTAAAAGTTGAGTTATTGAAGTTAGAAATATGGAATTGACTAGGTGATAAATGTTATTGGGCCCACTGCCTCTTTATGTACGAAATGCTACAATTTTAGTTTAAATACCATATCCATAATTTATTATTTGTGAACATATTTACTTATTTTTAAGTAGTTGTGTAAGTATTGATAAGAAACGTGTCAAAATCGTTCCTTCCTTTTAATACAAGGCATTAATGTGTATTATTTGGCAAATTAAATGAAGCTTATTTTTCAATTGTTAGATAAATAAATTCAGTTAAATACATTTTTGAATAAATATGTATATATTTTAAAGTAATTTCCATTTAAGTTCTTTTTAATTTATGAAAAACTTCGGATGATTGAAAATTAAGCCTTTATTTCTTGCCTTATTTAAAGTAATCGATCAAAAAAGTACTAGATACACAATCAGCGACAAAAAATGTCCTCGCCGTATGAGCGCTCATTTGGACATTTGAGCGCGCTTTTAATTATTTTGTAGAAAGTTTTATATATTTGTAGAAAGAACTTTAAGCATTGCATTTAAGGTTCAATTTACATTGTTGTATATTTATTGCAACTATAATAATTACCTAAACACAATTGGTGACAGTTTTAAGAGAACTTTTGCATGGGATTGTGTATCTAGTTTTTTTTTGGTGTTTAAAATAAAGTTAAAAATAATTTTCTTAAATCAACCCTTAGGAATTTAAAAGGAAATGCAAAACTTGTGAAAGAAATAGCTTGCCGGAGCTGACTGGTAGGAAAAAATTGTATGCGAATTCTAACTTTAACTCAAACATGATTGAACAGATTTGAATGTGACTTTTTTATTGTGCAGGCACACTAATTTAAATTTTTTTTGCTTCTGCGTTGATCTGCCATCAGTATTTAAATATAAGCTGATATTTTGCGATTTATAAAAGCTTCCAACGAGGACTCTGAACCAGTTTAAAAAAATTGGTTTATTTACAAATGTAAACACTCAAAAACTCATTTTTACCGGTTAATTTTCTTCATGGAACCTAAATTCGTCAAAAACCTTCCTCCCGGATTTAACCGGTTCAAGAACGTAACCGAAACCTTTAATCGAAAAACCTTTCGTTTTAAGGTCAATGACCAACCAACAAACCGGTTTAATAATTGAATGGGTTTTCAAGTCTTAGTTTCAACATACATTTCAAATCATTTGTACATACATACACACATACACTTTTATACCATACAGAAATTGATAATATCAGTTCTAGCCTTTTAGTGTAGTATCACTTTGCCTGAAACCCAATATAATGCAATAAAATTAATTATTTATCGTATTGGTTAACTTTATTAAACGTAAAAGGCACAATACAGTATTTTTGCACTCATTTTACACTTTGTATAGATAAAAAGTTCAGATTACATATTTTTACAGTTTTATAACTTGTTATATAAAATATTAGAATGTTTGCCATTTAAATGATATGTACACGAGGCAATGTCGTGATAATATTGTAGTTGTAAATATTAAAGTACTACATAAAAAAAAGCTTTTCTTTTTCTTTACAAAATGACCTTTTTCAATTAATCTAAACTGATTTTTTTATCATACTAATATTATAGAGGTAAAATTTTTCAATTTGTGAGTTTGTTTGTTGTAATCTTTGGAATTATTAAACCGATTTAGATGAAATTTGGTAAGATAGTTCGAGACCCTGGGGCTTGAGTTAGAGATGTAGGATAGTTATTATCTCGGAAATCATCTCTCAAGGGTGTGAAATAGGGATGAATGTTTGTATGGGAAGTCTACCTAGGGATGAACGTGAACGAATCGGGGGTGAGTCACTAGTAATATATATGAATGAAAGTCATACTCTATCTTTGTCTATGGCCCTTTTATATTGATTAAAAATTGCTTTATTTTAATAATAAAAACTGAAACAAGAAATATAATTTAAAAGAAAATGTTATATTAACTCAAATATTTATTCCCAATAACTACATTAATACAATAATAACTAATAAAGAATGGCATAAGACTTATTTTGTAGCACTTTCAAGAATTTTCTTTATTTCATCATCATATGCTAAATCCAATGGAGTCCAGCCTTCAGAGTCCTTAAGAAATGAGGCACCAGAATCTACTAAGATTTGTGTTGCTTTAATATGCCCACAACTTACTGCATAATGCAGAGCAGTCTGATTAGAACTATCAGTAGCGTTTATATCAAAACCTCCTTTTATAAGGGCAGTTAACGCAGAAATGGCACCTCTGTCTGCTGCCCAATGTAAGGCTGACAAACCATCCTCATCTCTCTCATTTTTCATTTCAGGGTTCTTAGATAAGAGTTTGGTCACCAACTCTCCCATGTCCTCTCTTGCCGCATCTATTATAGAGAGTTCAGTGTCAATTAATTCAGGTTCGGGTGAAAATTGTAAGGAAGACACTGTTACCCATGTTTCTTTTGGTCCACTTTCTGATATGAGTTCACATTCAGGGTCATATTTCTGAACTAAATCAATATACTTTTGCTTTGCTTCATCACTTGGCATATTGTCTAGTGCTTTCCAAGCTTCCCATTTCTTTCGACCTTTACCATCAAACCAACTCGGTTTTGGTGTATCACATTGCCCTTCAGTACTCTGCTTGTATAGTCCATATAGCTCTAAAAGTTGATTATTCTCTAACTTTGAAGTGATTTTTCTTACATGATCAGATGCTTTGTTGAAGGCTTTTTCCAATGGACTTTGCTCTTCCTCATCAGAAAAATCAGAGCTTGTATTCCCTGGTAATGCCTCTGCCATTATAAAAACTATAAACTACAGTGATTTCAGAGTTCTTAATTATTTTGAAGTTGAACATTCAAATTTAATCCCTCAAGAGAGTGCAATTGTTTATTTGTTGCATCAGCAGCACCTGAGGGACTTGCAAATTCTACAAAACCGTAACCTTTACTTAGGCCTGTTGATCTGTCAAAAACTACTTTGGCACTTTGAACAGGGCCAAATTGCGCAAAATATTCCCTTAGCTGACGATGGCCGACTGTCCACGCCAAATTGCCGACATAGAGGCGTGCAGCTCTGGCTGTGCTTGCCATAACCTAGACAGATATTATTTCCAGTAAATGCAAAGATCTCTCGCCGATTAAGGCTCTGAAGTCCACACCTGAGCTCTCACTCAGTGAATCCAAGTCCAGGAGTGCACCCTTCAGTCCCCACTTCTTCAGTAGAGCTTCAATGGACCAGTCTGCGCTCCGCTCCTGATAAGCACACAAAAATCGTGCATCAGTTCCATCCAAAAAATAAGCTACAGTAGAAAGTACCTCTTCAAATTGGGAAGGTTCGTAAAAACAGTCAGATGCAAGTAATAAGTCTACAGGACGTAAGTTATGTACATCGGCTAAAAACAACCCCCAAGCTAACCCTTGCACCTGAACGTCGCGACCAGGCACTAGACCGTTTGCTTCGCAGCAAGCAGATAAATGCCTTAGAGACCGAGGTAAAGCGACACTATCTGTTAACGTAACATGAGCTCCACACTTAGCCGCCAAGATTCCTGGCAGACCAGTGCCACAACCTAGCTCCAGTACACGGAGCCCACGTAAATATCTTCTCTGAGTCCAAAGATACCAAGCTAAAAGCGGAGCTGAGGGCCACGTGTAGAACGAGTATCCCGCTGATAACAATTCGGGTATAACGATTTCTAAGTATTCACCTCTAGTGTCACCGTTGCTTGTAGATTTTCCACGAAATACAATTTTCTTCAATTGACCACTAACAGGGCGACCATCGCTCATTGCATAAGCATTTTAAGTTAGTTTAGCCGAAATAGGTAAGGAACACAAATTGAAGCAAGTGACAGTATGACAGATAATATAATATGACTACAGATGTCAGATACCATGGGGTGACAATGACAAGAATAAAAAATGGGTGTTTTCCAATGGGGTATACTATATTTCTCGAAAGTACGACGCCACACGTATAGCCTATTTACATTCAGTCTGAGGTTAAGAAATTTATTGTGATATCTCTTGTATACCTGGTTTTTTGCTTTTATTGTGTTCGCATCTTACCTGTGCAATGTATAATGTATTGTACGTGGAAGTCAGACTAGCTGAAGGAAGAATTGAGAAGGAGAAGTGCATCCTGTGGTGGTCCTTACTGACTGATGGACCAATACACAGTCTAAGCCATTCGTCAGAGAAACATGAAATTTGGATGACTTATTTCATTATATGAAGTAGGCATCTGACACGAAAAGATTTTTCGAAATTTATCCCCTAAGTGGGCTAAATAGGAGATTAAAGATTGTATGAAACTATGTCATTCTTAATGTAAAATACATAGAAAGTGGTGTTTAGCTTTAAGGTAAAAAATAACAAATATATTTATGTCTTTTTTTTCGAAATTTATACCTTAAAAGGGGGTAAAAAAAAGTATTATTATGGGCAAAGAATTATTTATGATCAGAGTTGAAACTTAGTATTAATACTGTTCAATATGATTAAACAAATACGTGTTTTAGCATTTTTAGAAATTCAATCCCATAAGGGGTAAATGGTAGATGAAAGTTTGTATACAACTCTGTAATTAATATGTAAAAAAGTACAATAAAAAAAATATACGTCTGTAGACGATTTAAGAGTTTTAAAATCATTTTATTTAAAATGATATCCACATAGTCTTAAATATAAAGATTGTGATTACGCCAATTTTGGTCGTCTTATTGCTTTAGGCCACAATTTATTCAGTTTTTGTCTTTTGGAAATAAATCATATCGATTTTCTTTGCACCACCCTGTCAATGCACAATTTGTCATTTTAATTGAATTTTAAATAAAATGAAAAAAGTCCATCTACGTTATAGAGCTATAAGATATATTGCATTCCCAGTTTATAACTATACTCTTTGTTATATTGAGAGCTATAGTAATAGTGACATCTGGCAGGAGTAAAAAGAAAAAAATCTTCTCCATTACAGCACTAAAGCGCATTATACGGCATAATGCTTGACATCGAGTTTTTCAACTAAAGCAATGCTCCGTGCATAATGCTAATTTTATAACAAGCTGTTTAAAATGTAATTTAACGTTTTCATTCATGTCAAGAAAATGTTGAAGCGGAAAAATTTAGAGGAAAAATAGATATAAAATAAAAGCTAAACTATCACAAATTTATGGTAACTATGTATGGTATTTTAATCGTCACTTTAAGAAAACCATAAACATTTAAATTGATCTGATCATGTGATAAGTGATTTCACAAGTGGTATGGGACTATAAAGGCTCTATAAATTTAGATTATACTTATAAAATTTTGAATGTAACTCTGAAAATGTAAAGTTTACTCTGAATTGAACTAACTGGGAGAACTGCTAACATAAATATATAAACATACAATAAATAACAATTATAAAAAATACTTTTCCGCGATTAATCAAATTTGTTTATTTTATTATAATAGGGTACACCCATGTTACACTCATTCAGTTCAGTTCATTCATCATTCAAATGAGTAGAAGAGTTGTAACTTGTTTAATTTCATTCAGCATTCGTCAACTTTAACCGGGTGTTGACGATAACTTTTATTTTACTTTGTTTTTTTTTTGTTATAATTAAATAAGTACTACTAATATAATTAACAATCATGTCTGTTGCAGTTAAAGGTTTGTAATTATTTATTTTAATATAAATGTATTGACGATAAAATAACTACGTGTTTTATCAAATCAGTTTTCTCTTTGGGGTCAAATTCCAATATAATTTAAAGACAGATATATTTAAGAAAAATAGTGTTTTAAGTGTTTCTTTAATCAAAGAAAGATACTTATATATATTTAGATAAAATAAAAATATTTTCCATTATTTGAAAATAGTTGATTGTTTTAAATACAATTTATGAATCTTATGTTAATTTAATCAACTTTTTTACTTGTCTGGGTTTCTGTAGTCAAACTAACAATTGAAATTACTATGTTAATCTTTTAATTAAAGAATTTTATTTACTGTTTAATTTATACTTGCGTACAAAAGTCAAGGTCAGTGAGGCTGAACGTAAAATTACCGATAATAACTATAAAGTATTTTATTTACTTCACGTTTACTGTAGAAGCCGGCTGCAGTTAACACTAAAAAGTGGGTTTTATAATATTTTTAGAACGAAATTTGTTATATTTTTCTTGTAACTGTGAGGTAGGACCTAAAGGCCCGGCCACATGTTCAATCTTACTTGCACAAATTCCAGTTTGCACAAATCACACTAATGACTTGCACAAAACGCTAATTTTCACACTAATGCACAAATTGTTTGTGCATGTGAGTCGCTGTGTGTAGCCAGACTGTAAGATCCGTATTTTAAAAAGGGAGGATGGGAATTTTCTTATCCTTTAATTAATGTGAACATTGTTAGAAATAGATTGTAAGAGGACATGTAGAGTGATATTGTTTAGATATAAAATCTGTATATAATGTATATCTATTTTCCTTCAGATCTACAGAACCCTAAAAGATAAAAATGGCAATAACATAAAATGTGAATACATATGAAAATCGTCTTGTCTCGGTTTAACAAGTATTTGAAGGCAATTTTTAGACAAACTTTATCCGTAGTTTCGCCGGTCATAGCTAATTCATATTAATCATAACATCACTCTTAATATTATATCCTGCTGAAATGTGAAGATGCAAAAACTTAGATAATTATATTTTTATGGTTTCTAGAGATGTCACATTTTATTTATCTGCTATTTGTTTTTACGACAGGGTAATTAGGTAATTTTATAATACCTGTACCTGCCTATTTTCATAATAAAATAGTAATATTATTTGGTTTTTTTGAATATTTTTTCAAAAATGAGTTTTTGGGATATGTTTAATGCAGTTGAAGTACATAATATTGTTCGTTTCATTCCACATTACTCATGAACATTTAGATTGATAGAATATTTTAATGTGATTTTATTAAATTAGCGAATACTCTGCTTCCTTATGCATTTTTTAATATTACCAGCAAGATTCTTCATTGCTTCTAACAATGCTTGAAGGATTGAGATACCAATCTTAAAATTTAGGTACGGTTTTACAACTATGGTTGGAGATTGAGATTTTTTCTACTTATGCCATTTCTTGAAGTTTGGCGATCATTAAGGTCACTTGACACTTAAACTTTGGGTACCGCAGCTTTAAATAAAGGACGGGTACTACTCTTGTTAAACTATTGGCGTAAGGTTTTCAGCCAAGATAGTCTCCTACGGTTCACACTACATTTTCTCTTATATTTTGGCTTGCATCATGAGTCGCAGTAAATCAGTAAATCATGGATTTATATTATACTAGCATTGTCCGCGGCTCCGCCCGCGTTCAGATGACTAAAAACCAAATTCTTAGATTTTACATATATTAGTATACTCTTACAATGCAGGTTTTGTATTTTTTCTCAGAAATGAGATTTTTTCCCGCGGTAAAAAGTATCCTATATGTTGACCCGAATAACCAACCAGCTATCATCATACCAAATTTCGTAAAAATCCCTCCAGTGGTTTTTCCGTGATGCGGTAACAGGCAGACAGACGGACAAAAATTCTAAAACCGTGCATTTTCCTGGGATAGAATATAGTAGCCCATGTGCTATTCTAGACTATAATCTATCACTGTGTCAAGTTTCATCCAGATCCGTTCAGCCGTTCTAGCGTGATTGAGTAGGTAAAGAAAATCCATCCATCCATACTTCCGCATTTATACATATAGCAGTAAGATTGCTTTATTAATTCCCGACGCAAAGAGAGAGGGGGTATAAGTTTAACTTGTGTATCTGTGTGTCTGTTTGTGGCATCGTAGCGCCTAAACGGATGAACCGATTTTAATTTAGCTTTTTTTTGAAAGTTGACTTGTTTAAGTGTCTGTAGCTATAAATCAAGAAAATCCGTTCAGCTGTTTACATGCTATAGCTCTTTTCTAGACGGTAAAAGGATATGAACAACTTCCACAGATCTAATCGTTGCGAAACTTGATACTTCAATGATATTGCAACGATATGGTAACCTAGGTCTAATGCTGCAGCGTCACCTGGAATCTGCAAGATATTCAACTCTTTTATAAAATATTGCAGAGATATCTTGTTTAGGCTCATTGAAATTGTCTCAATGAATATGTCATTGTATTGGGGATTTTTTTTTAATTTTTATAACTAAACTAGTAATGTTTGTACGTAGGTATTTTCATTGTTGGAGCCAAACGTACCCCGTTCGGTACGTTCGGAGGCGTGTTCCGCAACACGTCAGCTACTGAGCTGCAGACCGTCGCCACGACCGCCGTCCTCAAGGAGGCGGGGGTTGCGCCCGACCAGGTCGACACGATGGTGGTCGGACAGGTTATGTCGGTAAGTTTTTTTTTAATTACTACTACTACTACTTTTTTTTAATTATTACTACTAAGCCTATGCTGTTCTGTCTGGATTACTTTAAAAATGATTTTTTTTTACAGGGTCATTTTTAATTTACTGAAAACCTTTTGGGAACTATTTAAATCATAACAACAACATCTGTAACAAGAAAAAATAATATTTCTTAAATTTTTATTTTAATACAAAAATAAAAATATTTTTTTGCACCTTTTAAACTTTAAAGTTCTAGCACCTGGCCAAGTTTGAATGAGTAAGCGCGGCTTCCTACACCCCTCCACCCCTCCCCCTCAACAGGACACGCACTTTCTTTTGCTAATACTGGACTATTACCGTTTAGAAAGTGCCATAAAAATATTTTTATTTTTGTTAAATTTAAGATATATTATTTATTTTTCTTACAAATGTTGTTGTTATGTTGTAAATAGTGTATTCCCAAAAGGTTTTCAGTAAATTAAAAATGACCCTGTAGATATAGGCCGTTATTAATTGAGGCTCTAAGATAGATAAATAGATAGATACTTTATTGTACACAACAAAGAAATATACAAAAAGAAGATGCACTGGAGACGGCTTTATCGCTATAAGCGATCTCTTAAGGCAAGCTGTAAGAGCTAATTTTTTTCCTAAATTAAAATTCAGATATCAGACTATATATAACATTTGTACTTAAGAATCACATATGGCTAATGGCATATATATGAATGCTGTTGTTTGAAGCCGATTTAGTCTGTTTTGAGCGAAGTTTCACTCACCGCCTCCAGAGGTCCACCATACCTAGGAACAGCTAGAGTTCTGTTTTCATTACCACGCTTTCAGTCCTCATGACTGCTTTTTATAAATTTTTTAGTTCTTTAAAATCAATTTTGCCTGTATTAATATATAAATATTAATATTAATTTTCATTTGCCAGGCGTCACAAACCGACGGTATCTACACGCCACGTCACGCGGCCCTCAAGGCAGGCATTCCTCAGGACAGGCCAGTGCTGGGTGTCAACAGGCTGTGTGGCTCCGGCTTCCAATCAATTGTTAATTCTGCTCAGGTATTTAATATTTATATTAGTTTTATTTCTTTAAAGTTTAGGAATGAAAAACGGTACTTTTAAACATGTTGATTTAGCCTTTAATTGTAAATATTTGTATTTATTATGAACTAGCATTGCCCGCGGCTTCGCCCGCGTTCCGTGACCAAAATCCAAATTCTGAGATTTAACATATTAGTATACTCTTATATTGCAGTTTTTGTTTTTTTTTTCAGAAATGAGACATTTACCCGCGGTAAAAAGTATCCTATATGTTGACCTGGATAATCAGCTATCACCATACCAAATTTCATCATAATCCCTCGAGTGGTTTTTCTGTGATGCGGTAACAGACAGACACAGACAAAAATTCTAAAAACTATAGATTCGCCCTCTGTATCGTTAATAATGTTTATTTCAATAAGATTGTCAAAAAATATTTAATGTACAGATTCGGCTTAGTTACAATTTTATTATGTGTATAGATTTCTACATGAGTTAGTATAATATACTTAGTACACTATGTGGGCTTCCTATTTAAAAAAAATGTACTCAGAACTTTTTAACGTCCCACTGCTGGGTACGGACCTCCCTTCAATACGAGGGAGTTCAGGCCATAGCCCACCACGCTGGCCAAGTGCCGGCGGACTGAGCATGTCTTTCGACAACTTTCTAGGTTTTTTCAGACATCCACTTTTTACGATTTCTTCACGATATTTTCCTTCACCTTAAGTCAAGTGTTGGAAATGATCCTGGATTTGAACCCGCTTCACTTGGTGACCCAAGCGCGTCCGTTACCAGAGGGATTAAAAATTTTTTTTTTTTTTTGTAACAAAAATTTTTTACAAACGTTTTAGAGATTAAGTACACGTTTAAACATTTTCATCGACATCTCTACCTTTAAAAGGAAGAAATCTTTAAGTCTAAATAAATACAAATTATTGTACACAAAACTTGTTAAATATTTTTGAAATGAATAACTAATTTTCACATTCAAAGTATATGTTTATTTTTGTGTAATGACATTTTGTATTTAAATTATTGGCACTAGAGAAAAAACCTAGTATGTTAACACTATCATATTAAACAAAAAAAAAATGAATTGAATAATTAAGATATAACTATTCTTTGTTAATTTTAAAGTAACTTTAAATGTTAACAATTTTCTGCATATCGTACTTTTAATATTATAAATGCGAAAGTTTGTCAGGATGTATAGATGTATAGATGTTTGTTGCTCTTTCACGCAAAAACTACTGAATGGATTTTAATGAAACTTTACAATAATATAGCTCATACATCAGAATAACACTTAGGCTACTTTTTATCCCGGAAAAATGTACAGTTCCCGTGGGATAGTCTGATAGATTTGATTTGTCTGTCTAGAGGCGAATCCCAGCGAAGCGAAGATGAGCTGCTATTATTTAAAATATATCTTCTTTTGCCATTTTCATATGCTTGTTATATTTTTTAAAAGAAAATTAAAAACTAAAGGCATTTAAATATAATATTTTTGTCCTAAAAATGTTTATTTCATGTCATGTATGTGGTCACAGACAGAAATACAGACAAAAATTCTAAATACCACAGACCGCCTTTGTATCGATAATAATGACTATTTCAATAAGATTTTCAAAAAAAATATTTAATGTACGGATTCGACTCAGAATTTTATTATATTACCTATAGGATTATTATGTAAAAATTTAAAAATTATCTTAACACTGAATCAAACATTTGTCCAGGATATCCTAACAGGTTCTGCTAAGATCTCCCTCGCTGGTGGTGTGGAGAACATGTCCCAAGCTCCCTTCGCAGTCCGTAATGTCAGATTTGGGTCAGTCTTGGGCAGTTCCTATGCCTTCGAGGACACTTTATGGGCAGGACTCACCGACTCATACTGTGGACTACCTATGGGAATGACTGCAGAGAAATTGGGAGCCCAATTTGGAATCACTAGGGATGAAGTTGATAATTATGCATTGAAATCTCAGCAGAGATGGAAAGCAGGTAAATGTTTCTTAGTAAATTTTGTTAATTTTATTTCATCACTCAGAAAGGGAATCTTCAATATACATATGCAAAAGACTGTGTTTGTTTTTTTTTCTTATGAGAATATATTTAACTAGCGACTCACCATCCTTTAGCTCTGTTTCGTCCCTAGGTTATTCCCGATACAAACTTTCATCTCCATTTTCACTTCCTTAAGAGATGATTTCCGGGATAAAAAATATCCTATGTCCTTCCTAGGGTCTCAAACTATCTTCTTACCAAATTTTATCTAGACCGGTCCAGTAGTTTTTGAGTTTATTCATTACAAACGTAAAAGAAATACAAATCTTAATATTAGTATAGTGTAGATATATGTACTGAAGTAACAGATATTTATGACTTGCAATTTATATTTTTATATTAAACAAATAAATATAAAAAAATAAATATAAATATATTTTTTAAATAAAAATGTATGTAAAAATACATTTTGTATATATTTTTACACCTTTCTTGTGTGACAGCTATATAATTTTTTCTTGGTATGGTTGCCAAATACCAACATGTTTTAAAGTTATCATTATTTGATGTCTCACTGGAGTTTGTACTGAAGATAAAAAAATATCACTATCTATTGAGGTTTAAGATTCATTTATTTATTTTTAGAATACAATTCACTTACTGAGAAACAATAGTTTTACGTAAGTAACATTGTAAACGGGCAGCTAATATTTATATAAAAAATAAAATATATTTTGCGGGTAATACAAACTATTTTATGGATTAGAACTCGGGATAAGAATACTGGAAGTGACTTTAAGTATAAAATTTTACTGTCATATATTATGTTGTTAATTCAATTCAAATTATGTTATTAATAAGTTTTCACTTTAAAGTTAGTAACAAGTATACTATTATATGATCTGTGGTATACTATTATATGACAAATACTTTAATATTAAATATAGAAAGATTGGGTTTTTGATGTTTTAATTAATATATTTATCGAAGCAACATTAATTTTCTCTATTATTTTCCATTATTTTATCATGAATTATACAGTGGGCGTTATATGGGAAGTGTTGGTTCAAATGAAAGTCGACGCAATCGCAGTTGTATTTCAAATTAACAATAATCACTTTGTACATAGTTAAACAGCACTTCACTACACAGCCATATACCACTTCACTATTATACCATGTATAGACAATACGGAACGCAAGACAGTTCCTAGTGGAGCGGTCCTAAGCTTGGCTCGGCTCGAAGGCAAGTGTCCAGCCCTCTTAGCACCCCTCCCTTAGCTAGGCTCCGTCGTAGCACGAAGCTCGCCGAGTGTTGGCGATAATACCGAAGGTGCTGCCATTACTCAGGCGTCGTGCCGCGCTTCGTTTAGCGACCGTATTGATGACCGTCTCCGACACGGCCATCCTGCATGCACACGCCCTCGTGTGTTAGCCCGTAGCCTCGTGTTAGCCTGCAACCAAATAATCAACGAAAATACTTGCCCGACTCGGTCAATCCTGACCAGATAAAACTTAACTTTGAATCTGAATCATCTTTATTCTAACGAAAAGCTTTAACGCTAACACCTTTGTTTTTTTTTTAAACTCCAAGTCACTGTAACTATCTCTAATCTAACTAATAACATTAGTCATCCAGAGCCATTTTTTTTTTTTATTCCCCTCCCCTCCGCCTTAATGGGACGCCGCAGGATCGCTTGCGCATAACTACTACGGCGCAGTCATCCAGAGCCATGTACCAACATCATTCAACACTTTAATCAAACTAATTTTCAAATTTACTAGCACCTCTGTAAACCAATCTTAGGCCACGGCTTTACAAGCCAACCAGCAATCACAATTGCTCCACAATCCAGGTGCATCCACTACGGGATCACCGTATGTATCATCCTTTCGATGACTACACACTATGGTCATAACAGACCCCGACCTCCGCCAGAACTAAACGCACATCACACACCCACGGTCTATTTAGTTTGAGCTTCCTCAAAAGACCGACTTTTACCAGGCTATGACTACGTAATAGTTACTAGTACGGTCGACACATCCACGGCCGTCAGAATGCTTACATCGGTTTCCATCGACTTCATTAAAACATTTGCTTGGCGTGATGATCATTATTTACATCAACCTCTATTGGTACATGACCTACTAGAATTTTTGTGTAAAGAATTTATAGCCGTCATGTTAATAGAAAACCTTTCAATATCTCATGTTCTATCATGATACCATTTTGTAACTAATAATTAGGCAAAACATGATATTTCAAAAGATTTCAAGAGAATTACCGTTAATTGTTACAAAACAAATTTTACTGTATGCGGAATATTCTGTTTTGATCAATACTAGAAATTGCAAGGACAAAATCGTTAACTACACAATTTGACTGCTAAATGTTATCTTACTAACGAATATTCAGCATCATGATCATAACAAAAGCAATACAGATTACCTCTATGCCATTGAGCATTCGAAGATGGTTGTACAACACATACATCCACGCGTCGTTCCCTTTGTGTTGCACCCATATTGCTGCCGTCCACTTGACTGGCACTACTTATGCACCGGAGCGTGATGTGACCAGGCTTGCCACATTTGAAGCACACCAGAGACTTCACTGCAGGCTGCAATGCCGTTGCTGTCATTGAAGGTCGTTCCACGCTGTCATTTACCTTGCTTCTACACTATGACCGCTTATGACTCACTTTTCTGCACTTATAACATTTTAACATTAGCTTGGCTCGTTTAGCATCAGGCACTTTTGAAAAATCATCAGATAAACTAGCTTTGCGTTTCAAATGTGAGAATGCGTGCAATCCCTGCTGCAGTCGATCTCGCGAAGCAATTTTCGTAGTAAAGGCCAATCGTTGTAATTTCGAATTAAACTGACATAAGTGAGCAAGGACAGTCGCAATTGCTATCTGATTCTTGCTAGCGTCTTTCCAACGATTAGTCAGTGACGTCATCAGGCGATTTGCGTACGTAACGAGTTTCTTTTTTCATTTGGTTTGTTCACTGTTAAAATTAATTAGCGTACCAGCCAATGTCTCGGTGGAAATAAATCTCGCCTTGAAAATCACCTTGAACTCTTCCTATGTTATTCTCTGGTATACAAATTGTGATAGCCACGTCGACCCTTATCCTTTTAATTCCTTACTGACTTAAAACAAGCTGGCTGCCGTATGGAGGGTATTCGGCAAAACACAAATCTGCAGTCGCAACCAAAGATCTTGCGTCCGTATCTATATTGTCAGGGTCAAACTCGTGTAACCTGACGTTCTTCTTCATCCGAGGCATTTGCATGGCCTCGATAAGAGATCACATACTGACATTTTGTTGTTCAAACATAGCACGTCATTGTTCACTCAGAGTTAGTTCTTTTTGCAATTGAACCAACACTGATCCCGCTTCTGATATCGAAGCAACATTAATTTTCTCTATTATTTTCCATTATTTTATCATGAATTATACAGTGGGCGTTATATGGGAAGTGTTGGTTCAAATGAAAGTCGACGCAATCGCAGTTGTATTTCAAATTAACAATAATCACTTTGTACATAGTTAAACAGCACTTCACTACACAGCCATATACCACTTCACTATTATACCATGTATAGACAATACGGAACGCAAGACAGTTCCTAGTGGAGCGGTCCTAAGCTTGGCTCGGCTCGAAGGCAAGTGTCCAGCCCTCTTAGCACCCCTCCCTTAGCTAGGCGCCGTCGTAGCACGAAGCTCGCCGAGTGTTGGCGATAATACCGAAGGTGCTGCCATTACTCAGGCGTCGTGCCGCGCTTCGTTTAGCGACCGTATTGATGACCGTCTCCGACATATTTATTGCCAATATGTATTTTTAATTTCTTTTTAAAACATTCCATTGTTTTTTCACATTTAATATTGTTTGGTAATTGATTATATAGCATTGCTCCTTCAAACATAATACATTTTTTGCCATAGTTTGTGCGTGGTTTGTAAAGTTTTAAATTATTTGCATTTCGAAGCTATTTACTATGCGTTAGTTTATTTTTCATGAAACTTATTTGTGTTTGTATGTCATGATTTAATATCTTTCTTATAAGAATGCACATATTATAAATATAAGTTTGTTGAATGTCAAAAAGCTTCGTTTCTTTATAAATTTGGTTTGTAGCTGTGAGGTAATCATAATGAAATAACGTTTTAATTAACCTGTTTTGTGCTCTTTGTAACATATTTAGATTACTTTTAGCTGCATTACCCCAAAGTTGTATTAAATAATCAATTTGTGATTTCACTAATAAATTATAAATAATATAGCGAACATCAGGAGGAAAACTTCGAACAGTGCCTCGCAATAATCCATTTAGGGATGATAATTTTGATTTCACTTTTTGAATGTGAGGTTTCCAAGTTAAATGATTATCCAAAACTAAGCCTAGGTATTTTTCTTCGTTTACTCTACTTATTATTTGATTGTCTATTTTTAGTTGAGTGGTTATTTTGACTTTTTTATTTTTTGCAGAGAAAATAATGTACTTTGTTTTTGAAGTATTTATAGTTAAGAGATTTTTCTTGAACCATGAATTTAACAGATTTAAGTCATTTTGAGCATCATTAAAAATATCTTCAAGTGAATTACCGAAGTAAAATAGGCAAGTGTCATCGGCATAAAGAGTGAGATCCCCTTTTAAACCAATATGACAAATGCTATTAATATATATATTAAAAAGCAACGGACCTAAAATTGATCCCTGGGGAACACCGACAGTTATAGGCTTAGGACTACTTTGATGTGTGTCAATTTTAGTTATTTGGTACCGGTTCGCAAGATATGATTTAAAAATATCAAAGGCTTTCCCTGAAATTCCAATGTCGTTTAATTTACATAGTAACAAGTCGTGACTAACAGTGTCAAACGCTTTTTTTAAGTCTATAAAAATGCCAATAGCTATTTGTTTCCAATCAATGGTTAATTTGAGTTTTGTTATAAGATCTAATGTAGCTGAGAGTGTATTTGATTTTGGCCTAAAGCCGTACTGTTTTACATATAATATTTTTTTTTCTCTCAAAAATGTTCCTAGACGCACGTAGAGAACTTTTTCAAATATTTTTGACAACACCGGTAAAACTGAAATTGGACGATAATTTGATGGGTCAGATCTATTACCAGCTTTAAAAATAGGAGTTACTTTTGCAATTTTTAAATCATCCGGAAAAAGGCCATGAGCAATACATTTGTTTATACAACATGATAATTCGTTTAAGATGAGAGGTTTAACACATTTAATAGTCTTAACATTAAAACCGTCTAATCCAGCACTTGTATTCGTTTTCAGTTGGTTTATTATTTTATCTATTTCTTTGATATTTGTTGGAGCAATTGAAATAAAAGTGTGTCACTTTCAGTATTCTTTGTTTCCGTAGTATAAAGTACACTGTTAGTATAAGTTGTAATGATGTTATTAGCTAAAGTTGGACCAATGGTTACAAAATAATTATATATATCATAGTATATTTCTTATATTGATATCATTTACAATATGTTTATTAATCCAATCCTGTTTTGGTGGATTTAATATTTTAATTTTTCTAAGCTTGCTTTCTTCAACGGCTAACTTTAACTTTTCTTTTAGTAATGAAAATTCGTTGTCTTTATTTTGATTTTTGTTTTCTTTAATAATTCGATATATTTTATTATAGTCAAGTGCATCATAGCTTACTTTCGATAGTGATTTAGGTTTATGCTGTTTGATTTCTAAGTAAATTTGATTATGATCTGACATTGATGATTGAATAATAGCAAAATGATATTCACTTTCTTTAAGATTAGAGCAGACGTGATCAATAATTGATTTAGTGGTTGAGGTTTCACGTGTACAGTAATCTGCATCTAATTTATTTAGCAATTTATGTCCGCTTTCTTTAAGTATATCTTTGTATGTTGTTGAAATTACTTCGCAGCTGAGTAAGTTTATATTGAAATCACCGAAAATAATGCATCTCTTTCTTTTATTTAATTCTTGCGGATAGTAGTCTAAGAAGTTTTTTAGGTTTGTATTAAATAATAAGATTATAATTCTTTTTTGTATTTGCAACGTTTTTGTCTCTTTGGTTAAGGAACTAGCTTGTTTGGCAGCAGGTCCAGGGTTCAAATCCTGGGTGGGGTTGAAACCAATATTGAGTTTTTTCACTAGTAGCAGGATGATGTTAAACCATGTTACTGGCATTTCCTTGGCATCTACATCTTATCTATTTTGAACCATTTTGGCAAATTTTATTACTAACATCTATGCCTACTACCTATACCCAATAAGCTATGTATTACTCCCAAGTCATAGTGTGTCCGTGTACTAAATTTCATCAAAATCTATTGTGTCGTTTGCGGAAAAGGAGCAGAAAAATAAACACACACACACACACACATACATACAACTTTTTGTATTAATAATAGAAGTACAAGCAAATATGAATGTATAATATCTTGAATGGGAATTTTTTGTCAACCAGCCAACGATGCAGGAGTGTTCAAAGCAGAAATCGAACCTGTAAGCCTTACTATTAAAAAGAAGGAAGTTAAAGTGGAAGTAGATGAACACCCCAGACCACAAACAACCATTGAAAGCTTGAAGAAGCTGCCCCCTGTGTTCAAGAAGGACGGACTTGTTACTGCAGGGTCAGCTTCGGTATGTCTCATACACATTTAATTAAAATAATTATATGGAGGGGTATATAGGGCTGCTTTTTCATTGAATTTTGTCTTATTCTGAGGTCTGACTGTACTTTCTTAATTACGACATGTTTGGCTCAGTTTGTAGTGACCCTCCTTACTGTGCCAGCGGTCGCGGTTTCGAGTTCCGCTGAGGGCATTCATTTGTGTTATGAGCACAAATGTTTGTACTCCAGTCACGGGTGTTTATATTTATACTATGTATGTATTTAAAGTTATATGTATAGTGTATTAACTATCTTATAGTATCCACAACACAAGCTTCGTAGCTTACCATGCAACTAGATGGTGCTGTGTGTTAATGTTCCAACATATTTATTACTATCATATAACGAACTGATGACCTACTCCCAGGGTATAAGCGACGGCGCAGGAGCCATACTCTTGGCCAGCGAAGAGGCGGCCAAGTCTCTGAAGCCCCTCGCGCGGCTCGTGGGCTGGTCCTACGTGGGCGTGGACCCCAGCATCATGGGTATCGGACCCGTGCCCGCCATACAGAAGCTGCTGGCAGTTACCAAGATGACGTTGAACGATGTGGACTTGATTGAGGTGGGTGGTTGAATCATGTTCTATAATTTGTCCGCACTATGGCGCAGATCTATCATGTTATGTCGATAATGAAGTCAGTTGAGGTGTTGTAAATATGTTATGTATAGAACGAAGTTAGTTGAGGTTTGATAATCATGTTAAGACCAGAATGAAGTCAGGTGATGTAATACTTCCTTAGAGTTACGCGAATATTTGATATTTTAAATAAAACTATCTTTTTGGATTATTACGCGGATTTATTATGATTTTTGGTTCCCGATGTTTCGAATGCTTTACAGCTTTCATGGTCACGGAAGATACTAAGGTTTTAGACGACAATGCCTACATACAATTTTACATTATGATTTCAAAAAATTCAAAAATGGCATCAAAGTACCTTACAATATTTGTAGAATTAAATTCTAAACATTTAAAATAAAATAAATTATAAATATTTTAATTAAATATGGCAATATGATGATGATGATGTGTTATAATCTTGTATTTCGTCACTCAAACTCGCAGATCAACGAGGCCTTCGTAGCACAGACACTGTCCTGCGCAAAGGCGCTAAAGCTGGACATGGAGAAGCTGAACGTGAACGGAGGCGCCACCGCCCTCGGGCACCCGCTGGCGGCCTCGGGCTCCCGCATCACGGCTCATCTGGTACATGAGCTCAGGTAATTGCCTCATGATGTTCAGTTCCATACTATTGTAACTTGCCACGGTTCTCTAGTGGCTTTTATGGTTGGGCGTTAGGTCCTGGGTTCGAGAATCGAGTTTCGGGTCCCGCCGAGTTTTGCTATGAGTTTTTATTTTAAGAAATTTTAGTGTAGTTTCTCCCCCGTGCCATGGCACGTAAAGTTGGTCCTACGCCTTTATTCTCTGTCGTCGTATCGCATTGTCGTCCTATCAGAGAGTTTAAAAGTGATTTGAATAGAGAACGCAGTTGAGTCTGCGCGTCCATAGCATTAAACATTAAAATTAGTTTTTGTGATGTATTTTTTTTTTTGTAAAAACTTAATATGTCCATGCGTTCGTTAACAAAGCCTCGACAGACAGACTAACAGACAACGAAGTGGTATGAGTGAGGGTTCCCTGTTTCCTTTCGAGGTACGGAACTCTAAAAGCAAATTTAATTACCTTTAAGCATCAATCAAAAGTTATTTTAGAATTGTCACCAATTGTGTTTAGGTAATTATTCTAGTTAAAATAAATATACAACAATGTAAATTGAACCTTAAATGCAATCTTAAAGTTGTTTTCACAAAAAATAATTAAAAGCGCGTTCAAATGTTCAAATGAGCGCTCGTTCTGTGAGGACATTTTTTGTCGCTGATTGTGTATCTAGTACTTTTTTGATCGATGCCTTTAAATGATTTTATTATCTAATTATGTTCAAAGACGTCGCGGCCTGAAGCGTGCCATCGGCTCGGCCTGCATCGGCGGCGGGCAAGGCATCGCCGTCATGGTCGAAGCTGTGTAAACAAACAAACCCACATCAAATATTATTGTTATATCGTATTGTGTAAACACTGTGCCTTCGAACTATCTTCAAGCTTGAAATCATTTATTTCTCGAAAGAATATTAGGTACAATTCATTTTTAAGAGAAATTATGTTAACTAAAGCTTGACTTATTGGATATAGCACAAATTCATTTTCAAGACAAGAAACAAGTGGTAAAAACAAGTACCTTTACATACAAAATAATGTACTAATAGTACATAATATGTTGTTTTTATTTAACATATTTATTATATGGCACCTTTATTGCTTAGCATAAGTATAAAAATTTACATCTTTATTATTCAATGTATTTTTTAGTCTTTTGTGGGCACGGAAGTGCGTGGCCAAGTTCTCGTATTGCAAAGATATTATTTGTAACTATAGAAGAAGATATTAAAGGTTTAAAGTATTTATTTTTTTATAAACTATTAAAATGAATTGAATTTGAATGAATTGTGTAAATGTGACACGCTACTGTACTGTTTTCTCTGGTGCTGTGAAATTATATTTTTAATAAAGATTTTTTTCAAGACTGATTTTTTATTTATATAATCTATGTGTACTACACATTACGCCACGTACTCGTCCCACTAACTTCAAAATGAAGTTATTATCAGAAAAATAGATAATTAAAAATTAAAATAGAAAAATAAACTAAATTTGGTAAACATCCTTTTTTTCAATGTTGGGAAATGCATGTTTGTATATTAATTACTTATAACATAAAGCCAAAGAATTTGTTTTTTTTTTGGTAGTTTTTACTTTTTATCCCGGAAAAATGTACGGTTCCCGTGGGATAGATTTGTTTTTCAAGAGGTGAACCCGAACGACGCGAGGGCTAGCCGCTAGTTATTCATAATTCCGGACGAGTTTTTAATGCTTTTATTTGCATCACAATCATTTGCCACTTGCAGCTGTTATCAAATCTTTAAAGTCGATTTGAATATTTATTTTTTATTATAACAGGTATTTATTCAGTTTTGTCGATAAATTACTAATTAACGAATTAATTAAACAATAAAAGTAAAAGCTGCCTCTTCTAAACAAGTAATTAGCTAGTAAATTAGCTCATATTTAAAATATGTACATCATGTACATATTTTAAATATGAGCTAAGCCTAGAAAAAATATACTTTTTCCGTATATTATACGTATGATAAGTTAAATAACAAGGTAATTGAAAACAGAAAAATGATCTTAGCTACATACTTACGGTCTTTTAACTGCAAGCTATGTAGGTGCTAGTGAAATTAGTACTTTATATTATAAATGTGAAAGTGTGTTTGTTTGTTGTTTTTCTTTTACGTCGAAACGGAGTGACGGATTGGCGTGATTTGTTGTGTGGAAATAGTTGGTGGGCTGGAGAGTCACATAGGCTAATTTTTACCGTGGGAGATTATCTCACTCCCACGGTAAAACGCGTTATATAATATATAGTCTAACTATATCATACTAACCGTTAAAACGTAGATACCTACTTTCTATTCTATATCCACAGAAATCTTAATAATAAGGTAATAGAAATGCCATTGCGGTCTTTTAGTACTGGGACGCGTGTCGCCGGCTTGCAGCTACCAACACATTGACAACAATAAATACACACTATCGCCCACACATGCATTTTGCATTGTTGCAACAAAAATTAAACTTTAAGCGATGACATTACGCAATATTTTCTAAAAACGCATAATCTCAGATGGCGTGATCCCTGTGACCAATAATAAACGTGTGCGAAAAGCACAGAATGATATCGCGCGCTCACTTTTAGTGCAGTACAAAGCGCATAATGCTCATATCGATAATTTTCCGTTGAGTCTTGCAACAATAGGTAACTAATTTATTGAAAGTGTTTTGTTTCATTCCTCGACGCGCTTTTAGACGATTTATTTATTTTCATAAAGGGAATACAATAAAACGTTAAATGTAAGTATTTTTTTTATTATTATATAGTTATACAAAAGTTATGCAAACTATTTGTTAAAATCCATATATATATATATATATATATATATATATATATATATATATATATATATATATATGGATATATATATATATATATATATATATATATATATATATATATATATATATATATCCATACATTTTGAACAATGACTTAAAAAAATTTATAGAATTTCTATGTTGTTTATCAAACAACTCGCCCTTAGAATTATTTACTCAATCAAATCAAATCAAAATATTTTTTATTCAAATAGACTTTTACAAGTTCTTTTGAATCGTCATTTTTACATGATTAAACTTTACATTAAATGTCAGTCTGTAAGTCTGTGAGTATGTTACCACCGACTCGGAATGCTGATCTGCTGAGAAGAGCCGGCGAGATACTCAACAGTTGCTCTTTTCAAAAAATATTTGATTACAATATTTATTGCATTACAATATTTATCCATTTATCCTACGTGAGACACAGCAAGACATTAATCCCACGCATTTATATCTTCTAAATATTCAGTAATGGTGTAATAAGCCTTATTCAATAATGTATTTTTAATTTTAGAACTAAATTGATTCAAAGGCAAGCTCAATATGGACTGTGGAATTTTATTATATATGCGTACACCTTGCCCCATAAACGATCTATTTACTTTATGTATTTTGTCTTTTTGGCATTTAAAGCCAGATTATTAATGTTACTGCCCTGAAAAATGTAAAAATTTATTTAAAAGTTGTCGTTTTGGGATAAATTGGATAGCATTTTTGGCAAAGTGATTGAGGCGAATATCTATATATTTTTCTAAAACGCATTTCACTAATTGAATGACATGATTATCAATTGGAGACTGGTCATATTGATGAAAATCAATATCTTCAAATATTTTTATCCCAAAAAAATGACGCATGGCCTTCGTTACAAATTCACTTTTAAACTTTTTATTTGCTATTAGCTTGTTGTCAAAAACAATACTTTTTAGCAGTACATACTAACAATACTAGTACTACATACATAACAATAATAAGCCTACCTCCTAATAATTTTCTGAATGAAAAAGTAGTTTAAAAGTACGAATTTACAGATAATCGTTGCTAAATGACTTTTTATAAATTATTCAGACAGAAAGAAAACATACACAATGAGATGTAACAATTAAATATTTAACGAAAAATATTAAGCCAAACGTAATAAATTTTCGATAAAAAATTGTGGTGGCACGTCACTAATTCGCGGCTAACTTGTGCGGCGTGTCCTTGGAATTTATGTACGCGACAATATTGTTCTTTACGCATGAATATTATTTCATTGCTGCTTTTAGCAGTTGTAATAGTACACATGAACAAGCTTAAGTGGTAATGGTTATTGAATTGAAAAAAAACGTTTTCCTGCGATAATCGTAGTAGTGGTGGTGAAAACATTTGATTTGGCTATATTTCTTAAAAACGACATTATTTCAAAAATTAAGTACTTACATATGAAATGTTATCCCTTTATTTGTAAAGTTACAAATTGTGGAAGAATTTCCGCAGTTGGATATGCTACAAAACACCATGTTTACCTCTCCGTGTCTCAAATAACACTAGTTACCGCAACAAACGCTTTACACGCGCTTGTGACCTACGAGTCACATGCGCGGCGACAAGGTCACGCGTCTATGCCACTTCTATTAGCTTATTATTAAGATTTCTGTGTCTATATCGTAGTAATAATATTATAAATGCAAAAGTTGAAAAATAAATTAGAGTGAAAACGTAATGAAGATACCTTATATCTTTAACACCTCCAGGTAAATTTCTAAGAAATAAATTAAATTTTTAAGAAATCTATTGTTAACTGTAACACCGGCTTGTCCGCGGTCGTGGGGGGATTAATCAATCCATAGGGTACTTTTTATCGAGGCACCACGCCAGCGGAGCCGCAGGTGAAAACTAATTAAAACACAATTTTTTAAAATAAAATAACGAAATATTTTTCCTTAGAGATATGTTATAATAATACCAAATTCTAAAGCCCAGTTGAGGTAATTGATAAGATTAGACTTTTGATTAGATTATTTAGCATTAAATGAATAAAATTTATAACCAGCGAATATCGTATGGATGTTTGACACCGTTGAATATAATGATATAGATAATAGAAGTGCACATTTTCATTGATCTTTATTAGTTGATACGGCTTTAGTCAGTTTATTACTGTTCAATAGTAATAACAAACTATACAATTTTCGTGTTATCCAAACAAATATCTTCTATACATAGGTACATATAATAAAATTCTGATTCTGAGTCGAATCTGAACATTAAATATTGTTTGGAAAATCTTATTGAAATAGTCATTATTATCGATACATATGCCAAATCTATAGTTTTTTAGAATTTTTCTATCTATCAGGATAAATAATTTTATATCATATATGTACCATCCTACTAATATTATAAATGCGAAAGTTTGCGAGGATATATGGATGTCTGATTGTAAAGGTGTATGGATGTTTGTTACTCTTTCTCGCAAAATCTACTGAATTGATTTTAAAGAAACAGTACAATAATATAGCTCATACATCATAATAACACGCAGGCTACTTTTTACCCGGACAAATGTACGGTTCCCGTGGGATAGATTTGTTTTTGTTCTAGCTATACATATTTTATGCATGTGTGCAGCGTGCAGTTTCCTGCGTTACCTTAAATACATGATAATCGTAAACGATTGTGATATCCATTTAACGGAGTAAACACATACCGATTATACCACAATCGCGACGGTCGTATCGTTTGTTGTCACTTGTGTGTGATATACCTAAGATATTTTAACAATGGCTGTCGCCGTAAAAAAAGGTTGGTCATTTATATATATACTTATTAGTCAATTATTAACTTTTTGTTTTGATATAGATAACTTTCACTTATTTATAACCTCAAAGTTAGATGTAATTAAAACAGAAACTAGATTTCTTTATATGTTGTCTAAATATGAATGTTGTATGATGCATAGCGTAAATAGCTCGGTAATGACTTATGATTATAGTCCAAGAGATCAACGTCCAACCCAAGGACTAGCTGACCGAACAGCTTGTCTCCCTTAATTTCTGTTTACAATTCAATTTATATTATATTCAACACAACATTGTGCTTTACTTTGAATCACAAAATATTTATAGCTACAATACTTTAGTTTACGTAAAAATAAACATCATTATTATTAAAATATTTATAATATGTATGTATTTAAATGGAACTACTGATGGAATGAACCATGGAACTAGATGGTGCTGTGTGTTAATGTCCCAACATATTTATTTATTTATTTAAAATATATTACTTACTAGCATTGCCCGCGGCTCCGTCCGCGTTCAGGTAACAAAATATCAAATTGTTAGGTTTTACATATTAGCTAAGATATTTTCCCTCAGTAAAAAGTATCCTATATGTATGTTGACCCGGATAACCAGCTATCATCATACCAAAATTCATCAAAATCTGTCCAGTGGTTTACTCGTTATGCGGTAACAGGCAGACAGACAGACAAGACACAAAAATTCTAAAAAGTATAGATTCGGACTCTGTATCGATAATGATGTCTATTTCAATTAGATTTTCCAAAGAATATTTAATGTACAGATTCGACTTAGTTACAATTTTATTACATGTATAGAAAAAGCAGGTACTTACTTATCTAATATAAAAAATAATTTCAAGTTTACTGTAATTTTTTCTTACATTACGCCACTGCGAACGTCATCTAAGTAGTTTATTCAACAAATATGAGTATAAGAAGTTAAAACTGAGGTTTTCATTAAAACTGAGGAATACAATCTTACATCATCAATCTTTTATCAGGTTAAATAATATTTTGTATCAAACATGATATAAAATACAGCCAAATTAAGAAGTCCTCCTCTTATTGAAGTCGGTTATGTTATAACATTGGAATCAAATTAAAAGGAAATTAATAAATAAAATAAATTACTTTTTTAATCAAAGGATCCTACGATGATTTTGTTTTGATCGTTTTGATGGAAAATAATACAAGCCACATACAAAATATATTTTTATTTATCTTGGAAAATAACATTTTAAATATCACTATCTTTTCGGATTTTTTCGCGATAAAAAAAATCTGAAAAGATAGTTTTATTTAAAATGTCAAGTATTCGCGTAAAACTAAGAAAGTATTATTGGAAAATAACAGTTTGAGGACGTCTTAACGGATTTTCACGATTGTGCCTGATAATAATACCAAATATGGGTTGTAACATTGGCTGTTGCTATTCGTACTTGAAACAAGGACGAATAAAAAATAAGTATTAGGACGAATAATAAATAAAGGAGGCTGTTGCTATTTGTCCGATGATCGGATGAATAAAAAAATATATTATTCGTGTGACTATTGTTGGTTTGTACGAATATTTACCACTTTTTTTGTTTTCTAATATAAAATAAGTAATTTTTAGATGCATGAATTCCTAGCCTTCACTTACCAAGCTGCACCGAGCTACTTTTTCTACTTACTGATTTATTACTAGCATTGCCCGCGGCTCCGCCCGCGTTCAGATGACCAAAAACCAAATTCTTAGGTTTTACATATTGGTATACTCTTACATTGCAGTTTTTGTTTTTTTTCTCAGAAATGTGATATTTTCCCGCGGTAAAAAGTATCCTATATGTTGACCTGGATAATCAGCTATCACCATACCAAATTTCATCATAATCCCTCGAGTGGGTTTTCTGTGATGCGGTAACAGAACAGACAAAAATTCTAAAAACTATAGACTCGGCCTCTGTATCGATAATAATGTCTATTTCAATAAGATTTTTCAAGAAATATTTAATGTACAGATTCGGCTTAGTTACAATTTTATTATATGTATAGATATATAGATTATTAGTCTATTCATCCTTCCTTATAATTTATATCTAATTTTTGTAAAATTTAAGAAATATGTTTTTTTTCTTACAGATGTTGTTGTTATGATGTAAATAGTATATTCTCAAAAGGTTTTCAGTAAATTAAAAATGACCCTGATACAAATAAATAAAATTGTGTGAGCCCGCCCAATTTTGACATGAGGCGAATATTTGGTTAAGTAAAATGCAAGCAAGAGACTTTAAAAAGTTAACAAAAAACGATTCCACAAACCATGACAATTTATCAGAAGGTTCCTATAGAAGATCTAAAAGCTTGGTTAACTCTTGGTACGGAACCCTGTTTTCAGAGGATACCTACCCCTAACAAACAATAATTTTACATATTTTTGTAGGCGTATACATAGTGGCAGCGAAACGCACACCGTTCGGCAAAATGGGTGGCATGTTAAAAAACGTGCATCCTGCCGATTTGTTAGCAGTGACCGCCAAAGACGCCTTCAAATCAGGGAACATCGCGCCCAGTGCGATTGATACCGTCAACGTTGGGATGGTCAATGTAGTAAGTATTCTATGATATCTTCTAAAAAACTTGAGAATTTGGACTATTTTATTAATTTGTAATTATTTATGTTAAAAAATATGACTCCGTTATCTTATTTATTCTCTTTTGCTGTCTTAAGGGCTAATTTAATCTCAAATGTAATACTTTCTAAGTCTGAAAATATTAGCATGGAAAGAGTTTACTTAGAGACTTTAATTTAAGAGGTAACGTGATCGTCTTGGCATTTTGTGGCGTATAGACGTCGAACCTTTTATTAAAATTTTATCAGCCTACTTACTTACAATTTTTAGCTAAGCGGTAGTTCTGATGGAGGCCTGTCCCCTCGACATGCGGCTCTCAAGTCTGGCGTACCTCAAGAGACGCCAGCCCTTGGAGTCAACAGACTGTGTGGCTCGGGATTTCAAGCTATTATTAACAGTGCTCAGGTAAGCACTCTTTATGTTGAAAATATGCAAGGACATCATTTGATTTACAGGAAATTATGGGTATATATTTACCAAAATATAAGTATTAAGTATCCCATCAAAAATGTAAATGTGAAAATGAGAGCCAAGTTCAATATTAAGAATATGCGAGGTTGTCAACTTCACTGACAAAAGAATTGAGATCTAAATGGGTGCCAAGTTTTGTAGATAATCCTGAACTATTTCCTCCAGTTCCTTTGGCTAGAATTTGGTGGACACGCTACCGCGTCTCTTGATACACACGGTGCTGCGTCGCCAGTTCCTTTGGCTTGAACTTGGTTGGACACGCTGCCGCGTGTTTTGATATCAAAAACGAAACAGTACATTTTGACTATTGTTGCCACGACTAATGAATACGTTCTATAATTTCAAATGAAATTTACCATATACCTACCATAAAATTAAAAACAGCAGTTTTTTTGTGTGAGAATCTTTTCGAAATTTACAAACAAAAGTGTTACAAAAAGAAGTTCCAGAGATACATTTTGAGAACAATAATGGATTCACAGAAAATAAATAGGTACCTACTTCTAATAGATTATACTAACATATAGTAATTTTTCAGGACATTTTAATTGGAGCTGCTCAAATATCCCTAGCAGGTGGTACTGAAAATATGTCCTCAGTTCCATTTGTCGTAAGAAACGTTCGCTTTGGAGTACCTTTGGGGGTTACAACGGAATTTGAAGATTTGTTAACTAAAAGTTCTTTGGATACGTATTGTAATTTCACAATGCCACAAACTGCCGAAAATTTGGCTGATCAGTACAGTTTGAAAAGAAGTGTAGTTGACGAATTTGCGTACCAGTCGCAACAAAAATGGAAACTTGGTAAGATATCATTTAACTTTCTTGTTAAACATAAATATATATAAAGCAAACTTATATGTTTTCATTAAAATAAAGCAAACGTGTCCAAGTGTAATAACATGCATTACATTACCGTGGTAATAATGTCTATAACTATATCGTAAATTCAAGTGAAGAGATATACGCTAGTGAATAAAAATATTAAGTCTAAATATATACTCGTATACGGTATAGGTAAAACAAAGTCGGGTTAGTTACGTCACTTATAACTCAAGAACGGCTGCACCGATTTCTATGATCTTTGATTTGTTGGATTTGTATCCAGCCCGAATAGCAGAATAACTATTAAAACATCAGAAAAATATTATTATATTGCTAATGCTGGCTAATAACTATTTATATCTATTTAAAACGTACCTAGGGACGAACCCGAGCGAAGCGTGTGTGAAGCGCTAGTATTTTAATAAATAACTCTTACAGCGCAAGATAATGGTGTATTTAAGTCAGAAATGACGCCAGTTCCGGTTAAATCGAAGAAACAAGAGATTATCATGGACAAAGATGAGCATCCGCGACCAGAAACTTCCCTTGAAGCTCTACATAAGTTGCCAGTGTTATTTAGAAAGGGGGGTGTTGTTACTGCTGGAAATTCTTCGGTAAGATATAGTTCAAATTCTACTTAAATTAACTAATTTAATGAAAAAATGAGAGTTTAGTTACATTTATCAATAATTTAATCTAAATGTAGGACCAACATTAAAAATTTGTGAAAAGTTTGTTCTTATTATTCAGATAATATTTTATTAGTACTTAACAGTCTTCAGGCTTTACCAGTTTTTTATGCGAATATACGAATATACGATTATTTTTAAGCGAGCAATTCTTGTATATATATATATATATATATATATATATATATATATATATATATATAAATATTTATATAATCTGAATCTTGGAAACGGCTCCAACGATTTTTATGAAATTTAGTATACTGGGGTTTCGGGGACGATAAATCGATCTAGATTAGTCTTATGTCTGAGAAAACGCGTGTTTTCGAGTTTTCATGCAGTTTTCTTTTGCATTATTCCACGTAAAATATGGTCGGTAATATGCACACATGTGTAAGGATCGTGGTCGTCGAACGTGGTCAAACAAGTTTTTACTGTTGTTTTTTTAAATATTTATTCAAGATTTGTGTTTAAAAAAAAAGAAAGTTGTACTTTAGGCCAAAAATTCCGAGCGAAGCTCGGTAGTCCAGGTACTGTATATTAATTAGGCACTTCAGTGTAAAATGGCGGCAGTTAAATAATACATTCACTTATCCAGGGTGTGAATGATGGAGCTGGAGCCATAGTATTAGCGAGTGAAGAAGCACTAAAGCAGCATGGTTTGAAACCTTTGGCCCGATTGTTAGGTTGGTCCTTCGTGGGCGTGGACCCCAAGATCATGGGTATTGGACCAGTTCCCGCAATACAGGGCCTCCTTAGTGCTACGAAAATGACACTTAATGATGTCGACTTAGTAGAGGTACGTACCTCCCAAATTGGTTTTGAATATTATTTAATTGCTTCAAATTATTCTTCTTTACCAAAAGAACAGAAGGAGAAGGTATTTAAAATGATCATTCTAACCATTAATGCTATTTTTGCATAAATATTGCATAAAATACTGTATCGTAAATTAAACCCCTTGTAAAGTATACCTAATCATAAGTATGTATATTGTATAGATATTTTTTTTATTTCTTAGATAAATGAAGCTTTCGCAGCTCAAACACTAGCTTGCGTGAAAGCTTTAGATTTAGATCAGAGCAAATTAAACGTCAACGGTGGAGCCATCGCACTTGGCCACCCGCTTGGCGCCTCGGGAGCCAGGATTACAGCACATCTTACTCATGAACTAAGGTAAATTTTCTCCAGTTGTTGAAAAACTCAACCTTTATGTTTTTTTTAAATGAAAATGTTATCTAGATATGTTGATTTGGCAACTGTATTTTTGCACTTTGAATATTATTGTGATATCTCTCAGCTCTGGTAAGATAAGATGCCCATGACAAAGCGGGCAGTATGTTTACGAATTTACAATTGTAAATTGATTTAGATCCAACCACAAAAACTACTTTTGAGAAAATAGGAATATTAGTAAAATTGATATATCAAAATAACAATACCGTCGTTTTTTTGAAATTCCTTTTAAATATCGGATATTTTATATATTTTCAGAGTATAAGTTATTTTTCGGTGCCATTTATGTTAGTAACTCAAAAAACAGTTTTCGTGGGATGGATCCATTTTGCATAACTACGAGTACATCTAATTATATCACTCGGTAACTATGGGCTTGTAGAAAAAGTTACTTCGAACCACCTGTCTCGATTTTAAAAATCAATTCAAAGCTGTTTATGTGGACTCGATATTTTTTTCAACTCTTTTATTTGTTTAAAAGTTAAAATAAGTCACCTAACCGTTAAAATCATTTAATTCCAATAGTCTCCGAGTAAAATGGCTGTAATAAATGAACAGAGATAACGAAATTATAAGGTTTTAATTTTGTCTATTAGTTACGAATAAATAATTAATAAGTCTTTTGGCTATGGAACGGGGAATCCTAAACTTCCCACTGTATGCTGGATACCTTTCTTTTTTCATGTTGGAAAATCCATTTACGCATACCACTTGCTGCCTGATTACACATACCGGTGGTTATGTAGGACTCACCGGCTAGATACAAGCCAGTACTATCCACTAAAACCCAACAGAACCTACAATGTCTTAATAGGCCGTCGCAGGATCGCTTACGTACTTAACCACGACGCGACGCTCCGACGGCAGGTCTGCCGAAGCAGACCACAACAACCATGGGGTTGCTCCAACAGTAGCAACCCACATGGCACACATACTGCCGACCGATACGGGTCTCTGGCCAGTATGTTTTTTGGTTTAACGTCCGGCTGAATTGCCAGACGCTAAGTGCCCCAAACCACGACAAGGTGAACGCACATTGAGGGGGACTGTATACGGAGACCTATCGTAATACGTTATTATTAGACTAGCATTCCCCGCGGCTCCGCCCGCGTTCAGATGACCAAAAAACAAATTCTTAGGTTTTGCATATTAGTATACTCTTACATTGCAGTTTTTTGTATTTTTTCTCAGAAATGAGATATTTTCACGCGGTAAAAAGTATCCTATTGTTGACCCGGATAACCAGCTATCACCATACCAAATTTCAGCAAAATCCCTCCAGTAGTTTTTCTGTGATGCGGTAACAGACAGACAAAAATTCTAAGAACTATAGATTCGGCCTCTGTATCGATAATAATGTCTATTGCAATAAGATTTTCCAAAAAGTATTTAATGTACAGATTCGGCTTAGTTACAATTTTATTATAAGTATGTATATAGATATTAATCGCAATTAGTGACTAATCTTTTCTTTTTCTTTTTAAAATGTTAACAAAATTGCGGGTTTTTTTATTTTTATTCGCAGGCGACGAGGTCTGAAGAGGGGCATCGGGTCAGCGTGTATTGGCGGCGGTCAAGGCATCGCATTACTCATTGAAACTGTTTAATTTAAAATTTATATACTTGATTTAATGGTTATAATCAAAATTTAGAAATGCTATTTTGTATGTAATTTTTTACCTTTATGATATTTATTAAAATATTTGTTTGTTACATAAAGTGTGTTTCTCTGAATCTAGCTATCCTTTTGTAGAAAATTCTGGATGTTTACATTTGACAATTATTTTTAAGTTTTTAAATTTTGAATATTTTGTATTTAAAATATAGCGAAATTAAATCTGCAAAAGCTTTACCCCTTAATATTTAAATACATTAAATTTAAGAAAACATCGATGTTCCGAAATACGTGTTTCATTAATCATTTATTCTTAGAAATCAGTTGTACAAAAAAAAACGAAAACGATATAAGGTCATTGCCTGAAATAAATATTTGAATATCTGGTAAGTAGGTACATACTAAATGCCAATTGTGTGTTTATTGAAAATACAAATAATTAACTACAAATACATATAAATATGTTGGGACATTAACACACAGCACCATCTAGTTCCATGGTAAGCTACGGGGCTGTGTTATGGATACCAGATAGTTGGTACACACTATATAAATTTAAATACATACATATTATAAATATAAACACCCATGACTGGAGTACAAACATTCGTGATAATCACACAAATGAATGCCCCCAGCGGGATTCGAACCCGCGACCGCTGGCACAGCAAGTAGGGTCACTACAAACTGAGCCAAACGTGTCGTCGTGTATTGTATGTACATAAATATATTTTAATAAGAATAATTTAATTATGAAAATAATCCAAATATCAGCAAGTGCGGTAGAAGCAAGTCAATATTAATCTATTATAATATTTGAAAAAGAAATTTGTTTAGAATTCGCATTACACATATTATTGTGATAATATGAGTTGTAGGCACTGTATCTTTTTTTTCGTTTATTGACGATCTTGCATGACTCGTAAGTTGTGTCAAGTATCAACTTTTATCAGTTCGCTGGGTATCGTCATGGCTCTCGCTTCTAGAGGTAATTTTTGATAACATATCTTATTGTCTTTCTTTTTATAAGTATTATGTAATATAATGTTTTTGTGTTTTTTTTAATAATATTATAGGTTATTTTTCTTCTGTTAGTACCAATATTTTTTATTATAATAATTAAATATGTAATAATAATTTATTTCAGTGATAGTAAGTAGGTATGGTATAAAATGCTAACATTTAAAACAATAATAATTTCAGGTATTTTTGTTGTTGGCGCGAAAAGAACTCCATTTTGTAAATATGGCGGATCTCTTAGAGAATTGCCAGCCTCTTACGCATACGCGGCTACGGCAAAGGATGCATTGAATTCAGCCAATCTTGATGCTATATTAATAGATGCTACAATTGTGGGAAATGTTAATTTTGTTAGTATCTATATTGATTTTAGAAAATTTTCAAAGTATTTACATGTATTGAAATATATTTAAATGATATTTTTAGCTAAGTCAATGTGATGGCGGTAAAACTCCAAGGTATTGTGGATTATACTCGGGGGTTCCTATTGAAAAATCAGCATTAGGAGTACATAAATCTTGCGGTTCAGGCTTGCAATCTGTAATTACAGGCGCTATGGTAAATATACTAGTACAATGTTTGGATATTATAAGCATGATTAAAATAAAAAAAGTATGGTTGTCGACACTTTTTTCAAGATTATCAATTTCGAAGTTAAAACGCTGTAGTGACATCTCGTGGCAGTTATCACTTTAGTTAATTACTCGTCAACCAAAAAAATATCTTTTGACTGTTATAAATTATGATATAAAGGTGTGTACCTACACCAGTCGGGATCTGCACGATTGCTCTTTTCAAACGCCTTCGTTAGACTGTATGGGTCAGCAGACTATGATACTACTTAGATACCTACCTAAAGAGTAGCATTTCATTATTTAAATAATATGACTTATGAGAGAATACTGAATACTGAATACTTAGATTTTTACTAAGAAGAAAACTGCTCATCGAGAATGGTTTTGCTATTTCAGGAAATCTTGGCTGGCTCTGCCAAGACTTGTCTAACTGGAGGAACGGAGGCAATGTCGTCTCTGCCATTTTTAGTTCGCGATGTGAGATTTGGAACTTCTCTTGGAAAACCTTATTATCTAGAAGATCACATAAGAAAGCAATTCCCTGATAGCTACACAGGACTTACATTACAAAAAATGGCTGAGATTATTGGTGAAAGATACAAAATTAATAGAGATATGGCAGATGCGTATGCATATAAGAGCCATTTAAAAAGGAAGGCAGGTAATTATTATATATAAACAACTGCATACCTAATAAATGGTTACACCATCAAAAATCCATTATTTCTAAGTTTATCCGCAAATAAAATCAAATTTATTGTTTCGCTTAGAAAGTTTAAAATTGGACCAGATATAAATTAAAATGTAATAATTTTTCAGCACTAGAAAATAAGTTATTAAAAGATAAGTTAACGAGTTTAACAGTAACGTTAAAAAAGAAAGATGTAATAATTGAGAACGATGAATTGCCTGAAGTACCGAGCATAGACGAATTTAATAGTGCACCTTTGCTACTTTCCGATGGCAAAATAGTGACTTCCCTTAATTCTTCAGTAAGTAATTAAGAAGTATTAGATTTAAAAATCGATTAAAAAGTATTAGATACACGATAAGCGACAAAAAAGTCCTCACCGAATGAGCGTTCATTTGAACAATTCAGCGCCCTTTTAATTTTTTTTTAAACATTGCATTTAAGGTTCAATTTACATTATTGTATACTTATTTGAACTAGAATAATTACCTAAACACAATTGGTGATTTTTAAGAGAACTTTTGCATGGGTTTGTGCATCTAGTGCTTTTTGATCGATGGATTTAAATATAAAAAGCTAACTTTGAGAGGAAAATCAAATAATATAATTATTTTAGGTTCCAGTAGATGGCGCTGCAGCATTAGTATTGGCTAATGAAGGAATCGTAAAATGTAAAAATTTACAACCCCTAGCGAGAGTGTCGGGGTGGGCGTGTGTGGGGGTTGATCCCTTGGACACGGGGCTAGCGGCTACTCCAGCTGTAATGAAACTTTTACAAACTGTGAACCTGAATATTGATGATATAGACATATTTGAGGTAAATTAGTTTAGTTTGTATGAACTGTTTGTATATATATCTAATTTTAAATGAATTTGAAAATCTACTTTATGTATTATATTTAAATATAGTACAAAAATTAAAATCTGAAGATAATAAAAAAAAACACTGGCACATTACAGACAATAAATGGTATTCTAAGCGGGATCATATTATGTAGTTAAATAGAGATTAGCAAGCGGTTTTATTTAAATAAAATGTTAGCTAGTTTAACTGATTAAAAAGAGCTTCTAGCCCTTTCCTTTTATTTTAAAATTCCATTTCATAGTATTTAAGAAAAAGAATCTACACTAATATTAGTATAAATTTAAAAATTACGATTCATACTTAATATCCTAAGCGTTTGTTTTATAGACTTTTATTTATTTGGATACCTTATTGTTTTATGTTTTGAGTATTATAGTAAATTAGTGGCTTATCCTCACTTCGCTCGGGTAGGCCTCTACAAAAACAAAACTATCCCACGGGAACCGTACATTTTTCCGGGATAAGAAGTATGTGTTATTTTGATGTATGAGCTATATTACTGTAAAGTGTCATTAAAATCCATTCAGTAGTTTTTGCGTGAAAGAGACACACAAACTTTCACATTATTAATAAGGTAAGCTTTTCAAACATGAAGTAAGCATACGAACTTAATTCCTTATCATAGTTATATATATTAAGTATCATCATATGCTAATTACAATTAAATTACCTAATAATCGTTTATTTTCGGTGTAATAATTTCAATATATATATTACTTTTAGATTAACGAAACATTTGCTACTAACGCTTTAGCCACGATAAAAGAGCTAAAAATAGACGAAAATAAAGTGAACACACACGGCGGAGCTCTGGCCTTGGGACACCCAGTAGGTGCTACCGGCGCCAGGATGGCTGTCCATCTTGTACATCAGCTCAAGTAAGTTTAATCATAGGTCAAATGCGAGTCGGACTCGCACACGAAGAGTTCCGTACCATCGATGAAGATATAACACTATGTTCTAATATATTTTTTATTTGCATGGCGGCCATTTTAGTAGGTATTCGCCATCTAGGTTTTTCATTATTTGTTGCTATAGTAGCAATACTAATATACATTCTGTGAAAATTTCAACTTTAACTATTACGGTTCATGAGATACAGCCCGCTAACAGACATACAGACGGACACAAAGACTTAGTAATAGGGTCTCGTTAGCACCCTTCGGGTACGGAACCCTAATTATCTTTAAATATACAAAATTGTGAGCGATTATGTGTTTTTTATTGAGATAAATTTGCGATTAATGTATAGCCTAGTTTATATTAACGTTCCATAAGAGCGGATCTATCTACAACAACTTGTTTAAAATAATTAAGCAGTCCTTATATTTTAATATTTTTTGATAATCGTAGGTAATCAAGTAGGTATGCCATAAAAATAATTTATTTCCTTCAGTACCTCATATCAATAATTGTATAGATAGACTAGCATTGCTAGCGGCTCCGCCCGCATTTTATGACCAAAAACCTAAATCTTAGGTTTTACATATTAGTATGCCCTTACATTGCAGTTTTCAACCGACTTCAAAAAGGAGGAGGTTCTCAATTCGACTGTATGTTTTTTTTTTTTTTTTTTTTTTTTTTTTATGTTTGTTACCTCAGAACTCCGTCATTTATTAACCGATTTGGACAATTTTTGTTTTGTTTGAAAGGGTATACTTCCAGATTGGTCCCATTTAAATTTAAAAAAAAAATACCACCCCTAAGGGTGGAAAAACAACTAATGATGAATTTAACCTACTTCTAATTGTCATATTGACTTGAAACTTTGCAAGTATTTCTATTTCCGTTGATAGTACAGTGGTTCGGTGTTTTTGACCTGATCTGATGGCAAGGCCAGAAGGTGGATAGGTGGAACTCTTCAACGGCTAATAGTAGATACTTTGAGTTTGGGCTTATTTTGTTTGATTTGACAAGCCTTACACGTTAGAATCCTTACTTTGCTACTACTGTCTACACTAAAAAGGGAAAAATAAAAACTTTTTAACAAAAAAATAAAAACCGACTTCAAACAAAAGCACTAAAAAGTAAGAAATAACTGATTGGTAGTTTTGATTTACTATACATACCTAATCAAATATTTTCGAAGTCGGTGTGCTTTGGCTAAGTAATTAAAGCCTACGTATTAAATACATACCTAATCAAATATTTTCCAAATCGGTGCCAGCACATACAAAGCAAAGCACACCGACTTCGAAAATATTTGATTAGGTATGTATAGTAAATCAAAACTACCAATCAGTTATTTCTTACTTTTTAGTGCTTTTGTTTGAAGTCGGTTTTTATTTTTTTGTTAAAAAGTTTTTTGTATTTTTTCTCAGAAATGAGATATTTTCTCGCAGTAAAAAGTATCCTTTATATTGATCAGGATAACCAACTATCATCATACCAATTTTCTTCAAAATCTGTCTAGTGGTTTTCTCGTGATGCGGTAACAGACAGACAGACAGACAGAAAAAAAACTAAAAATTCGGCCTCTGTATCGATAATAATGCTTGTTTCAATAAGATTTTCCAAAAAATATTTAATGTACAGATTCGGCTTAGTTAGAATTTTATTATATGTATAGATTTGATGCTGATGTTGGTATGTAGAGGAAAAAAACTTTGCTGCAGTTTCCGTTCGAGATGCTGTTGTTTGATGTGTAAATTATTGAATAGTAACTATAGGTACATACTATTCACACATCAACATACTATGTAGGTACTATGTATCGATGGTTAACATCGATCAATAAATTTTTAAAAACATAATCAGCGACAAAATATGTCCTCCCGAATGAGCGCTCATATGAACATTTGAGCCCGCATTTCATATATATTTTTTGTGAAAACAACTTTATGTGCATTTAATTTACATAGTTGTATATTTATTTTAACTAGAATATTGACGTAAACACAATTGGTGGAGGTTAATTACTGTCACGTTTACTTTAAAAAATTGTATAATGCAAATTATAAATAAATACATATGTATAGGTATCTTGTGTTACTTTTGTAAATTTTGAATTTTATTTTCTTAGTACTAACTTCATTGTACATGTACCTATATCAATGTGTTGCCAGAGAAAAAAAATAATGAAAAACTATATGTTCACATACTTTGATATTTCAAGTGCAGTAGTTATTATTATTACTTTAAAATATGTAACTTGAAATAATTTATCTTATAGCCGTGGAGTAAAGCGAGCTATTGCTGCATCAAGCTGTGGAGGCGGTCAAGGGATTGCAGTTTTGTTTGAAGCTGTTTAGTATTATATCACAGCGTTTTTATTTCAATGTTTTTAGAACTTTTGCTTATGCATATTTATAAGTTAATATAATGTTTATTAACCCTTACCTTTAAATTTTCCATTCTCAGTTATTTGACAACCACATAGAATAAAAAAGTTAAAATACCAAAGACAGATAAATAAAAGAATTCATTGTTTTACATAAAATGTATTAAATCAACACACATATAAAAAACTTAAACTACACTTTTCTTAAAACTAAAAAAACTGCATAAACTTGCATAGCAATTGCAAAAAAAATCTTGGAAATGTTTATACTTCACACATCAGTTTCTCGTTAAAAGATTCCCTAGCAAGTTACATCAAAGCATCCACAGGCAATAATGGCTTTCTTTATTTTGAAAGCAGTAACTAGGAAAATATATCCATCAATATAATAAAAAAAAATATATTTTAAGTAATTTGTGTATCTCAACGTCGAACAATGTTTGATTTAATAAAAATATTAAAATGTCTTCCTGAAATGAAGGAAAATAATATAATTTCATTAGCATAATTGATTTAACAACATTGTTAACATGTCCAGGAAAATTTCTAAGAAATTAATAAAATTTAAGATATGTATTGTTAACTGTAACGCCGGTGTGTCTGCGGTCGTGGAGGGATTAAATAATAAAAATAAATAGTATTCGACTTAGCTGTAGTCATTATGAAATTATTTCAATTAAATTAAAATTTAATTTACCTCAAAAAAAGTTCCATGGCTTATCATTTGTAATATATTTAACCACATATTCACAATTAATAGTATGTATCTTTGTAAATTCAAGTTAATTTAACATTATGAACCAATTATTCCAAGCTACTAAGAGGCCGTTCAAGTGTTACGTAAGCATATTTTTAAGGATTTTAGACCCCTCCTCTCCTGTATAAGGAAAATAAGAAAATTACAAACCCCTTCCCCCCTAAATGATAAGATGTAAGATATTTTTAGAGTACATGCCTAATTCAGTTTAAAAATTTATCAAATAACTTTTCAAGTCACATTACATATGTACATATCTCTAATATATGTGAAATTATAAGTTAAAATTAAAAAAAAAAGTATTATTATTTATTATGACAAAAATAGTAGTATTAATTTCAATTATTTATATTGTTTGGAAAACATTTTTATATTTTTATTTTTTTTCTTACATAAGATTATTACCTCCCTGTTCCATATATCAGCAAAAGTTAAAAAAATTGGACCCCCTGCACCCTCAGCCTGCTTACATAATACTTGAATGGCCCCTTACTTAAATTAACAAAAGGATAATCTATTTATACTGGTATTGAAGAATCAATTTTAAATATAGTACTCAAATTGTACATGTTGGCAGCAGTGGTTAGAATACACAATATATCAGAAAAATTGTAGTTTCAATTCTAATATTTATCCGCTGGTAATAAATTATGTCAAGGTTTCTCCTTTGGTGACCTGAAATTATGAAAAATCTAATTAGTCTTGTATTGTATACAAATATATTTGTAAATACTATTATGGAACATAACCAATATAACTTCAAACATATTTATTGTATATAGTATATATTAATTATTGTATATGAATCTAATTCATGAAAATACATACACAAGCCTCCAAATAGTCTATCTTTCTTTCTAAAGATGTTAACTTTTCATTCAGAGTGGCGAGACGAGATCTGCAAGACATATCTGCAAAAAATATATTTATTATTATATTCTTTATTGCACTCTCATATTATATTAATTCTTCTCATATTATTATATTTCACTCTCATAATAATAAAAAATCATAATATTCCTTCCACGACCGCGGACACTCCGGCGTGTCAATTAACAATAGATTTCCTAGAATTTTAATTAAAATCTTAGAAATTTACCTGGAGGTGACATAAATGATTTATTTATCAGTTACTACTACTAGTTATTACCCTATTGAAAAACCCCAATAGGTTTTCATCAAAAGCGACAAAAGCCACATAGAAACCAATAAATATTTATTGGTTTGATGAGTTCATATTGGAGTTTTTGAATAGGGTAGTAATACGAAAGCAAATAGTAAATACATTTGAATTATTTTAACTTTCACATTAAATCGGTCGCTCACCAAATGAATTGAGGAAATCTGTTATTTTTTTAATGCTGCCCGTGATTACTTCAATGTACTCTCTGTTCGCCCAATCTTGTTGGATTTGTTTTTGTATAGTTTCACGAGGAGGAGTTGACATTTTGATATATTTTAATTATGGACTATGAGAAAGTTACGCCCGATTAGAAGATAGATTACAGAATTTAACACAAAACAATGCTCAATGACCAATTTCATCTGTCAATTATAAATGTCAATTTCGATTTTCGAGTGATTTTGTATCAGTTCAAAACTTTATATATATTAACATATTTGAGTTTCAAACAAAATTTATATATTAGCTATATAGAATAATTCCACGCAAATAATGTTTTGAATAGTATTAAAATTTTGTGTACGTACACATTGATTTCTACACGCAAAAACAAATGTCATAAAACAGCTGGCTTTCAGTTTTTACATTTCTCAAATGACAATAAAATGACTGATGAAGTATATTTTAACAGCTGTGAGCTGTCTGCTGTGAGCCGGTTATTGTGCATTTGTATATAATTTTTTAGTAATCTTATTTAAAAGAAAAAGGATGGATGAAATAGAATACAAATTAAAAACTAAAAATAGCGTGCTCATTGTTAATGCAATTGAAAAATTGATATCAACAATAAAATCTAAGTATAAACCTGGAGAAAGACAAAAATTTGTGGTAGAAAATGAGGAGTTGAAATATTTAAGGGAAAAATGTTCGTCTGAAGATAGTATAGTAAGCTTGACCGCGTGTCAGGGATTACTAGCATTAGTTGAACTAGGAGTGCTAGAAATTGCTCATACCATGTCAACTGTGGTAACCTTACTGCCTACTACACAGTAAGTTTTTAAATTGTATATAAATTTACTATAAATATTGGTGTATGTGAAATCATATTACAAAAGAAAACCTGTTTCAGCAATTATTCAGCAATAATATCTACAATAGCTGGTCTACTAATTTTGGATTTAAAATCTCGCCTGACTCCTGGCCAGCCCTACAAATGTCAATTCTCTCTTCGGTCTCCTCAACATCCTTTTATTACTGTGTTAGAAAAAAATAAAGAAGTGGAAGATGACATACTGGTGCAGATGCAAGCATTATGCAATCACCCTGAATATATGTAAGTTAAAATAAGTACACAAAGAGTATTTTACCATCCCTTTTTTTAATAAAAATAGGTTTTACGTATCTTGCTATGGAAATAATTTCTAATATTTATATATTGACAAATATTTGTATTATGTTACTGCTTTTAGAGATTTTGTTTATTTTTAATGCACAGGAGCAATTAGCCCAAAATATATGCAATAATGCACTTATCATATAAAATAAAACAATTGTTTTAATTAGTATAAATTCATACAAGCAAAAAATAAAATAAAATATAAGCAATACAAAAGAGTGATATTAGAAATTCTGCATTTATTGTAAAAAGAATAATGATGAAATATAAAACAAGTGCAAAATTAAATAATAAAACCTCACAATAGCAAAGTTTTTATATTATTACAGAGTTGCATCAAACAGTTTAGAACTTTTACGACCAGTTTTCCTATGGTTGACCTGCAGCCCCCACAGTCATGGCATAAGGCCCTGGCAATTGCTCCTAAGTCTGCCCCAAACAGCAGCACAATCTACATTGTTGTTGGCTTGCATCAGTTCTCAACAAGTATGTGAATGAAATATATCACTTTTCAACTTTACAACTGTAAATGAGATTTGAGTATAAATATTATGTCAAGTTATTGTTAATTGAACTATTATAATACCTATACTAAGGAATTTGTAAAAACAATTCATATGTTCGGTTTGGTATAATATGATTAACATAAAAAATATATTAAAAAGTAACAGCTCTCCTTCGCTTAGTTCTGGTTCACCTCTAGAAAAACAAAAACAAATCTATCCCACGGGAACCGCACATTTTTCCGGGATAAAAGTAGCCTATGTGCTATTCCAGACTATAATCTAGCTCTGTGCCTTTCATCCAGATCTGATCAGCCATTCAGGGCTTCAGGAACATATGTCCAAATTCAATAATGTTGCCCAAATGCATGACTAAGCTTGTTAGACTTTGCATTTCTTTCGAAAACTAGTTAGGTTCTTTTAGATAGACATTAAATTTTTCACTTCGGTGTTTATGTTACTAGCATACTGCACATGTGTGTGTCTGTATCTGTGTGACTGCGTGTACGTGTGCGTGTGTGCGTGCATGCTTAGGTGCGTGCGTGCTTGCGTGCGTGCATGTGTATTACTCATTTACACTGATGAATGATGAATATAGGACACAGATAGACAGTAATATTGTAGTAAAGTAATATAATTATTGGTATCTAGGAATGTAAGCATCCAATGTAATTAAGTTTAAGCAGTAAAAAGGATTACATGATGGATTCGGTCATGTGTCATTTAACTAATTCCCGTCACCACAAATATTCTTATTTGAGGGGTGGGGGGGGGGGGGGACCGGGGCAGCTGCCCGAGGCGCCGGTTTTATCGTATCTCTAACTAAATAATTCTACATATAGGATTTTTTTAATTGTAATGAAATAAGTATACCAAAAAGGGCGCCAAAGGCATGACTCGCCCGGAGCGCCCAGATGGCTAAGGCCGGCCCTGGTGACACAGAGCCTATTATCAATTAGGTATGCACCTGAATGAAGATAGTTATGCTGCTAAATAATTCATATTTTTACTACTTATAATATTTAATCTTTTATTGACAGATTTGCAATTCAAAACAAATAGAGCAGGCCTTTGCAGCATATTCAGTAGTTTGTGATGCAGCAATATATCAACAAAGACGGGAGCATGTCATGGCATTCCTACCCATGCTTGCTAGAGTTTGTGGGGAATTAGTGAATCATGGGTATGTTGATATTTGTTTATCTTTTAAATAAATTTCGATTACACAATAAATTTTGTATTGACGTTGTCATTTTTTTTTTTGATTTCATATTTGAATGCCCCTTGAATTTCAATGAGACCTATTTATTTTATCTTGTACTTGTACTACCTACTATGTTACTGCGAGTCTTGCTACGTACGTGTATTCGAGGGAATAGGATCGGACATACATATATACTGGTTAAACACATAACCCTCCTTTGGGCTTCGCCGCAGTCGGATAAAAAACTTATTCTGCCTTCCTCATTCCAAACACATTCCATTAAAATAATTAAGTATCTTCTAAAATTTCACACTAGCGATTTTCATGCTTTATCAAGTGTAGTAGATATATTAAAGTTTTTATTTTGCAGGCGCGATCCTCGAGGTTGCTACAATTTAATAGAGAGATGCTTTGCCCTCGACGCGCCAGAGTTGAAAGTTGTAGCTGGAATTACTCTAATGCTGTTAGCGAAGAATTTAATCAACACATCTGCTTTATATTTACATGAATTGTTTAATCTGTGTGAGTATTCATTATGTCCTAGAAAGTATGTTCTTTCGCTCGCAACCAGTAATTATATGTCTTCCACCTTAAGCTCGATGGCTCTTCTACCACCTGATGAAAGTGAAGTTGAGGCCCTGATCGTTAACCTAAAAAATTATAGTGCTGTTGGTTGGGATTCAATTTCAAACAGGTTCCTTAAAATGGCAAAACACATTAAAGTACCACATTTTACTTCTTTAATTAAATTATGTTTCGAACAAGGTATTTTCCCCAAAGTGTTTAAAAAAGCTTTAATAACGCCTGTATACAAGAGTGGGGCACGAGATAGTGTAACTAATTATAGACCAATTTCGGTGCTTCCAGCGCTTTCTAAAATATTAGAAAGAATTTTAAATAATCAACTAGTAAATTACTTGGAAACAAATCAATTAGGTACTATCAAGCTGTCAATTCGGTTTTAGAGCAGGAAAAAGCACTGATTACGCTGTCGGATCTTTGATGGAATATGTCACAACAAATCTTGATATAAAGCAAAAGTGTGTAGGTGTTTTCGTAGATCTTGCTAAAGCATTTGACACTGTCTCGATCCCCATTCTTGTGGAAAAGATAGAGAGATATGGCATACGGGGAACAGTACTGAAAATTTTTACTGACTTTCTCACGGATCGACAACAGAGTACTTTTTATCCCGAAAAAATGTACGGTTCCGGTTCGGTCATAAATTCGTAGAGTCATTACAGTATGAAGAATTAACAAACACACTCACAAGATTTTAAAAGTAATATAATAAATAACAAAGATAATTTAAAAAAGTTTTTTTTTCATATATGTATTTAAAAACAAAATTCAAAATTGCTACAATACTGAGTTATAATTCTATTTCTAGCAGATGTCGATTTCTTAGTTTAATAATAATTATAAGCATTTTAGCCTTTTTCAAATAAAAAAATATTAAAGTGATATAAATATTGATTCAACACTTACATCTAATTTATTTATGTTTATATATAATTTACATCTAGTCTAAAAAAATAATAATTTCAGGTCTTAACATAATAAGCAAATATGAATACTCAAAAATATGTTTGAGCTCGTTTGTTGGTCTATCCCTGCAATGGTTGCATTTACCGTCATATTTAACCAATAACGCCTTAAAAGTGGCTTCAAAAATCTTAGAACTTCATCAAAACGACCAGAAAATTGATACAGGACTATATATGGCTAATCTAAAAGCTAATACAATATTCCAATCATTATTATATACAGATAAAGATTTATATATATACTTCAAATTATTAGAAATATGGGAGAAAGGAAGGGATAATCCAGAACAATTGAAGAGTTGGTTTGATTGCTTAACAGAAAGCAATGATGATTTGAAGTTAGATCTGTTAACGTTTTTTGTTGGTGTTGCCATGTCTAATGAGGATGAAGAAATTAATTTAAAGGCGATAAGAGCAATAATAGATCTTGTGAGGGTGAAAAAAGAAATATCTGTGTCAGTGTTGCCAGTTCTGATGTACAAAATAGCGAATGATAAACGGCCAAATGTTAAGTTGGAATGTTTGAGAGGTTTGCCCTTAATGGCTACTACTAAGGTTAGTGATATCCATATATATAAAGATAGATAAAATTGAAGTATCTGTTTGTAATGTCAAAATAACAGCTTTTTACAGGCATATAATATACGGTACTTATAAGAAAAACACATATTTTAAAGTTTTTGTCCGTCTGTCTGTTTCGGCTAATCTTCGAAACGGCTGGACCGATTTTTACGGGACTGTCACTGGTAAATAGTTGATGTTATAAAGAGTACCAAGGCATTTTTATTTAAGAAAAAGAATTATGATTCTGCTCCAAAAAATTAAAACCTCGGACGCACCCAAGCAAAGCGAGGGCAAGCTGTTAGTTTAGAAATCTATCCATATACTCTGACTAATACATATACATTTAAAACTAAAACATTAAAAATTGTACAAATAATATTTTCTTTGAGTTAAAAAGAAATTTTTAAATTGAATTTTCAGGAGAATGTTCCTGCATTAGTGTCAATATTGAACAAATTGAAAGCCGGTAAAGGAGTGCCTTCGTCCCTCCTCATTATGTTGTACACCAGTTTAGCGGAGACACAGGTTAGTTTTTTTTAATTAGCACAGTTTGAGACAAACAGACAGATTTTTTTACTACAATTGTTTTACTTTAATTATAAATTTAAATCATTTTACAAATCAATATATTTGTAAATTCAAATATTCGTGTATGCAGTCACTATGTATTTACACCCAGATTGACTAGCACTTGACATATATTTTTAAAATACAATGAAATATCTTGTTATAAATTAAATTCAGATTAAGGAATTATATAAATAGAGTTTCATAGAACTACAAAATTATGCCAAACAATATTCTTAAATAATACTCAATATTTGAAAACAGAATACAAATATCAAAAGAATATTCATTACTTTAATATGTGAATAAATGTTAGTAAATAAAAATAGGTAACGGATTTTAATATGATAAAAAAATAATAATATTAACAAGCATAATGTAGTATTTATTTTTTATTCATATTTTATTCCCAAAAATTGAAAATTTAAAACTATAACTTATATTGTATTTCCCTTATTCGTTGAAGAAAATAACGATCTGAATTAAGCATAGTAGCATAAACAGAAAATCACGCTACTATTTTTGATACTATATTTTTTGTGACAGGCTCTGTTTATCCTGTATAAAAGAGTGATTCAAGACGATCATGTTGCAGAAAAAGAAACCAAATTTTTTTTACTTTTAAACAAGTATATTTTTTTTAATTTGCTCCGACAAAAACAAACGCAAATACACATTAAAAAAATCATAACTTCTAAACTACGAAAAATCGCGGAGCATACATAGGGTATTTTCAGATATACCTAGATGTGAGGAATTTAAAAAATATTATGACGTCACTTCTTGGAACTCCTATATAATTGTTTAATCTAAGATATTATATTAATAAAACATTTTGAAGGTCCGGTGTTTCCCGTATCTTCTAGAGTTATTGGTGGACACTACAGTGAGGCCTGACGAGTTGAAGTGGGAGATAGACGTGGCTAAAGCAGTTGCTGTTAAACGGATTTGTGAGATTCGGTGAGGTTGTTTTTGTCATAATATTGTCCAATTTTTTTGGAACCCGCTTTCGACCGAAAAATTACCTTTGCTTTTCTTAGTAATGCTATAAAATACAAACTTAATATTTTATTTAAAATAAACCAAAAATTTAATGTTTCACGCTACCAAACCCTTAGTGTGTGTCAGACTTGCGCTTGTCCGTTTTTTTTTCATAAGGTTTAAACACATATCTCCTAGAGTTTCATTGGTACTTTAAATAATATATTAAATTCATCGAATTTTATAATTTTATTTATCTATACATATAATAAAATTGTAGCTTAAACCGAATCTGTACATTAAATATTTTTTGGAAAATCTTATTGAAATAGTCATTATTATCGATACATAAGCCGAATCTATAGTTTTTTAAATTTTTTGTCTGTCTGTCTGTGACGCATCACAAGAAAACCACTAGACAGATTTTCTTGAAATTTGGTACGATGATAGCTGGTCAACATATAGGATATTTTTACTGCGGGAAAATATCTCATCTCTGAGAAATCTTTACTAAACGTTAAAACATAAATAGGGACGAACTCGAGCGAGGAGCGAGGGTGAGTCGCTACTTTATACATATAACTTGATCATAAGTGGATTTATGTACTGACAATTTATTTAAATTTAAAATGTAAAATTAACGATTCAAAAGTGCTTGTGAAAGTTTATTTGAATAAAGCATATTTAGTTTTTTTTTTATTTTGAACTCCATTCGGCTTTCGGCCACAGGCCATCAACAAACGGTCTGGAGTTGGTGTCAGTGATATCGTCAATCCTGAACCGTTGCACGGACCGCGCGGGGGCCCCCGCCACCTGCCTCGCGCTGGAGGCCCTGGCGCACCTGTGGAGGGGCAACGCCGTGGCGCCGCCCGGCACGTGGCGGGCCCTGGAGCCCCGTCTGGGGAGGGACAATAGGCATCTTGTTCAAATTAGGTGAGTCGTTCGGACTTATATAATGTGTGTGTGTGAGTTATGGTTACCATGGCAACAAACAGTTATCAGCTAATTTTATCATGTCGCTTTTTGGCTGTCGGTGTGCGCGCCCATCGTAAAAATTTTACTCTCATAATTTTTTCCAAACTTCTTTTGGAATAAAAGAAGTATAACTTCAAAAATGCGATTTATACGACACTTTCAAAGTTACGCATAAAAACCAAGCAGCTACCCCTATCCACTGACAAATCCACAGTCTGTGCAAGCTGCTATCAGAGATACCGGGCCTGCGAGTGGCGACGCCGGAGTACGACAGGCTGGTGACGTCGGCCGCGGCCCGGCTGTGGCAGTACGTCGCGGAGAGCCACGCGCCCGCCGTCGCGCACGCGTCCTGCGCCGCCCTGGCAGAGTACAGGGTGGAGGATTACAAGCTCAAAGATGTTCCTGAGGTATATTTTGTCTATTTTTTACTCATTCCTACACAAAAAGGCTGTGGCAGTACGTCGTGGAGTCCCACCAGCCGACCGTCGTGCACGTGGCCTGTAATATAAAAAAAAACCGGTGTGTGTACTTATGTACGCACGTAAGAAGTTATACTTTTTTGGCGTAACAGAACAAAAAAAGCAGTCATGACGACTGCCGACAGAAGTGAAAACTTAAAACTATATAGAAACAGATGTTATTTTTGGACATTCAAATTGATTGTTTGATCTGAATTTAAAATTTGCAAATTAAAACTGTTTACATTTATCTGGTTTTGACATCTATCGTTATCACGTCACGTGACCATGTCGATGACGACTTACAGGAATTTACTCCCCATCCAAACCTACCTATAGAAGTTTTCACTTCGATAGCTAAAGATTTCGTCCAGTATGTCACAACTCTGTTTGTAAAAGGAATGCAGCTAACTTCATCATGTCACTTTTTGGCTGTCGGTGCGTGCGCATCGTAAAAAATTTACTCTCATATTTTTTTCCAAACGTGCCAAAAGAAGTATAACTTCAAAATGAGGGGTGCACATAATACTTTCTTAGATTTAGTTAGAGTTAGAGTTGCTACAAGGGTTACGCCTACAGTTTCTAATTTTACTTATTATTTCCTTAGATATATCGAAGGACAGTCAAACTACCTCCGTCCTTTTGCAAAACGCCGATCGATGCCGCCAGGAAACCTGAAGACGTTCTAGACTATGTGCCGTGTAAGTACAACATTACCACGTTTAGGGAAAAATTTCATACAATTGCACAGTATATATTTTTTCGAATTTAGATTTCCATTGTTGTTGACATACTTTGAAATTTTCAAGGATTTGGAATGAATATTATATTTCTGAACATTCTTCAACCTAAAATATAATATACTAGCGACTTTCTCTTAACGACCGTTTTGTCCATACATTAGGAATTAATAGGTACTCAATGGCAATTTTTGTATGACTTCAATTAAAGTTATTATGATTTTTTACAGGCAACACATTTTTATCGGAATAAAAAGCCCACTCAACGGTATTTTAGCAATTTTTTAGAGTATAAAATTTTATAATTTGATTAGTACGTTTTCGAGTTTTTTTTTAAACTTTACTTCTTTGTAATATTAGTGTAGTTGAAACCTTAACCGTATTTTAATAACATCTGCTACCTTTTTCGCTAGGCGAAATTTGGCCAGAAGTGTTCAAAAGCACAAACCAATCGGCTCTCAGCAGCGTTGAGCACCTGGTGTCCACCCTCATGGAGAGGGAGGTGAAAGGGTACCGCAGCGGGGTGTACCAGCAGCCGCGCGAGCCCCCCGCGCTGGCCTACCTGCCGCCCGCCAGCGTGGTGCGAGGGGTCATGGAGGGCTTCCGGAGACAGGTGATGTGTGGAGTAGTCATTAATTTTTACAGGATTTTGGAGATTTTTGGTGACATTTGGCAAAGTTTGTAGTGACCCTACTTGCTGTGCCAGCAGTCGCAAGTTCTAGTCCCGCTGGTTGCATCCATGTGTGATGAGCACAAATGTTTGTACACCAGTCATGGGTGTTTATATTTATAACTAGCGACTCACCCTCCATATAAGGATATATATCGCGTAAATCTAAGAAAGTATCACCCTCCATTATGAAATTATATAGCACTCACCTTTTAATTTAACAGTATTCAGACCTTTTTAACGTCCCACTGCTGGGCACGGGCCTCCCATCAATACTAGAAGGATCAGGCCATAGTCCACTACCCTGGCCGAGTGCGGATTAGCGGACTTGACATGTTTTTCGCACATGAAAATATCAGACGTGTGAGACCCCGATGATTTCGCGGGATTCGAACCAGTTTTAACCTCAAGCTAGCGCGTTACCACTGCGCTACCGCTGCCTTTATTTAAATTAATCTAAACAATTTCATGATCAAAAATATGCTATTTAATTAGATAATAATAATATGTCTTCACAGGTGACATCTCCCTCGTACGACTATTCAGACGCGGTCCTCCTATCGATGCTGTCGACCCTCACAGCGGAGTACTCGAAGCCCCTGCCTCCGCTGGACCTGAGTTTCCTGCACGAGGTGTTCCACCGCGGAAAGGCCTGGAAGGCCGGCAGCGTGAAGTTGGCCGCGAGGCAGGCGCATACGTCCGGCTCTGCTAAGCGGTTGGTGGACAACTTCATGCTCAATATCGTGCCCGGGACCAGTGAGGTGAGTGATTAGTAGAATGCTATATAGGTTTTTTATTAATGCCTTTTGTAAAGGCTACCAAAAACGTAAATATTTTTTCTAATATTACTAATTACTAATTCGGAAAAATAAATTCCATTTTTTTATAAATATTAATTTAACAATTTATTTAATTTATTAAATTTAACAATTTTTTCAATATTTAATTTATTAAATTTAATATTTTTTCCTTAAATAAAAGTATCTGTTCGGATTATTTCGCGGATTTATTTTGGTATTTTGGTTCCCGACGTTTCGGATAATTTATAGCAATCATGGTCACGAGAGAGACACTCCCCATCTCGAAACATTAGTAACCAAAAATCAAAATAAATTTGCGAAAAATCCAAAAACATAGTTTTATTTAAAATATATAATATTCGAGTAAATCTAAGAAAGTATTTTTTTTCCATTTTTAATGATATGTAATTAGCTAAACCACGAGTACTTGAAGATCATTTGATTAATTCCAGCAATCAGACATAATGCTATTCTTCGAGAACCTGCCGATTCTATGTCGCACAATGCCACCAAACTCCATCCGGCCGACGCTGGAGCGTTGTCTTGCCGACTCCTTCTCTCAAGACAGCAAGGACCCTGAGGATCTGTTCATCCAGCAGCTAGGCATCATCAGGGAGTGCTTGGAGAGTGATAGAATCCATGATGCGAACAGGACTCTTCTATCGCAGATACTTGAGAACTACTTCTCTGTGATTGGGGATGATCATGTGGTGAGGTGTTTTAGTGAAATCGCATACTTTATTAATATATTATTGTTTTTATTTATTTATTTATATAATATATTTTTTTTTAGTGGGAGTTTGTCGCATATTGGTGTAATGGCAATAACAGTTCGAATTATTTTTTAGTCTGTGGATATTATATATCTATCTATAGTCTGAATTTAAAAATTAAATAGTGCTAGTTTTTGACCGCGTTTCTGTTTCTGAGGCAATAAAAAATTACAGCGATAAAAATTAACCTTTTAATCCATTCAGCATTTCATTTAAATCCGTTGTAGTGAAATAGTAAATTATTGATACAATTTTACACTAATAAAATAAATGAAACATAAAAGCTGACTGAAAACATAAAAGCGAATGACTATGATATTTTAATTTAATTTTAATAGTGTTGTTTATTCTCGTTTTTTTTAACAATGTCAGTATTTTTTTTAATTAAAATTGTCAATTATAACTTAATTGTTCACTACCAAATGAATGCATGTAAAAAAAGATAATGCATTTAGAAATAAGTTACATTGTGTATTATATTTATAATGTAAATGAATGTAATTATTACTGATCCAAATAAATAATTCGGTTCCAGGCGTGGCCAGCGTATGTAGAGACCTGCCGCACTCTTTCCACGAAGTACCTGGAGCGCATGACGTCCCCCTCCGGCTGGTGGGAGGTCACGGGTTCGTTGCTGCGGAAGACAGTGTCCATCCGCAGTCGCCTGGCCGCACTGCCTGATATTACTGCACCCCTAATGTGGCTGAATGAGGCTATTGATGCCCATGCTGGGTGTATAACGTGAGTATAGAAATAATGGAATTTGATGAGGTTTGTTAATGTTTAAGTTAAAATTGGGGTTATTTTGATTTTTTTGGTTTTAAAGTGTTTTGGTCCTTCGAGCTGGATATTTGTGAATGGTTTTAATATTATTAGTTTGGTTAGATAATATTTTATACTAGCTGACTCGACAAAGGTTGTTGTGTCCCAATTTTAATAAAATGTTTTTGAGGTCATATAGGAATTGTATAGAAAAAGTATTTTCAGTTTCTCCTGAATTTCTTAAATAACTTTAACTCGGATTATTATTTAAAAAATAACATTTAGAAATATATCCTTATCGATCTGGTTATTATTAAGTGATACGCTTATCAACAAATAGCATTTCATTTTTATTAAAAATATAAATAATAATAATAAATCCGCGAAATAATCCGAAAAGATAGTTTTATTTAAAATGTCAAATATTCGCGTAAATCTAAGAAAGTATTAATATAAATATGATTTTTTTAATCTTTTTTATAAAAAGTAAATATCAATCAATTGTTATGAAATATATTATGATGTTTTATCAATATCGATACAGCATATCTGTTTTGTAGTGAACAAGAGTACTCCCTCCGCTGCATGTGGCCGGCGCTGCGCGCGGCGAGCTCGGCGCCGGTCACGCGGGACTGGTTCCTGCAGCTGCTCGCGAGGACTCAGGTCGCTTTTAATGAGTGAGTCTAACGATAGTATGTAATATATTATAATTGATGTAAATAAATAATAAATAAATATGTTGGGATATTAACACACAGCACCATCTAGTTCCATGGTAAGCTACGAGGCTTGTGTTAAGGATACCAGATAGTTGATACACTACACATATATAAAATTAAATACATACATATTATAAATATAAATACCCATGACTAGAGTACAAACATTTGTGCTCATCACGCAAATGAATGCCTCCAACGGGACTCGAACACGCGACCGTTGGCACAGTAATAAAGGTTAACTACGAACTGGGTCAAACGTGTCGTCTACTATGGAGTATATAATATTATGAAAATTTATTATATCATTATGTATAATAAAAGTTGTTAATATTTGGTTTATAACAATATTATATATTGTATTGTATTCAACCTTTGTTAACATCCCGCTGGGGTGGCTCCTCAATTCCGAAGGAGCTCCGTGCCCAACAGTGGGACATTAAAAAGGTCTGAATACTGATACCCTGCGCGGCCACCCCAGGACGGAGGAGGAGTCCGCCAAGCAGTACCTGGTGGACGTGTTCTCCCTCGCCGTGATCTCGTTCAGCGGGCTGTGGCGCCTGGAGCCGGGGCCGCGCGCGCCGGGCGGGCGGGGTGGGCGCGCCGCGCTGCCCGCCGCCGCCGCCGCGCTGGCCGCGCGCGCCGGCTGGGACGCCTGCACGCCGCAGGTGACGTGGACACTCATGTTGTCATAATACTTTCTCCTTCTTAGTCGTTTACTCTTGACAGAGTGGTTGTGATCATGTCTCGGTCGAGTCTAGCGCCACCGCTTCTCTCGTGATGCTACGCCGTGTGTCTCTATATTTGTAATGCTTTCTTAGGTTTACACAAATATTTATAAGGGCAGACAGCGAAAAGAACTTCGTTCTGGTGTCTCATGACACCTGTGGCATTTTTTAATATAATTTTTACTACGCAGTTGTTAGAGTGGCTGGTGCACACGCGGGCGCGCGTGCGGGGCGCGGCGGCCTGCGCGCGCGCGCTGCTGGCGCTGCGACACACCGAGGCCTTCGCTGCCCAGAGGGTGTGGACCCGGATGTGAGTGCCCTGCTCTTGTTATATATAATAATAAAAGCATATTACAAACCCTAAAAGGCAGTGGTAGAACAGTGGAAATGTACTCGCTTTGGAAACCGAGTGAAGCGAGTTCAAATCCCGGGTCTCGCACTTTACATATTTTCATGGGCGAATCATTTCTTACTAAATTAACACTTGCCTTATGATAAAGGAAAACATCGTGAAGAAACCTGCATATCTGAGAGAAACTAGCAAGTTTTCGAAAAACATTCGCAGTCCGCCCGCACTTGGCCAGCGTGGCCTGACCCCCTTGTATGTATTGAAGAGAGGTCCATCCCCATCAGTGGGACATTAAAAAGGGCTAAATACATACATTACAAATCTTTATTTAACTTATTTATTGATATTCAAAGGACTTGAATAATATAATTTTTAAATGACATTTTATTTCATGCTGCTTCATTCAGGAGGGATATAGAAGAAATATAATTCAATGGTTTGTTCTAAACATATTTTATTATAACATGACTCGCTGCATTTAATATAATTATATTAATTCCAATGAAAATTAACTAATGACTACGACTTTGTCCACTTGTGTATACACTTAATGCTAAGGTACTCAACAAGAACTCGCTTTAAAAAAAATCTGAGAAAGAAACAATCTTCCAAAAAATTTTTTGGAACTTTCTTAGTTATCTGTTTAGACAAAACTTTGTAACTAAACAACAACAGACCAAAGAACCTCAATAACGCTAAAACTTAATCAATTATGGTCGATTATCAAACAGAACGATCGATGAATCGTATATAATTATAAATATGATTTCTGTCTGACTGTATTTAGATATAAACAATAAAAATATCAGTCAAGTGCGAGTCGAATTCGTACATGATGGGTTCCGTACCATCGTACCTGTACTTTTTATTAACTTTGACAGATTTTGATGAAATTTGGTATGATGATAGCTGGTTATCTAGATCAACATATAGGATACTTTTACTACGTGAAAATATCTCATCTCTGAGAAATCTATACTAACCGTTAAAACATTCCTAAAGACGAATCCGAGAGGAGCGAGGGTGAGCCGCTAGTCAATTATATAAAGATAAAGTATTTTTAAAACATTAGTGCGATATTTTATATGTAGAGGATAAATAAAGCAAAAAAGAAACAAAAAACAAAATTTTAGTATTATAGTTTAGATTGCACCTTAAAATCGATATTTAAAAAATCGATTATTTTATCAACAAACGACTCGGGATTAGTAATGTGCACATTGTGTGGTCCCGTCACATTGTGAACTATGATATTTGGTATCGATTTTTTAAATATCTCCATTAATCGAACGGCTTTTTTCTTGAAAGTTGGTGATATATTAACTTCGGAAGCGACTATATTTAGCATTATTTCATGCTGCTTCATTCAGGAGGGATATAGAAGAAATATAATTCAATGGTTTGTTCTAAACATATTTTATTATAACATGACTCGCTGCATTTAATATAATTATATTATTTCCAATGAAAATTAACTAATGACTACGACTTTGTCCACTTGTGTATACACTTAATGCTAAGGTACTCAACAAGAACTCGCTTTAAAAAAAATCTGAGAAAGAAACAATCTTCCAAAAAATTTTTTGGAACTTTCTTAGTTATCTGTTTAGACAAAACTTTGTAACTAAACAACAACAGACCAAAGAACCTCAATAACGCTAAAACTTAATCAATTATGGTCGATTATCAAACAAAACGATCGATGAATCGTATATAATTATAAATATGATTTCTGTCTGACTGTATTTAGATATAAACAATAAAAATATCAGTCAAGTGCGAGTCGAATTCGTACACGATGGGTTCCGTACCATCGTACCTGTACTTTTTATTAACTTTGACAGATTTTGATGAAATTTGGTATGATGATAGCTGGTTATCTAGATCAACATATAGGATACTTTTACTACGGGAAAATATCTCATCTCTGAGAAATCTATACTAACCGTTAAAACATTCCTAAGGACGAATCCGAGAGGAGCGAGGGTGAGCCGCTAGTCAATTATATAAAGATAAAGTATTTTTAAAACATTAGTGCAATATTTTATATGTAGAGGATAAATAAAGCAAAAAAGAAACAAAAAACAAAATTTTAGTATTATAGTTTAGATTGCACCTTAAAATCGATATTTAAAAAATCGATTATTTTATCAACAAACGACTCGGGATTAGTAATGTGCACATTGTGTGGTCCCGTCACATTGTGAACTATGATATTTGGTATCGATTTTTTAAATATCTCCATTAATTGAACGGCTTTTTTCTTGAAAGTTGGTGATATGTTAACTTCGGAAGCGACTATATTTAGCATTGGAGGAGGTTTGCTTGTAACTATAGAAATAAGCATTTTATTGGTAATTTGTATTCCTACAAGTTTTTTCATACACGGCTTCCAGGATAATCTGAAAATAAAAATTATTTATTACTTAACTTCTTTTTAATTCTTCGGGCTATTTTTAGGTTACTTAATTAGATATAACTTATGGTTGCATCGCAATATACATATATTATAATATAATGAAAACCACCAGAATATACTTCAAACGTATAATAATTATAGATTCACATATAAGAATTACACCACACTTAACACTACATATATCACTGCTTTTACTAAAATTACACAACACTGTTTCAGCGTAACTTCACCGTAACTCTTACTAAATTAGAATGAATCCCAATCATAAAAAGCACTCCTTATATAATAATTTTAATTTCAATCCACCCACCTTTTTAATAATTATAATGGAACTTCAACTACTTCCGGCGTAATCTCTAAATAATAATAATCCATTTAAGTATTTAATTTTTAAAAGCAAACTTAAAATATAAAATATAATTTCATTGACTCTTCAATTAATAACAATAAATATAGGTTAATTTGAATATATCGAACAATTTGGCATTAAAATTAATAAATCACAACAATAATAATATATTTGTCCGACAAAACATCTGTTGCTATTAAAGAAACAAAGACAGACAGACAGCAGTAAATGCTAAAAAAATAAGGATACCACGCAGCTATTATAAAACATGTACATACGTATGCCTCCGACTGCATAATACTACCTATGTTCCTTCGTCAACTTGTTTTCATCTTTTTAGTTAACTTTTTACGTAGTCGGTTTATTTTATCTTTTAAATATTTTTTATGTAAATATCTCAGAATTAGATTTTAGACTAACGTTCTTTGTAAAATAACTAGAATTTACTAACTACTTATTTCTAATTATGTTTTTTATTTTATTTATATGTTAATTGTGATGTCTTTTGTTGTAGAACCAAGATCTTTAGTGGATTTACAAATTATAATTTAATATAGCTCAATGATCTTATTTTACCGACCAATCTCCCTCGTGTCTTCTCCATTCTACGTGACATTGGCGAAGTAATCTGTGCTTAACTGGCACGCTTTGAAACCATTATTAACAAGATAATTGAATTGAATAGATATTTTAAGAATTCGCACACAACTGTGGTCTATAATATCTCCTCAGTGAGATTGACAGAAATCTGTTAAAACAACATTATTATTATACTTTCCTTACCTATACATGCCATCATCTAAAAGCACTAATGACCTTGACAGAACAACCGCTGACTGCTCTTTAGTAAAATTTCTGCTTCTCACTAAGAGATTGAGCGCTTTGTCATATGTATACTTCTTATTGCGTTCAGAAGTCCATCTGAAAATAGAAAAAACAAAAGGAGTATTTTTTTAAGTACTCAATAACGTCTCAAAAGCTATATTATATATACATTTAGACCTTCTAAACCCCTTAATTCAAGACATTTTATGCCATACATTAGAAGTTGTTGTTTAATCCACCGAAGACTATGAATTCTGCAAATTTTTGTTCCTCGCATAACGAGTATCTCGCTGCGCTAGACTTATGTATGTGTTTTTTAAATCATATATCTAGTTAATTGGGCTGGGACGTCTAGTTAGACGAATTTTAGAAAGAACCATATGATTTCTCAAGCATTTGACACATTAAAATATTTGAGCTTCGCAATTTTCATGGTTTTTTCCACACTTAGGATAGACACCTGTCTTAACTGGGCACACTTTACAAATATGTCCAACACATAGAGGATTGACCGTAATGTGAAGAACATTACGGTCACCATGTTCTCCAACTGTAACCGCACTTTATAAGGTATTTAACGCGACTGATGCTAGTGATATTGTACTGTTGAAATGTTTTAACTAGGGCGAACTTTTTGGAAAACTTATATTTAGAGGAGATTTATATTTTAAAATCATGATTGCTCACATTTACGTCATTATCATTTCGAATACATGTCCTTTTTTCCCTTCCGCGGACCTTGAGTCATCCTTCTTCGGTTTCCTTTGTTTCACTGTATGTGTATTCAGCCCTTTTAAACGTCCCACGAACACGCTGGGCACGTACCTCCCTTCAATACGAGGGGAATCAGGCCAGAGTCAACCACGCTGGCCAAGTGCGGATTGGCGGACTTCACATGTCTTTTGAAAATTTGCTAGGTTCTCTCAGACATACAGGTTTCCTCACGATGTTTTCCTCTAACGTTAAGACAAGTGGTAATCATGTTGGAAATGTTTCGCACATGAAAATATCAGACGTGCGAAACCCGGGATTTGAACTCGCTTCACTCGGTTTCCCAAGCGAACGCGTTACCACTGGGCTACCACTGCCTTAACTTGCCTGTTTCACTAACATCACTATTTTCCAACTGTCTCTTTTTTCTATTTTCTTTGCAAAATAAACCTTCTTTCTCTTTCCGTACTATTCATGATCTCATCATAAATATTCAATTCTTCGATTTTATCACGCAGTAATGAAATACTCCACGGTTCTATATTATCATCACTTACAGCAAAATTTTATAATACGCTGCATTGATAAGATGCACACCAGTAACCGGTCAAACCAGTTCAGTCGGCAAGAAACTGATATTAAATATATGTACGAATTAATTTTTAAATTAGCGACTTAGGTACCTTCATTTCACTGGCGCAGTCGCAATACTGATTCTTTTTCTAAAATAAAACTGGCCTATGTTACTCCTTATAACATTAGAACGTCAAAATCAGTCCAGCCGTTTTGGAGATTAGCCAGAACAAACGGACAGACAAAAAATTTAGAAATGGTGTATAAGTACTGTTAATTTCATATGCATTTAGTAAAAAGGTGTTATTTTGACATTACAGACACTTCAGTTTTATTTATCTGTACAGATATGCCAGCTAGTTATTACCTTGAATAATTATCATAGTAACTACCATATATATTTTGGTACCACGCAGCAGGGTTTGATTCATGGAAAGTGTATTTAGAGAGCGGTAGCAGAGGGTCTAGATTAATCATTTTATATATTCTATATGGATTTATGCTGTTGTAGAAAACTCCTGGAATTGGAAAATATTAGACTTAGAGGTTTATACTTGAAAAGATAAAAGGTATCCAAATTGTATGGCTGGTATATATATATATATATATAGCCAAATCTATAGCAGTGTAATGGTTATTCATATTCGAAGTTATTTTTAATTCCCAAGATCTATATTAAAATTTATAAGTTTCATTGTTTATTACAATGGTCATTAAGTAATGCACAATTAAAAAACAGTTAGACAGACAAGTCCCAAATATATAAATAGAAAATAATACTATGTCATACCAATTATAAACCCAAGAGAATGTGACATTAATACAAAAGTCGGCCATTTCAAGTGTTCAATTACTCTTTTCATTGCTTCTACTAAGCAAGCATGGTTTATTAGGGGACCAACAGGGAACACATCGGATTTGCCTTGACCTGAAATTATAATAGACATTATAAATTTTGTGCTACAAAGGATCAAAACTGGTCGAAGTAGCAAGGGCCGACCTAAACAACACCCATCTGCTAAATAATATATTTACGTTTAATTCTCTTTATGTTTTCGCTTGTCGTGGTAGCCTTTAAGTATAACAACCTTTACCATTTGTAAAATTTAGACATATAGTTTTTGCACGATTTAAGTGTATGCTCTGTTGGTTACCCTGAATAAATAAATAATAATGCGAAATAAATAAAAATGTATTGAAAATGTCCCATATCTCAAAAATACTCAATATTATATCTTCTCAAAAAAAATAATGGTTAAACCCTATTATGACAATTTAGCTCTATTTTGAATATATGATTGGGGCTATTTTAACCGACTTCCAAAAAGGAGGAGGTTCTCAATTCGTCGGAATCTTTTTTTTTATGTATGTTCACCGATTACTCGAAGACGCCTGAACTGCTTTGGAAAATTATTTTTTTGTTTCAAAGGGTATATACTTCCCAGGTGGTCCCGTATAAATTTTATTGTAATCGGTCGAGCGGTTTTTATAAAAATCAACAATAAATTATTTTTATTAAATAAATTGCTTAATCAAATATGTTATTAAAAAACATTCTTCTTACAAATTACCTGCTCATTACGTCTACACTAAAAATTGACAAATAAAAACTTTGAAAAAATATCTGAATAGGTATCTATTCTAAATGAAAACTTCCATTTACATAGTTATTTTTTACATTTTAGTGCCTGGAAGTCGTTTTTTTTAAGTTTTTATCTAATAACTTCTACTATTATAACAATCTAAATTACCTATTATAACAAGCTAAATTACCATTTTACTATCCCTCCTTTAACATTAAACTCCCAATTAAAATCTGCTACCCTTACACATTTGTCTAATATTGTCCTACCTGACTCTTTCTCTTTCGAATCAGTCTCAGAAGATGCCATTAAGAAGTGTATCCGCTCCATCATTACCAAAGCCATCGGTAGTGACCATCTCAGCCTCGACATGATTCTTCCCATGTTGGATTGCATTGCTCCAGTTTTCACTCACATTATTAACTATTCACTGGCTTGCAATATTTTCCCAACTCAATGGAAGAATGCTCTTGTCATACCCATACCTAAAACTACAAATCCCACCTGCCTCAATGAATATCGACCTATATCCATCCTACCTATCCTATCCAAAGTCCTAGAATCTATTGTACACAATCAACTTTATTCTTACCTTGCCTCGTATAATCTACTATGTCCTTACCAGTCCGGATATCGTCCCTTCCATAGCACTATTGGTGCGTTGCTCAACATTACGGAGGACGTACGGTTTGCCATGGATAACACCAAACTCACTGCAATGATCCTCCTCGACTTCAGTAGTGCATTCAAACTGTTGACTTCGACATTCTTCTTGGCACTCTTCGCGCAGTTAACATTTCTCCTGCGGCTATTGACTGGTTTCGCTCATATCTTTTTGGGCGCCGCCAGTGTGTGAGAGCTAATGACACTTCGTCGGTGTGGTTGGATCTCACGGCTGGGGTCCCCCAAGGCGACGTTCTTTCACCATTACTCTTTTCTGTTTTTATTAACAACATATCTCGCGTCATTTCTTCTTCCTACCATCTGTATGCAGATGACTTACAACTATATCGCCATTTTGAGTTAACTGAGTTACCCGATGCTGTTGAAGCTTTAAATAATGGTCTAGTCGTTATACAAACTTGAGCCGAACTTTACGGACTTTTAGTTAACCCTAAGAAGTCTCAAGCCATAATTATTGGGAGCAGCAAACTTAGGTGTAAAATAGATTGGCAGTCAGTCCCTGGGATCATATACTCTGGGGTCTTTGTCCAAGTCATCATATCAATCCTCATATCAATGAGGTTAGTAGGCGTATGTAATTCACTTTCCATTCTCTAAGGTGTCTCCAATACTTTCTCCCCTTCAAGACCAAAGTTATGCTTGCGCAATCTCTTCTACTACCCATACTTGACTACGCCGATGTATGCTATTTGGATGTGACGGAGGAGCTTCTGAACAAATTAGAGCGTCTTCAAAATCTCGCTACACGCTTATCTATGGTCTACGCAGGTACGATCATGTTTCCGACTTTCGTGCTCGTCTTAAATGGCTCGCTATCCACCTTCGCCGTGATATGCACATTCTTTCATTTCTGTTCAATATCCTTCATAACCTCAATTTTCCCTCTTACCTTCGTTCAAGGTTTAACTTTCTTCCCACTTCAACACAATCTAGGCGGCCCTGCATCACATCGATGCTTGACATACCGAGAAGCAACACCAAATTTTTCCAAAACTCATTCTCGGTACACGCTGCAGTGTTATGGAACAGACTTCCCAAAGTCCTACAGGAAGGTCCTATGGAAATATACTGTGTACATATATTTGTATGTTTATATATTGTACTCATTTTGTTTATATATTATGCTTATTCTTATTTATTTTCTTATCTTTTCTTTGCACTTTCTCTTTCTGTCCCGCTATTTAACACTATTTCCCACATATATGGGTTGACTGGAAGAGATCTCTTATAGAGATAAGTCCACCTTTGTCCACATCATTTTCTATGTATTTTTTAATTATTACTTTTTTAGTGCAATAAAGAATACATACTATTAGATATGTCTTTATCAAACTAAGAACTTACCAGGAAAATCTATAGCTACATAGTAATATGTGTCAGTTAAATGCTTTATAATTGGAATAAAGGTTGCCGCACTGTCCATGTGACCATGGACCATCAACACTGGTGAATTCATACAATGACCCCATGATATACCTATAAGGAGAATGGTTTTTTTGTTTTTTTTTAGAATATATTATAGTTATTGATTTAATAAATTACCTATTATTCATTATATGTCATATGAATACTTTTTTTATTGTTTAACATTAGATTAAATTTCACTTTTAAATGAAATTTTATGTGTAAATTACTCAATCATATCTAATACTTAGACTAAATAATTATATTATGGCCTAAGAGCCTGTGAACGCCAGACTTTCGTCATTTTATAAAAGCTGAAAGTTTGTCAGCGCATACTCCCAACACAGATAAGAACGATGGACCATTATGAAGTTCAGGCTATGGTGGCTTTGGCAGGTACACGGTACTAAAGGTGTGTAAAATACCGATCTCAATTCGTCAAACAATAAAGTGTGATTTTTTGGTTAATACCAAAATGTTCCAAACAAGTTGGGAGGCATTTCTAAGAAAATGTTGCAAATGGTCACCAAATTTGAAGCGCTAAGAATTGACTTTATTTTTGATGGTGTGTAATAAATGCTATGCTAGCAGTCTTATAAATCATCTAATTATTACCCAAGTATTATATATAAAAATCAGCTTTTATACTATAACGTAAGTAGAACTGTGATTTCATGAGAAGGGTGTCTGGCATTGAATGACGTGATTTTTAATAATATTCTGAAGGTAATACCAAAAAATCACACTTTATTATTTGACGAATTTAGACGACGCTATATAGATATGAAACTGTGTTTGTTTGTCCTTCTTTCAAGTCGAAACGGAGTGACGGATTGGCGTGATTTTTTGTGTAGAGATTGGGAGTGTTGGAGGGATGGAGAGTGACATAGGCTACTTTTTATTGCGGGAAATTATCTAAACTAACGAAACAAGGTATTAATGTTCTTCAATAAAATTAAATAAAAATGTTTTTTTCAAAATTCATCCTATAAGGAGGTAAAATAGGGGTTAAAAGTTTGTATCAAATTACGTTTTTAGAGATTTTTTGTAGTTTTAGCGCGAGCGAAGCAGAAATAAAATGAAAATTTCACCCATTTCAAAATAAATTAAAAATGATCAAGAATAACTCACAAGCGATTTTCCCCCATGGAGCTTCAACATAAAATTCATGACTTTCCATTATTTATACTTATTAATATATGTATATATAAAGTATACAAATCAATATTTCTGTAAATTTTTATAAAATAAAATGTCACAACCAAATGAAATCAAAGATGAAACATAACTACGTCAAAATTTTTTTACAAAAATAAAAAAAACCCGACATGCAGTCCGCAGCTTGCTGCGAGTTTTGCTAACAATAAGTGTACTGTATGTCTCCGACAGCATAGTACTGTATCTTCATTACTTTTTCTTATCTTTTTAGTTCGCTTTTGTTCAGGCAGTCGGTTTTTTATTTTTGTAAACTATTTTTTATTTACAGCTTTTTTGTTTTCGTCATTTAGAAATTTTTAGTTTTATTTAACTTATATCTATATGTTTTACACAACTTATATGTTTAAAATTATTTTTAAACATAAAGTTGTGTATGTTTTTGAAATCGCCTTTTAAAACCTTCATTTTGATACCCCACTCGATTGATTCGGACGAGATATATTTTTTCAGGACATACAAATTGGCGCCTAACATCTGTCATTTTTATTTTTAATAATATCCATATGACACTCGCGTTATCAAGATCCTCCAAGGACCAGGTGGCGAATGTTAGAGAAAGAACAGTATGCAAGTACATTCAGGGTAGTGGAAAAGTGGATGAATGTTGGAATGAAATGGCAAATTATATAAGAGAGATAGCGCGAGAAGTGTTTGGAGAAACGAAAGGGAAGGGTACTATTGATAGAGATACTTGGTGGTGGAGTGAAGAGGTACAGAGAGCTCTGAAAGAAAAGAGAGGCATTTAAAACATGGAAAAATGAAAAGGGTGAGAGAGGAGAGTGTGATAACACAAAACCAATTTGGGTTTATGCCAGGACGCGGGGCAACAGACGCCATATTTGCAATGCGCCAAATATCTGAGAAGTACAGACGTGCGCACAAAAACTTGCATATGGTGTTTGTTGATCTAGAAAAGGCGTATGATAGGGTTCCCCGAGAGGTTTTGTGGTGGGCTTTGAAAGTAGAAGGAGTGCCTGCTAAGTACGTGGAATTGATTCGTGCTATGTACAGAGAGTCTAGCACTCATGTAAGATCGATCGCTGGGAACACCGAAAAATTCAGTGTCTCTGTAGGCTTGCACCAGGGATCGGCTCTAAGTCCATACCTCTTCCTGTTGGTAATGGATGCTCTGACATCGGACATACAGGGGGAGGCACCTTGGTGTATGCTATTTGCAGACGACATTGTATTGGTCGGAGAAGACGGGTGCGAGGTCCAGAGCAGATTGGAAAAATGGCAACAACAGCATCGAATCAATGCAGGGTGGATGAAGTGGCGGCAGGTAACGGGAGCAATTTGCGACCCCAAGTTCCCTATGAAATTAAAGGGACAATATAAGACGATCATCACTGCCGTCCTATACGGATCTGAAAGTTGGCCCACAAAGAGAACGGATGAAAGACGTATACATGTAGCTGAAATGCGAATGTTGAGATGGATGTGTGGTGTGACTAGAATGGATAAGGTGAGGAATGAATACATTAGAGGGAGCCTGAAAGTTGCGCCAGTGGATGAAAAGTTGAGAAGCAATAGGTTATCGTGGTATGGACATGTGATGCGGAGGGAAGAGCAAAGTGTGGTGAAAAGAGTTTTGTGTATGGAAGTTAACGGGGACAAGAGAAGAGGACGACCAAAGAAAAGATGGATGGACTGTGTAGAAGAAGATATGATTAGAAAGGGAGTAAGCAGTGAAATGACGAATAATAGAGTAGAATGGAAGAATAAAACATATTGCGCCGACCCCAAATAAAAATTGGGACAAGGGCAGGAAGAAGAAGAAGACTCGCGTTATCAAGACGAATTTAAAGACGTATGAATTATCAAAATTGGTTAAGGCGTTTAGTAATTACGAGGGAACATAGCGTCGGATGTACGTACGTACATACACTCAGGTCAAGCTCCTTTGGGCTTCGCGACGCAGTCGGGTAATAATAATATACATTGTTGTGCAATTTCCATAATTTGTAATTATAATAAAGTTTTTGATAATATTTATGCATTATAAATAATTTAATTGATTATAATGATAACATTTGTTTCTTGTACAAAGGTCGATGTTTTACCTAAAAAACTGGCCAAGTGCGTGTCTGGTCACGCGCAATGTAGGGTTCTTGACTCTTGACTCTTAACAAAAATTAGCACTTTAAAGCTTCATATTTCACAATCAAAAATTTAGGTGTAGAGCAGGTACCCTAAAAATTGTTTTTCAAAATATTATTTTACCACATGATGACGTGATTAATTACAATTTTATACCAGAAAGCTCTTTGAGCTAAGCTGCGTATAGACGGACGGACATACATAGCGAACTATATGATAACCAACTATCATCATATCTCATCTGTTCAGCGGTTTTTTCGTGATGCGTTCTCAGACAGACACAGACAGACAAAAATTCTAAAAACTAAAGATTCGGTCTCTGTATCGATAATAATGACTGTTTCAATAAGATTTTCCAGAAAATATTTAATGTGCAGATTCGACTTAAAATTTTATTATATGTAAAGATACTTAATTTTATTAATTTTGAACGTTTTGCATTAACTAGATGCAGTCATTAACTAGATAATTGAATTGCTTTTATTATATTAGTATAGATTCGTTTTCTAACAAAATGGTGCATTATCGGGTACTGGCTAGATTTCATTCCATCATCCAACTTTGCAAACTTGAATTAAAAGTTAACATTTTTTTAATAAAACTTTTTTTTAAATACCGTTTATTTTTTTATTTTCTTTTTCAGAGAAACGAATGTTGACAGCGCCATCGCGGTGGAGGATGAATAAGTTACTAATTTGCTTTAAATTGCCATGTTTTTATTATGATTACAGTTGCTACTTAAGAATATCTCTGTTTTAATAAGTACATATATCATATGAATAATAATTATATTGTTTAATTGATTAATAAAAAAATAACCTACGAAAATTATAACTCTTTGTTGTTTGTATCTTTTTTTTGAAGCATTTGAACAATAATTATTATCATATCTGCTTTATATGTATATATCTTGACATAGTTTTTTTTAATACAAAATATTCAATATTTAAATAGAAAATGATAACATTGTATCTCAGTATTTCATTTTCTTCCGCTGTTAAATATGTAAAGTATTATTATATTACATATATATAGCAGAGATGCAAAACCTTGTTATCTAGTCTTATTCGATGACTGACAGATCTGTTTTAATGATGAAAGTTGTGTTAAATATTACCTATTGAAATAAACGCAATGATGATTAATATTGTTTTGTTTTAATTATAAAAATGTATATATATAAAGAGGCAGAGTATGTTTGATAGCGCTGATCTCAGAAACTATTAATCCAATTTGAAAAATTCTTTTTGCATTAGATAGCCTGTTTATTGAGGGAGACCGTAGGATATATATCATATAAAGTTCGTACCACAGTGAAGCGAGGGTAAGCTGCTAGTTATAAAATGAAGTTTCCGCTGCATGTTTGTCTGAACGCAATAAGCTCAAAAACTACTGAACGAATTTTCATACACTTTTCACCAATAGACTGTTTGAAGATGGGACTAGACTGAATTGAAAAAGTTGATCGAAAAACTGAGAAAAATCGATTTATTTATAGGATTGTCAAGACAATGTGTGTTGGTTTACCTTGATATATAATTAAATAAAAGAAATGATAAATACATGTTTTATTTTACTTATTATTATTACAATTTTCATAACACGCACTAATATCGCTCATGATTTACCACAAAGATGTAATACTATAATAGTGCAGATAGCCCATTTTCATACAAATAAATCGGAGAGCCATAAATCGGAGAGCCCTAATTCGGGCTTTCCTTTGGGCTATTGTAGTTCCCTTATAAAAACGATAGGGGGCGTTGATCCACAAGCAACCGTTTTATTTTATAAATACATATATTAACTAACATATTAGTACATATGTATTCATAACAGTATGTAAAATATAGAATTAACATTGATTTTACTTTTTAACCATGGTGATATTACTCATAAACAGTAGGTTTATAGTATTTTTTTCATATTTCACAATTAATGTTTTTATCTCTAATTAATTAATATACAGAAAAACAGAGGCAAATTAAAAAAAAACCTTCCTTTACTTTTCTTCATTTACTGCAAATTTACATTGCTATGTAATTAAATAAGAAACTAACATATTGTCTATACAAAATACATTTTTAATATAAAAACTGGAAATTCACCTTAAACATACTATACTTACTTTTACATATAATATTATATTAATTTACACCTTAATACATTCACATTTCAACTTCTAACATCATTATAGAGATCAGTAACATAGTCAAATATCTCCTTTAGGTCAATAGAATTCAACGCTAACATTACCCACATCCTTCACATTTTTCCTTATACAATACACAAATTGGTCACCCATCCACTACCATCCTTTTTTTTATACGTGGGGAAACCCCTTTACGGGTGCCGAGCGCGGATGACGCACGGGGTATGTTTGACTATTGTAGCGAGAAGCGCGACAGACTACCCACTAAAACCACTACGGTGATCCCTATCGCAAGAGACAGGGCGACGGGATCGCTTGCGCATTCGACCACGACAATTATCAATCGACTACCATCCTAAGGTACTTTTTAAGCAAAAAATGTATTTTTTAACATCCCACTGGGCGGGCCTCCTTCCAAGACGAGGAGGATCAGGCCATAGTCCACCATGCTGGCTAAGTGCGGGCGGACTGAGCATATCTTTCAAAATTGTTATGTTCTCTCAGACATGCAGGTTTCCTCACGTTTTCCTTCACCGTAAGTAAAGTGATAACCATTGGAAATGACTCTCTAATCCGCACACGAAAATATCAAAGGTGCCAAACCGGGATTTGAATTCATTTACCCATTACACGTGACCACTGGACTACCACTGGCTTAGCAAGCACAAAATTTGTCACTTTACACACATCACTATTATTACACCAACTATCTATCCAAATTGTCTTTAGTCTCTGTCACTGCAAAAATGGTCACCCATCCACCCGTGTCCGCGGGCAGTGTAGCTTACAGTGTCTGCGCATCGCGCACTCTCCGCCCTCAGAGCGCCGTCTCATCTGCCGGACCTTTTATTTCTACGGGACTCTTTATTGGAACACGAATAACTTCTTCCTCTATTTTGGCTTCTACTGGCATGTTCTAGAAGAAAAGGTTTTTGATTATTATAACATCAGACGACAAATTTGGCTTGGCAAAGTTTGTAGTGCTACTTGCTGTGCCAGCGGTCGCGGATTTGAGTCCCGCTGGGGGCATTCATTTGTGTGATGAGCACAAATGTTTGTACTCCAGTCATGGGTGTATATATTTATAATATGTATGTATTTTAAGTTATATATGTATAGTGTATCAACTATCTGGTATCCATAACACAAGCCTCGTAGCTTACTCGAATGTAAATAAATATATTATAGTGGAATGTAAAATGGTTACAATTACCTATCTTCATTTATTGTATTGCATTTGTTCGCTCTCACTTTTTCTAGAGAGTTGACCACTCTCTATTTCATGAGAATATTGCTCAGCCCATTCTGTAGGTCTATGAACGAGAAATATGCCCATTACAAATTTTTCGTCTCACGCCATAACTTTGCACTGCAGTTTTTTAATAAACAGTTTTCAATTGTATGGCAGTGTTATACAGTGATATACCATAAGTACTACCATAAGTTGATATACGGCAGTCGGCAACACTAGCTCACCTCGAGCGCGGCGTAGTGCGCGAGGCGCGCGGGGCGGCGGCGGCGCTGCGGGGAGGCGCGCGCGCACGACACGCTCTTCAGCAGCCGCGCGCTGCAGTCAAGGGCGACGGTTAGTTTATATTATCACAGTCACACTGTCTCAGTGTACGTATATTGCATGTACGACTACAAATCCGAAGGTCTTGGATTCGAGTCCCAGGTCGGGCCGAGTTTAATTATTGAGTAAATCTTTTAAGAAATTCTCAATAACAGCCCGGAGTTGGGAAATTGGCGATGTTTTGCCCCCATGTAGAGGCAGAGCTGGATAAAGTCGTCGGTCCTACGCCTTAACTCGCCCTGGTCGTGTTGAATAGTCGTCCCACTGTAGTATAAGAGTAACAGGAATAGAAAATAGAGTAGAATATAGTTGTTAAATAAGAAATCTAAGTTTGTATGGAATTCATCATTTTTAAAGTAACAATTATGAAGATTGCTATTTAGGTTTCTGATAATATCGCAGGAGAAATTCCATATTTCCTCGGTGCTGTTAAAATAATAATAATCTAATTCACATATACAAAGATGCACAAAAACAAAATGTTCAAGCATCTACATTAAAGTGTAACTAGAAGAATCACAGTTATAAATAAATACAATACTCACGCATCCAACAATTTTAAAAGCAATCGGCTATATGCCCTATATTCATCTTCACTAAACTCGGCAGGATGGTGTCTTGCCGACTCATAGGCATCACAGAACTGATGCACCAACTTCTGCCCAAGACCATCAAGGGGAGCAGCTAGTGAAGATAGAAGGAATGCCCGAAGAGACTCCTTTGGATGACGTTTGAGACCCGGGTCTTGACGGGCTATCTCATCCTCTATAATATAATAAATATAAAATAACATTTTAGAGATGTAATAATAATATAATAATACTCTCACTGATAGCATATGTGCAGGAGATATAGTATAAATAGGCAAGGACAAAATAGTTCAGTACCTTTTTCTCCTATGTTTGTCAACCGATTATACATCTTTCTTCTGTTAATAGCTTTTAACAAGCTTTAGAACTATCAATAAAAACAATTTAGAAACATTTAAAATGATTATGGTCTAACTTTGACTAGTATACATACAAGCACAAGTGCACTCTCTATTCCTATCACTCTTAAATTCAAATGAAATGATTTTTTGTTATTTATACTAATACCATATAGAGGTAAAGTTTGTGAGTTTTTGAGTTTGTCATGTTGTAAGGGGTCTTTGGATCTACTGAACCGATTTAGATGAAATTTAAAAAGAAGATAGTTTGAGTCTCTGGGAAGGACATAGGATACTTTTTATCCCGGAATCATCTCTTAAAGGGGCGAAAGTGGGATGAAAGTTTGTATTGGGAAGAAAGCTAGGGACGAAACCAAGCGAAGTGAGGATGAGTCGCTAGTTGTAGATAATCTCACTGTATATTATAAATGCACAAGTGTCTATTAATCCATTACTCTCTTAAGTCTCATGAGACAGTTCCTTAACTAAGAGAGAGAAATAGACAAACACACCATTTTTCTAAATTCCCTTTCCTATTTAGAATTAATTTTAATTAACAGTAATTATTTGACTCACTCTGGAATCAAAAATTTTCATAAATATTATGGCAAACATTCTGACACATTGTAGAAGTTACACTATTATATTATTATATATAGGTGGAATTGATTTTACACTTTTTTGAAATTGCTTAAAAATAAAAATTAAAGATATAAAATTTTCAAACTTACCTAAAGTTTTAACATCGTCTACTGCTCTAAATCTATAATGGTATGGCTGCTGGGGCTCTAATATGTAATGTGATGGTTCTGCACATAATAAGCGTGGTTCATATACAATTCTCGGTACAGCCTCAATACGCCTCTCTATTTCCTTTTTCAGACACTGTAATGTATTTGTTATTTAAAGAATTATTAAGAAAAACTTCACAATGTGCGTATGACAATACAAATTAAGAAGTAATGAAAGAGATTTTATAATTAATGTATGTTAATCTAATTAATCACTTAAATAAAACCAAAAATGTGTCTAAATAGACAATCAATTTGGATTCTTATTATACATAATATGCGGATGTGTTTTTTAAGTAAATTCAGAGTTATTGGAACAATATTAAAAAAAAATTTACTAATTTACTGGATTATAAACTTTAAACATATATGTGTTGTTGTTATATTAATATTTTTGATTTTCATTAATTATTAACCTTTTTAGCATCAGTTCCAATAGTAACATGAGGACCTCGCCTAGAACGAAGAGCAAATCTTGTAATCTGTCGCTTAGCAAAAATAAATAGAATCACAAACGTTAACACTCCGCCACTGATTATGAATATAATGTTCAAAATGCTAGTAAAATCTTGCATTTTGGATTCAGTTTAGTTGGTAAACAGGAATTATCAACTATTTACTTGAATCAAAATTCTACATTTAATTACAAACATGAAACATGTGAAATTTTTCCTGTTGACATTGACAGCTTTTGTCAAAAGTCAATTAATGATGTCACTGACACTGCCGCTTGCCATTAATAAATATTGTTCATTTTGGTTTGTTTAATAAATATTTTTCTAAAAACCTGAATAAAATAAAAGAACTTATAAATAAGCATAAAAGGTCTTACATATTGCATTTAATAAAGCAAATCTTTGGGAAATATAAATAATAACATTGAAAAATTTAAACAAGAAAGAATCATAATCTATACTAATATAAGAAAGTTTTTTTTGTTTATTTGTTTGTACTGAATAAGCTCCGAAATTACTGAACTGATTTTAACCATATATTCTCAATAGAAAGCTAATTTTTTTTTTATACCATGTCGGTGGCAATCAGGCATGCGGCCCGCCTGATGGTAAGCGGTTACCGCAGCCTATGGACGCCTGCAACACCTGGGGCATCATATGCGCGTTGCCGACCCTTTAAAAACCTATTTACTCCCCTTTTGAAGGAGTTATTATTATTATTAGTTACTTCTAATATTATAAATGCGAAAGTTTGTGAGGATGTATAGACGTATGGATGTTTGTTAGGTACTCTTTCACGCAAAAACTACTGAATGGATTTTAATAAAACTTTTTATCCCGGAAAAATGCATGGTTCCCATGGGATAGATTTGATGTTGTTTTGTCTGTTGGCTATCTTACTTCCCTATACGCTTAGTCTACTCGCATAAGATGATAGATATGGCTTCTACTTAACACCTAGACTAAATCCAATGTAAATACTTAAATTATTGATAAATTCGTTGAATTCAGGGTCTTTATATTTAAAGCTACAATTCTTTTTTTTTAATATTTAACACTACTTTATTGATGTTAATTGCTTAGCTGTTGTCTAGTGGTTAGCATGTAAATAAGTTTTAATATTCATCTATGCTGTAAAGCATTGGAAGCGGTGGGCACAGCAACAGAAGTATTGAAGTAAAGCAGTGAAAATTATTAGTCCATTATTATGCACTACTAGCGACTCACCTCGCTGGGTTCCTCACTAGGTACGCTTTAATTATTTTGAGCGGAACCCTAATTCTTTAACAAATAAAAGTAGCCTATGTTACTCCCTATAACATCAGCTATCTTCCAGTGAAAGTCCCGTTAAAATCAGTCCAACTGTCTCACAGATTATCTGGAACAAACAGACAGACAAAAATTAAAAAAAAAATGTGTTTTTTTTATAAGTACCGTATATAATTTCATATGCATTAGTAAAACGCTATAATTTTGATATTACAAACAGACACTTCGATTTTATTTATCTGTAGGTATAGAGTATAGATAATGGATAAATATTTTTCTTTCCATTTTTCCTTGTCGACATGCTTAAGTATTTTATATCAGTAGTAGAGTACTACTACTGTTACGTTGGAATTTTCTACATTACAAATTCTATCCTCGCAATCAAACATGCTCTGATTTGTAATCGTAACTATAACTCAAAGCCTATTAAGACATATTTTCTTCAAAGATTGAGCTTTTGCCAATTCAATGTCGCAAGGATAAATTAGACAGAACTCCTAGACTGCAGAAACAAAGTTCATGATACAAGTAAATGTATATAATATACTTACATGTGTATCCTTGGACTGCCTCGGCGGTGTAGTGGCTAGCATGTACGGGTACACACACGGAGGTCCTGGGTTCAAGTCCCGGGTCGGGCCAAGTTTAGTTATTGAGTCTTTCTATATAGTAAGCCTCAGTAACAGCCCGGACTGGGGAAGTTGGCGATGTCTCACCCCCATGCCTCGGAGAGCACGTAAAATCGTCGGTCCTGCGCCTAACTCTCACCGGTCGTGTCAAGTAGTCGTCCCACCGGAGTATGAGAGTGACAGGAATAGAGAGTGACAGGAATAGAGAGTGACAGGAATAGAGACTGACAGGAATAGAGAGTGCACGTTGTGTCTGCGCGTACACTTGTGCACTATAATATCTCCTGCGCAGTTGGCTAGTCTCGGTGAGATTGGCCGCCGTGGCCAGAATCGGTCAGGAGAACATCATCATCATGTGTATCCTAGCTCAGATTTTTTTATTTGTCTTTATTTTACAATGATTACGCGATTTTGTTTAATATTAGTAGTGTCAGTAATAATAATTCTGTTTTTTAATATCCCACTTCTGGGTATGGGCCTCCCATAAATTGGGTGCTGACTGGAGTGTTAATCCACTATGCCAGATAAACGTATAGCTCCCGCCTCCCACATCTTTCAAACCTTAGTAAGGTTCTCTGAGATGTCTTCTTTGAAATAAATGTTCTTTAATACTTCCTTAATTTGTTATTACTTGGAAGATTAAATGGTTTCGTTAATAGGAGAGTTTGTATTTTGTGAGTCATAGAGTCGTATATTATTAAAAAAATGGAAACAGTTTTATTATATAAATATATAAAAAAAACTACAAATAGTAAATTATATAAAAACTCTGTTATTAAGTTGCAAGATATAAAAGCAATATTATTTATTTATTATTTTTATTGCAGTCGTAAATTTAGTTTAGTATATTTTTATTTAACTTAATTTTTTAACTTGATTTTGTTGATATGAAAAATAAAATAGTTTACTTGTTCACACACAGTCTGAATTTTTATAAATCTGTCATTCATGTGTTTATATTGCCATTAAATATAAATACGTAAAGCTTTACATGATTTCTATTAGCTACTCTACACAGACAAAAAATTTAGTGGTAAGAAAATATATCAAGAACTAGCGACTGTCCTCGCTTCTCTCGGTTCCGTTTATAGGTGTCCTTTGTATTTATAATATTAATTTTAGCTAATTCTAATAAACTAACAGTAGCCTATTTTACGGTACTTCAGAGTTTAAGTTTGAATGGTTTAAAGAAAAATTCTTTTTTGGTGCAGGAACTTTCGTAGATGTATGAATAACTCATCAGTTTCATCACAATCAGATCAGTGGTTTAGGGACGCATACAGGAATACATACGAACATTCATTTTTATTTATATAGAATATTTCATTTTCATCCAAATTCGTCCAACCGATTCAGCGTGAAGGAGTAACAATAACAAATATAGATGCACATATATACGAACCATTGCATATGTATATGTATAATAGTAGCGACTCACCCTCAGGTACCCTACGTACCTACGACCTAGGTACTTTAAACTATTAGCTCAAAGATGAGATATTTTCCTGCAGTAAAAAGTATCCTATATGTTGACCCAGATAACCAGCTATCATCATACGAAATTTCATCAAAATCTATGCAGTGGTTTTCTTGTGATTCGTTCCCAGGCAGACAGACAGAAAGACAGACAAAAAAGCTATAGATTCGGCCCCTGTATCGATAATAATGGCTATTTCAATAAGATTTTCAAAAAAATATTTAGTATACAGTTTCGATTCAGAATTTTATTATATGTGCCTATAGAAGATAAACCATTAATAATGCAATATGCAATATTTAAAATAATAATATTCCTAGAAACACTTACATATTCATCGTATATCATACACAAGCCGAACATTCCTTCATCATGATTCTTTCAATTCAGTGTTGGGCGAGGCACGAACAGCTTTGGCGGGAAACGCGACATGCATACATATGTTCCAATATGGACGCTCGGACCACTACAGTTTTTAATTTTGATCGTATATAGCACAGGCCGAAAGGCAAAAGTTTTACAGTTTCAAATTATAGGTTTTACTATAGAATTACAAATTATAGTAAACTATACGAAACACTGTATTAGGGGATTAAGTCTGGTGTGGAATTTAGTTTCCATCTTGTAATTTTTGTAGAAGGTAGCAGGTTCATTGAAAATACTTTAGTTGTTTAATAATATTTAAGATATCTATTTCTATCTCTTTCACTCTTTTAGGTTAAAGATTCATTGTTCTTATTGATCGCTCGGTTCATTTTATATTCATTTTTCAATAAGGAGGGATGACCAACTTTTCCAATATGGAGTCCGATTGCCGATTTCTCATTGGCCATCAAATGGTTTTGTGGACAAATTGGGTCTGTAACAGCCTGTAGGTAGCTATAAAATTGCTAATATTATTCCTTTGATGAGTCGACCATTGAATTCAATTGCGCGTTTATTTTTATGATTATTATTGTTAGTCATAAAGCCATCATAGTCGATTTCCTATGCTTTTCAGAATTTATGCTACATTGTAAATTTGATAGGCAAAATATAATAAAATATTAGATTCACTAAACGTGTGTTTAATACATACATATATTTAATTAAGTTTGTACGAAAAGAACTTTGTTGGGCGTATTATCTTCAGGAGTTTTAGTTTTCAATAAAGTGCATTATTCATAACATTTCCAGAAAATATTAGTAATAAGACGTACAGCATGAAAGTCATATTAGAGAAATACGCACTGTTTAGAAATTCAACTCGTTATTAATGAATGAAACGAATATATATTCATAAATAAAAAAATCACAGTGTTGCCGTGGGGTAACAAACTAAATCTTTCTGAAAGTTACTAAAAATGCCTTATTTTTCATATAACTAATAATAAGAAACTATAAAAAGATATAAGGGAATGTTTTGATATGGTCGAACGCATTTTTATAATAATTTTTAAAATATTTCTTTAAAAGCACTTGCTGGTACCAAGGTCAGCGATTTTAGCGGGAATACGTCAAAATACAAAATGGCGTCGATACGTCACAGAGTACGCTAAGTAAGAAATCACGAGACGGCGGTTTTCTTAACAACTATGTAATATTTCTAAAGCTTCATGCTTATGTAATATGCATATATAATTGGTAACCACGTTTTATATACTCAATTATCTAAGTTAGTACCTAGATTTTAAACAAATTGAGCGTAGAGATAATCTAGTAAATTCTCAGTCTAGATCATACCTAGCAAAAAGGTTAAGGTCTCTTTTATTCTGTCGATATTTACCTATAATGTGCTAATAGGTAATATTATATTAATCGAATAGTGGCATAGCTTAGTTACTTTTTTCCATATGCTTAATGTGGGTAACAACAATATCTGTCTGTAAAAAAGTAATCCCAAAGGTTTTTTAGATTAAAAAAATACGAAAGCATATTTGCACTTTAGTAGAAACATATGACTAATATTCCATTGGTTCTATACCAACTTCGATTCTTTGTCACATTTTACTCTTCTCAGAACTGAAATTAGGTATTGTAAATGCACTTTTAAATAGATATTAATCCTTTATCCTACATACCTATCTGCAAAATATTATCTAATACAGAAATAAATATAAATTACTAGCGACTCACCCTCTCTCCACTCGTGTCATCACTAGTTACGTTTTAACGTGTAGTATAGATTTCTCAGAGATCAGATATTTTCCTGCAGTATCTTATATGTTGACCCAGACACCTAGCTATTATCAAATCAAATTTCATAAAAATGTGTCCAGTGGTTTTCTCGTGATGGGTTCCCAGACAGACAGACAAAAATTCTAGAAGCTGTAGATTTGGCCTCTGTATCGATAATAATGACTATTTAAATAAGATTTTTCAAAAAAATATGAAATGTAGCCTATATTGGCCCTAATAAATAACCATATGTAAGTACATCTTCTTTGAGCAGTCGAAAATTGGAATTGAAGTAGGTCCGTAATGAAAATATAAAAAAAAAGTTCGTCGATGTTTAGTTTAAGTCTTATATCTCCTATTTTGAAAACTCAAGAAAAATTCAGGTCGCGTAGCAGCGTCTCCACCGGCACGCGAAGATATGCGCACGCGACGTACTACTTGTGATAATTTGGCGGTAGAGAATATCATTAATGCCTCATAGCTACCCTTCAGACTTCATTACTGTTATATTGCCATATTGTGCCATACTTGTCTAAAATTGTAATGAATTATTACCGAAGTTTTTAATCATTTTAGCACGCTTTCTCTTCTAGTAGAAATAGATAGAGAAGATATTGACTTTTTTTGCTGTTTTCTTCGCTATTTCAGATACGTTTTAGTACTGGATACTATGGCGGCGCATTCACTTTTATAAGATGAGCATATACAGGAACTCGGAGCATTGTATGGAGATACTACTACTACGTATCCGTATGTTGAAAAAATACTACGTAATTTTAGGATTTAATTAAAATTAAATCATGATATCTAAACACCTATCCATGCGATTATGTTCGATAGAATATTGAAAGTAATAGAAATATAAATAATCATAATATTTTACCTATATTTTGGCAGTGGTGGCCCTGTGGCAACGCGCTTGGGAAACCAAGTGAAGCGGGTTCAAAACCTGGGTCTTGCACTTCTGATATTTTTATTTGTGAATAATCCCCAACATGATTACCACTTGCATTACGGAGAAGGAAAACATCGTGAGAAAACCTGATTCTCAAAAAAAAACTATTAAGTTTTTGAAAGACATGTGAAGTCCAACAACACGCACCTGGGGGCTTAGCCATATTACAAACGTTTCCTATCTAATCTCTTTCTATCATTGGTAGCGTATTGTCGATAGCTATTTTAGAAAACGATTTGATGCTAGCCATATCAACAAAACTAGTGTCTACAGTGTCAATCGTTCATTCTACAATGTGGATCGAAAAATAGCTTATTGTGAGCGTTCCTATACACGTCAAAGTCACGGTCTTGTTTGAAAAATCAAAATATGTTTTGTTTTGTGATAAAAAAGTGAGTAAATTATAATGGAAATACTTGAGTGTTCAATATTCTTATTTTAACGTAAGGATATTTACATTTTACGTCAAGAATGCAGCTTACGTGAGGTCGATGTAGAGTGGATGTTTTTGTTCAGCACCTATGAAGTGGTTGATAAGTGATTTAAAATCGTCGCTTAAGTAAGTATAGCATTCCTTCAGAGTAATTAATTTATATTTTATTTGACAAAATGAAGTGACTCGTAATGTAAGTCGTCACTTTAAGAAAAATAGTTTTGTCTTAAAAAGGGTCTATTGAAATATTTATGTATTTGACTTTGTAGTTGTTAGTGTTACGGGGATGGAAGTGCGCAACGGAGGGGAAAGAGCTTTACTTTAAAATGGGTTAGTTAGCTTAAGTTCGACACATTTCTAGCTGGGGTACTGAGTCTGTGTGTGTTGTTAATATCAAAGTGCCAAATATAAATAAATTATTATAGTGAGGATGGAGTCCAGATGCCGAGCTAGCCCAGAACAATTTTCAGCTTTACTAGAATTCATGGAAAGGTACGTATATTATTATTAGTTATCTCAGCTTATAGTCATACTCAGGAACTAGAAAAAAACGAGGCTACTCTTACTGAGGCTTTAAACTATAACTGTATATTTCAACAATGTAATGTAGACATTTTCCCTAACACCTTAAGTTTATTTAAAGAGAAATTGTATTTAAATATTCAGATAAGATTAAATTGTTGAACAACTTCAATGTCACTACCAATTTTAATTTATTAGAAGACAACACCGGGGTACCTATATTGTCAATATATAATATCCACTTTTTGCCCAGTTTTGTTTATTGGGCCATAAATTTTTTGTTTCTTGGCCGATTTGGATGTTTTTTTTTTTCAATTTATGGAGGATAAAATGCACTTTGATTTGATGATATATATATATATATTTATTTGTTGTATATTATTTATCAAATTTGCGTTTTGTCGCATTATATAGGGGATTGTAACTGAAGATCTTTTTTAATTTATTCCTCAACCACATAAAATTTAATTAAAATATTTCTACACAAAGCTGTGCCTTTTAGTTAATTAAATAGAATTAAATAGAAAAGAAGAAAATTAATTAAATAGAAAATAGAGAACTATTATTGTGTTAAACTCATGTCACTATGTAAATATAGTTAGTAAGCCTTTGACAAAAAATAAATAAAATATAATAGGTTTACTACTTGCATAGAAAACAAACAAAACTATTGTATTCACCAGCAAAGATGCTTGACACCTCTAGGTAAATTTCTAAGAAATTAATTAAAATTCTAAGAAATTTATTGTTAACTGACATGCCGGCGTGTCCGCGCTCGTGGAGGGATTAATCAATAGACCCTTTATTTTTCTAATATAGTTTTAATTTATAGCCATGGAGATATAGCAAGACCCCAACAAGGGGCTCAAGGCAGGATAAGGGCAGACCATCTATGGCAGGAGTTGAGAGAGTTACTTAACTCCATTGGTGGAGGAGTCAATAGATCAATGGAAAAATGGAAAAAAGTGAGATCCATTATTTTAATTCTCAAGAAAAGCTCTCAATAAAATTATACATTTTTTTATAGGTATTTCAAGCTCAGACTAGTGTTAGCATATTTATCTATTTTAGTTTAATTAAAACAATTGCAAACCAATCATAAGGTACAATAAATATTTACTATATAGTAAAAAGAGGCAAAAATAATTATATGAAAATATGTCCTTCATCTTTCTCACACAACTTTAAACATACTAATAAAATCTGTTCATTATCAATAAACAGAATAATAGTAGATATCAGTGTATATAACAATCTGTTCACTTAATTGACTGTATAATTAGATAACAACTTACATTATTTAACATTAACTGACTAATATCTGCAGGTGTGGGCGGATTGGAAAGCCAAAACAAAAAAAAAGGCCTTGGCAATGCGTCGCGAGGCTAGTGGTACTGGTGGTGGTCCAAGCAGCAGACAAACTCTCACAGCTTCGGAACAAAGGGTGTTGGGCATAATGGGTTTGTCTGCTGTTTTTGGTCTAGTTGGAATTGAGGAGAGAGGATTTGATGTTAGTTATTTACTTTCCTTGTGATTTTTGTAGTAGTAGTTGTAATAATAGTAATATTAGATTACTACTACTACCCACTAATAAGTGGGTTTAGGTTGAATTCTTTAATGTATATTTGTCATATTCTCAGGAACCACCACTTCAAGGAAGCCCTCTACCATCACCATCCAGAGATACCGTCCACACTGAATTTCCCTCCCAAACTGCCGCAGACGAGATTATGTTGTATTCTATAGAAGGTACTTTCTACTTGTATTCATTATGTGCTAAAATGTATTTGCACGTGAAGGATTATAATGTATAATTCACACCTTGCTTTGTATTGCCCAAAGGGTTAACAAAGCGTTAAGTCATATAAATAAAAATTAAATGCTGTTCATTGGTAAGGGCATTATTTGAGAAGTAATATATATATATATATATATATATATATATATATATATATATATATATATATATATATATATATATATATATATATATATATCAGTTTGTAACTATAAGTTTTGTTTCCTCAGCGTCTCCTGCCCCATCAGCTCAACTGCCATCTCCCTCTATACTTTCACGTCTTCCTCCAACCCGAGTGTCAACACCACCGCTCGCCTCTGTGACCACGCCGATGCCGTCAGCGACGTCTCGTAATACAACTATACGAGGCGAACCACAACGACGAAGGCGTCCGGCGACCCCTTCGCCCGTGGCGTCACCTGCCACGTCTACGCCGCGGCGGCATAGGCTGCTTCGAGCACGCACAAGGCGAGTACAGACACCATTCGAACGAGCCACGAGCGAGTTCGTAACCGTCGAGAATCGCCGACTGCAATTGGAGGAAGACCGCGAAAAAAATAACCATCAGAGGGAGATGGAACGCCTTCGATTGGAATCGCGAAGGATTGAAATGGAAGAAATCCAAAATCAAATGTTTAACCGTTTAACTGGGATTCTAGATAGTTTGACAGAAATTTTAACTCAGTTGAGACCATCATCACTGGCTTCAACAGTTATTCTGTCTTGATGTGTCCAGTAATGGTGGCCTCACTTGTGAATGTGTCAAATTGTCTGAATTTTCAGCATGTTTTATTTCAATCCTTTGCAATTCTTTTCAAAAAGGAAATAGGTATTTTTTTTAAATACAGATTTTTATTAATGTTTTTAAATTTATTTTATTTTTGTTAATACATTTTAAGTACATTTTTATGCTAAAAACCTCGTCTTCCTTACAATAAGAGTTTACATAATAATAAAGGCATTTAGTATAATGAAAACATTTGTTTCATTTTTACAATTACTTATTAAATATTATATTCATACATTTTATAATATACATATACCTAGTAAAAAAAGAAAAATGCAAATATTCACATTAATATTAGTGATGTAGATAACGAATATTCGAATATTTTTTGACAAGTATTTGCCTGAAACGAAATAATTTCCCATTTGTTCTAGTTAGTCTAATTGAAAAATTTAAAAATATCACATCTAAATAAAAAAAAGAATATCCAGCCTTATATTTAAAAAAAGATTCTAAATTATCTCTTTTGTGAAGAACGAACTGAATTGACGACACGTTTGGCTCAGTGTGTAGTGACCCTACTTGTTGTGCCAGCGGTCGCGGGTTCGAGGTCCGCTGGGGGCATTCATTGTCTGATGAGCATGAATGTTTGAACTCCAGTCATGGGTGTTTATATTTAAAATATGTATGTTTTTAAAGTTTATATATGTGTAGTGTATCAACTATCTGGTATACATAACACAAGCCTCGTAGCTTACGATGGAACTAGATGGTGCTGTGTGTTAATGTCCCAACATGTTAAAAAAAAAACTTGAGAAGACTAATCAAATTAATAACAATATCTAGGATTACAATTACAATTATAGAAGGTTTGTACTTATTTAGCAGATTGTAAACTTTTCATTTACAGAAAACAAAAATATATTTGAAACAAACTTAAACTTATAATATCCAATATGTTATATAACCTTTGGCTTTCATGTATATTTTTCCATTCCATTATATATATTTTTCTAAGAATTAAGGCTAATGAATTATAAACTAAAAAATAATAATAGTGAATACTTAACTGAACCGTTTGTAAATAAAGTTATAATTTCTTTTAACAGAAAACAAAACAATATTTTAACGGTTATATAAACAAAAGTAAAGTTCTAATATCCATAATTTTTATTTAACCTTCGGTTCCAACGATATATTTTTTCACTATATATTTTCTTCTATATATTTAATATAATATGTTATTACCGACACAGAGGCGGATTTTGTAGTTTTTAGAATTTTTTTTCTGTCTGTTTAAGAATGCATCACGAGAAAATCACTGGACAGATTTTGATGAAATTTTGCATAATAGTAGCTGCGTCAACATAAAGAATACTTTTTACTGCGGGAAAATATCTCATTTTTGAGAAATCTGTACTAAACGTTAAAACGTATTATATAATAACTATAAATTAATGATAATGAAATATAAACTACACAATTATATGTTAATAACAATGTTGACCAATAGAATAATAATTAATATTAATTATAAATAAACTTGCTGTAACTTTAAATTCTTAGTAATTAAATTGATGTAAAGGAATCTAAAGTTTAAAAATAAAAGATTTCAAGCTCTTTTTCCATGCAGCCTATTTTTATTTAATTTCAACAACATTCGCATTCGTGAATATTGAAGATAAAAATTCGCATTCGCGAATGTGAAAAATCGAATATTTCTTACTATTACTAATTAATATGTACAACTAGCCTAAAACCTATCAAATCAAATCATTTTTGTTATCACAGGTGCACAAAATAACATAGAAAGGTCTTAATTCTAGATTCAGATCTTTGTGATATACAATGAGTTATTTAACTAGTTAAAACTGTATAATACTCCTAATGTAACCTATTTAATAAGCAATTCAACATGGCCCTACCTTGGATTAGCTCATTTTGGCTATCTATAGTGGTAGAGATGGGAGCTCGCATGGGTATATCACTTTCATCCTCATGTGCAACTGAAAGTGGTTGTGGTAATGGTAAACGGGCTTTCAATGCAATGTTGTGCAGGACACAACATGCCGCTATTATTTTGCTAGCTACATAAGGATGATAGTGAAGTGTCCTATCTCGAAGCAAACATCTCCACCGTGCTTTGAGTAATCCAAAACAGCGTTCAATGCAATTACGCGCTTGCACATGTTTTTTGGGTATATAGTTCTTCTCTTGAACCTGGAACTGCATTGAGGATGGGAGTCATAAGCCAAGGGCGTTGTGGATATCCAGAATCACCTGAAAAAATTGTTTTTGTAAACAAAACAAACCAATTCTTCTACTACTACTTACTACTACTACTACTACTAACATATCAATTACATCTTTCATGTTATTTTTGTAAACACTTACCTAATAACCATACTTGTTCATTATTTTGATGAAGTTCACGCATGTATGATTCAGCTTTACTAGATGACCATATATGTGAATCGTGTGTAGCTCCACCAAACTTTGCATTCACATTTGTGATGCGAAGATGACTGTCACAAATCTGTAAAGTGAAACTAATATTCAGAAATGTTTTTATATTATTTTACCTGAAACAAGTCATAAATAAATACAATTACCATTTGGACATTTAATGAATGATACCCTTTTCTGTTATAAAAACATGTTCTTCATCATTGGGCTTAACTAAAGCCACATGGGTGCAATCTATGCACCCGATTACACCAGGCAGACCAAATCTACTCTGAAACCTAAAACAATAAGTTATATTATTAAATGCATTACATGTACCTAAGAGTAAAATTGTAAATATATAATATGATACATACTCTTGTTTTACATGTCCTCTGTCTTGCCTTGTTTTCGGAAACACAATCCATTTTGTCATAATAGCGGGGTGGTTCAAAGCATCGACTACTTGTCGGATGCAGCGACTAGTTGTGCGTTGAGGAAGATTGTGAGTAATACCAACAATTCGTTGATAGGACCCTGTAGCCAGGAAACTAACTGCGCACAACACCTATAAAAGACAGCCAAAAAGAAATAAATAATAGTGATTGTTAGGGTTGTGTAGGCTTCGATAACTAAATGGACTGTTTGCTGGTATATATGTATTGTTTAACATTGAATTAAAATATCACATTTTTTGTACATTTAACAAAAGTCTTATGCAAGTTACACCATGCGTGCGTGTGTTCATGAACTCATGTAATGAAACAAAATAAATGGTAGGCTAGGCACATTTATTCTTGTACTTAAAACAGCAGAATTACATATTTGGCATATCTTACCTTAACTTCTAGTGGAATCTCATTGGATCCTTTTAAAGAAGTTTTCCGTCGTAGGTCTTGAACGAGGGCTTCGAAAGTCACTTTGCTTAACCGAAATCGTTGTATAAACAAAGTGCCCGACATTTCATGTATTGTTTCGATATACTGAAGATATAAATCTCTTTGCCGGCGTTTTAACCACACTTCTTCGTTATGACCGGACCGCAACATATTTAAGGTATACATTTTATACATTTTAAATGCTAAAAAGAAAATATAAATAGTCTAAAATCAACGCGAATTAACAAAACACTTCTGTCTTATAGCAGCTGTGAGCTGATTCTAAACTTTAAAGTTATAGACGCCACTTTTTTAGCGTTAACTCAAGGGTCTCGCCGTTCGTTTAGATAGCGTTAAAGAACTTAGATTTGAATTCTCAAGCGCTTGTCAAACGTGCAACTTGGCTACCATTTTGTATGAGATCTTGTGATCCACATTGTAGAATCGCTCAGTTCGTTTCTATTTTTAGAACGAACTATGTACCTTGTAAACTTGGCTACGAATTTTCAATTCGATCGTTTTGACCACGTGACATATCGTTCAAAATACGTAATGCCCATACATTTCATTAGTTTTCTAAATCGTTAACGATTGTAGATAGTCATCATGGCTAAGCTCATATCATAGGCATCATGGTTAGCGTGGTGGAATATAATAGCACTTTAATTGAAGGGCAGTCCGTGCCCAGCAGTGGGACGTTAAAAAGCATTGAATACCTACATATTTTGACCAATTGACACTGTGCCTATCGAATGGCCAAAATATCTAGAAGATGAGTGCAAGAACCTTTACTCACATTGCAATACCATGGTTCAAACAAAAAACTTCGCGCAGAAAAAGATGTCGCGACTGATAGAGCAATTAAACAGCGGAAATGCATAATCCACTGAGTAGCCATGATTGGTTATTTTTCACTTATTATACCATAAAGCCTTAAAAAATATAAATGATTATGATAACGAGGTCAAGATATAGGCAACAATAACTGATTTTTTTAAATTTGTATTAAAGAGATTTTTGACACGTAATTTTTTTTTGATAACTCTCTAGTGCGGCGATCACAATAGGAATGGTCTAAGTGATACTTAATGCTGCAACAAAAACATAAAAAAAATGTCCGAATTTAAAACTATTACGTGCATCTAAACAAGATTAAGATATTTTAGTTGTAGGCTGCAAGTAGTATTCTAGTATCATTTTCATATAAGACAAGAAATAACGAATATATACACACACGACACACCGATTTTATTTAAATTTATAACAGTA